TCCCCCCCCCCCCCCCCCCCCCCCCTTGACAGTGTTAAAATCACCTTTCAACTTTTATGTATATAAGTTATTTTTCTCTGTCAAAATTTTCGTTTTTGTTAAATATTATTATCAACTATTTTGTTCTGCAGGCTATTGATGATGATTGTAACCAGACTGGACAGATGACCGCCGGTTTATTAGATTGGCCTCAGGTATGTTGTAGACTTGCTTTGTGACACACAGTCGCTCTGTTCAATTGGCATTTAGGTATGTTATATATGCTATTCGTGTGACTACTACTGTAATAGATTAAATTCAGCTGTGTTGTAGACTGGCTGTATGATTTGTTTATTTAGATTTTGTCTCAGGTATGTTGCAAGTGTATTAAACACCAAGAAAACAAATGCTGAAGGCTGTTAGATTGTATATTGTACCTTAGCTGCTGTATAACAGTCGCTATGTTACAGGGGTGGAATTAAATAAAAATGGGTTACTGGGCCAAAGGTCCAGTTGAAGTAAAAATTCACTGGTCCTGTTAGTGCATGGTCCAAAAAAACGAGAACCGGAAGCCTTAGTGAAGACGATCGATGCAAGGGGGGTCCCGGGATATACTGCCCGGAACATTTTGAAATCTAGCTCTGTGTTTCATTCTGGGTTTGAAATAAAGCTTTTCAAATCAGATGAAATATTCGATAAATTTACATAATATATTTTGGTCCGGCGGGAAATCTTGTTGAAATCCTACTGGTCCGCCCAGAAAACCACTACTTAAGCTGTTTAAGTTGCTGTGTAAGATTGGCTTCAAGTATGCCATACTTTAGCCGTATAACAATTGCTCTATTAGATTGGCCACATGTATATTGGTGAAACCTCCATTCTTACGTTAACGTTGGATGTTTGTTTAGGTGTGGAAGTCAATGGGTTCTGTCCCCATGCAAAGACATAACAAAGTCCTTAAAAATGGTAGTTTTTCCCTGCTAAACGTTCAGCAATAAGGGAAATGGCAACAACTGGTTCACCCGTTGTCAGTATAATGTGACTGGCGGAATGCTATAATTTGTTAAAGTCAGCATCAGATCCCCGCTACCCCAAGGAGGCCATTACACAAACATACCCCGCCTCCAGCACACAAACACACGTGCACGCATACATTACACACATGGAGACAGGTCCTTAAGTGATGTACATCGGCCGTATAATGGTGGTTCCGTTTGATGGATCTCAGGTTTGTCATTGGTTGGTGGTATGAGTTATTTTATGAGATTCTGGTTGGCCTACACAACATCAAAGTGGTTTTGGATATGAGAGACATGGGTATAGCTCGATCTTATTGATATAAACTAAACATTTTGACAGTCATTTGTTTGCCTGACCTATTGGTATAGTATTGAAATCTCAGAAAACAATGTCACTATTTTCTTCAGTGAGATTCATTAGTTTGGAAACATGTAATATCAAAGGTTTACTTTATACACCAACAGTGTACGTATCAAATGTGTCCCAACGTTTAAAGACTGACTGGTCCCTTTGTCTAGCTAATGACTAAGTGAGCGATTTGTATTGTTTACCTGTACAACAGTGTGATGAAATTGTAAACATTATATATATTATAGAATATCACTGTTTAGTGAGTGACAAAATCTACAAATGCAAACAATTGCATTTCTAAAATTTTTTTAGCTCGCCTATTCAAAGAATCCCACTTCACTGAGGTTAAAGTTTTAGGGCAACCTTTTTCCAGACAGTGTTGGATCACCACCATCAATAGGCTGTTGTCTATCATAAGGTTGAAATAGTTATATGGAGTGGAAGCAATGTGCTGAACCATATTTTAGGGGCCAAAACTGCTTAATTGGACTTGGTTAAAGTTTTTGGGCAAGTTTCCCATTGTTTCAATTGTGACGTCACGCCTAGGACAAGTACCGTACATGACATCACAGAATTACGCACTTGAGTCAAAATGGCGGCTTTTGACATTTCAAGGTTACATGAAAAGTGTTGTTTTATACGACTAAATGCCACATATCTTGATTATGTGATAAAAAGGATCTTACACTCGTTTTCATTTCATATGAAATTTATATAACTCGTCATGACTTATTAATTTTAGCTCGCCAGAGGCTTGCTAAATTGAAAAATTCTTAGACTTGTTTCTTAAATCTCAAATGAAATGGAAACTCATGTGAGATCCTATATTTCCTATCTTACAATGTGTATCGCCAATAAGCGAGCTATGCTGTATCCAACAGCTCTTGTATTCACTTTTGTTAATTTTTTTTGTTTTTGTAGGGAACATTTGTGTCAAATGTGGAAAAAGTGGATGGACATTTGAATGTGTTACGAGAAATTGATGGCGGTTTAGAAACAGTTAAGGTGTCTATTCCGGCAGTATTAACAGCTGATCTTAGACTCAACGAACCAAGATACGCCACGCTACCTAATATCATGGTAAGTGAGTGATGTTCCAAACGTGAGCTGTAATCATTATGCAGCCCCCTGGAGAAAGACATTGACGGGAATTTTTAAATTTCCTATACAAGATTTCCTTGTTCTCCGAGTGTCAATCAACACCTAGGTCTAATTAACAATTAGGCTTGGTGTGATCTGTTAATAAATAAATAATAAATTAATCTTTATTTAACGTCGTGTAAATTGTCAACAACAAACATAAGCTCTGTAGAGCTTTTATTACGACCTCGCTAAGGGAACAAATGGTGTTTTGGTGGTGGAGGAAAACCCATGGGGAAAACCACCGTGCCATCGGAGGGATAACAACTAACCCTATCAGACATCACTCTTTCTCCGCCACCCCTGGGGATCAAACCAAAATTCTTTGGAGAGCGAGTGGTCTGAAGCTCACGCTTGATTGCACACAGTAGTAATGGCAGTGCACGTTGGTGATCAAGGCTACCGAGGCACCCAAACCTTATGTTCTGCCAACATAGTTTATAACCTGGGAAAATGTGTTTATGTAGTTTACTTTCATTTTGTGACTTACCTGGTTGGTGCTATCTGTCCAGCTTGACCTGTGCATTATACACGAGAGCGCACAATATGCGAATATCTACGGTAAACGTTCAGTGTCTGGGTCACTCATAGCCTCAAGGGTCTTTAAAAATGTTCTAATGATACGATAGAATTTGGTAGGTAATTTCCTATAAAAGCTATACACATAAAGGGTCTGTAAGATGCCTTTTTATTGGGACCTAGAAGAGAAACTGACATATAATTTCTTATATAATATACATGTCTCAGTCACAGTCACAGGTTTATTTCATCACATATTGTCAGTAGTTATTAAGGGTAAAAAGACATAAAACCAGTCTTTTTAGATGAAACAATCATGTCAGATATTCGAAGGACATCGGGTGTAAGTAGAGTCAGGTTTCACTGTATATTACAGGATGTCCTGAAAGTCAGGTCCATTAGAGTCAGGTTTCACTGTATATTACATGATATCCTTAAAGTCAGGTGTCAGTAAGTCAGGTTTTACTGTATAATACAGGATGTCCGTTAAGTCAGGTGTCAGTAAAGCCAGGTTTTACTGTATATGACAGGATGTTCTTAAAGTCAGGTGTCAGTAAGTCAGGTTTTACTGTATAATACAGGATGTCCATAAAGTCAGGTATCAGTAAGCCAGGTTTTACTGTATATTACAGGATGTCCATATAGTCAGGTGTCAGTAAAGTCAGGTTTTACTGTATATTACAGGATGGCATAGAAGTCAGGTTTTACTGTATATTATAAGATGTCTTTAAAGTCAGGTCTCAATAATGTCAGGTTTTACTGTATATGACAGGATGTCTTTAAAGTCAGGTGTCAATAATGTCAGGTTTTACTGTATATTACAGGATGTCCTAAAAGTCAGGTGTCAGTAAGTCAGGTTTTACTGTATAATACAGGATGTCCATAAAGTCAGGTATCAGTAAAGCCAGGTTTCACTGTATATTACAGGATGTCCATAAAGTCAGGTATCAGTAAAGCCAGGTTTTACTGTATATTAAAGGATGTCTGAAAAGTCAGATGTCAGTAAATTCAGGCTCTACTTATATATACAGGGTGTCCTTAAAGTCAGGTGTTAGTAAATTCAGGCTTCACTAATATACAGGATGTCCAGGTGTCAGTAAAGTCACGTGTTACTAATATATACAGGATGGTCAGGTGTCAGTAAAGCCAGGTTTTACTGTATATTAAAGGATGTCTGAAAAGTCAGGTGTCAGTAAAGCCAGGTTTCACTGTATATTACAGGATGCCCTTAAAGTGAGGTGTTGTTAATGTCAGCCCGTGACAGGCTTTACTGTATATTAAAGGATGTCTGAAAAGTCAGGTGTCAGTAAATTCAGGCTCTACTTATATATACAGGATGTCCAGGTGTCAGTAAAGTCCGGCTTCCCTAATATATACAGGATGTTCAGGTGTCAGTAAATTCAGGCTTAACTAATATATACAGGATGTTCAGGTGTCAGTAAATTAAGGCTTCACTAATATATACAGGATGTCCAGGTGTCAGTAAAGTCCGGCTTCCCTAATATATACAGGATGTTCAGGTGTCAGTAAAGTCAGTCTTTACTAATATTTACAGGATGTTCAGGTGTCAGTAAAGTCAGTCTTCACTAATATATACAGGATGTCCAGGTGTCAGTAAAGTCCGGCTTCACTAATATATACAGGATGTTCAGGTGTCAGTAAAGTCCGGCTTCCCTAATATATACAGGATGTCCAGGTGTCAGTAAAGTCAGTCTTTACTAATATTTACAGGATGTTCAGGTGTCAGTAAAGTCAGGCTTCCCTAATATATACAGGATGTTCAGGTGTCAGTAAAGTCAGGCTTCACTAATATATACAGGATGTCCAGGTGTCAGTAAAGTCAGGCTTCACTAATATATACAGGATGTTCAGGTGTCAGTAAAGTCAGGCTTCCCTAATATATACAGGATGTCCTTAAAGTCAGGTTTTGGTAATGTCAGGATTTGCTGTATTATATACTAAAATCTAATTGTTAAATGCCAAGCTCAATTAAAAGGTCGGTGCAACCATTGGATTTCGAAGAAATTATCACAATGTCCATCACATATTTATACACTATATATACATATTAAATGGTTATCAACAAGAAATGCATCTCAACAATGCAAAAAAAAAAGAATTGAAAATCATCAGTAACCTACTTTTATTACAAATTAATGTAAATTGAACATCATTTGTTGTTACAAATTTTTCAAAATGTTAAGCAGTGTTGAGGAGTTCCTGATCTGTTATTATCCTGATACAGCTTATCAACTGGTCTACTTGTTTTTGTTCTTTTAAACAGAAAGCTAAAAAGAAACCTATGGCAGTCAAGTCAGCGGCAGACTACGGAGTTGATACGAGTCCTCGTCAGGAAGTCCTCTCCGTGGAGGACCCGCCTACCAGGGAGGCTGGTCAGAAGGTGGAAAGTGTAGAAGAACTCGTACAGAAACTCAAAGATGGAGGATTTATATAGGACTAGGTATTTAGGTGTGTATATAAAGTGAAGGATACAGCTCAGTAACTCAGGATGAGAGATTCATAGGGCTACCAGGTATTTAGGGTGTATATATACTAGAAGATCCTATATAGAAACTCAGGGACCGACAATTTGTATAGGAGTAGATATTGAGGTGTGTATACACAGGATGAAAGCATTATATATTGGACTTCATATTTAAGTGTAAGATCCTTTAAAGAAAATCGGGGACCAACAATTTGTATAAGAGTAGGTATTTAGGTGTTTATACTCGGGATGAAAGGTTTATATTTAGGACTTTTTAATTTATAAATAGGACTTTTTAATTAGGTGTATATATATACTAGAAGATCCTATATAGAAACTCGGGGTCTGACATTTTGTATAGGAGTAGATATTTAGGTGTGTATGCACAGGATGAAAGATTTATATATAGGACTTCATATTTAGGTGTATATCCTATATAGAAACTCGGGGACTAACAAGTTGTATATGTAGGTCTAGGTACTGATAATCATGGTTTATAAACCATAGGCCCCAAACAGTAAACTTAGGACACATGATTTATATATATATATGAAAAAGAAGAAATTTGTTGTGTATATAACTGATTCAACCCTGAAATTTCATAATGAACTATTCCAACATCTGAATTGGAAGAGTCCAATTGTGTCTTCAGGGATGTATGAGTTCATAGAAACTCAGCTGTTTGGCAACCAGTTCACTATAAAAAGCACGAATATATCTATAGTGATTGTCTATAATTAACATTTGTCTATGGTCAACAACTTTAAAGTGATGTCCTGCTTATAGCAACCAGTTGTCTATAAATACCAGCTATGAGTTAATGTCACCTGTCTTGGTTTATTTAATTTGTTATTTTTTTTTTATTTTTTTTTTTCCAGAGATTTCTTAAGACCGAGAGATCAATTCTGCAGTTAGTGGATGTGATTAATTTTGTGAATTTGATGTTGAATGGAATTTATTGGACATTTCATCGTGTGATACAAGGGAGGCGACCCCCTTATCAAGCTCCATGATCTGTGTATATAGACTGATGAGAATCTGTGTAACAGAACCATTACCAAATCATATTTAAATTATCAGAAAATTATACTGTTGTTTTGTTCTTCATTTCAATTTCTCTGAACAACATGCCCTGGCAGCCACAGAAAATGTCCTTTTGGTCATTTCAGTATCTATATATATGGCAACTATATGTCTGACTAACACCTGTCTATAGCAACACCTATCTATATCGGCCACGCAAATATCCCTCACAGCTTAAATAGTCTGAAGCGACAACACGTCTGTGACTAATACTTGTCTATAGCAACCACCTATCTATATCAGCCACTCGAATATACCCTGAACACTTAAATAGTCTGGATCGACAACACGTCTGTGACTTAGCGACAACACATCGTTGACTAACACTTGTCTATAGCAACCACCTATCTATATCAGCCTATGTAAATATCCCTCACAGCTTAAATAGTCTGTAACGACAACACGTCTGTGACATAGCGACAACACAACGATAACTAACACTTTTATATAGCAACCACCTATCTACCACTTAAATAGTCTGTAGCGACAACACATAGGTGACTAACACTTGTCTATAGCAACCACCTATCTATATTAGCCACTCAAAAAAACCTGACCAATTAAATTGTCTGTAACGACAACACGTCTGTGACTTAGCAACAACACATCGGTGACTGACATTTGTCTATAGCAACCACCTATCTATATCAGCCACTCAAAAAAAACCTGACCACTTAAATTGTCTGTTACGACAACACGTCTGTGACTTAGCGACAACACAACAGTGACTTACACTTGTCTATAGCAAACGCCTATCTATAACAGCCACAATAAACCTCCCTGACTGCTCAATATGCTATAGTGAATACCTGTCTATAGCAACCAGCTGTCTAACATAGCCACATGAAATATCCCTGACTGATATAGTGTCCACATGTCTGACTTTTACCTGTCACAACCACCTGTCTAATAAACAGAGGATCCTTTTGAACACAGTAGATATTCTTGACCGCTCAACGTTCAACAATGACTACCTGTCTATGGCAACCATTTATCTTAAGTAGCCATATTGAATATCCCTGACTGCTGTAGAAGAATATAGTGATAACTTATCTATAGCGATCACCTGTCTTTAACAACCAACTGTCTATAGCGATCACCTGTCTATATCAGCCACAGCAGATATCCCCGACAGATATAGCAAGATATAGTGATAACCTGTCTATAGCTACCACCTGTTTAAAGTGATCATCTGTTTATAGTGATCACCTGTCTATAGCAATCACCTGTCTATATCAGCCACAGTAGATATCCCCGACTGCTATAGCAGGATATAGTGATCACCTGTCTATAACTACCTCCTGTGTATAGTGATCACCTGTCTATATCAGCTGCAGTAGATATCCCCAACATTTTAATAGGATACTCCTTGGCAAGGTGAAACTTAAACTGGTCAATTAGAAGCTTGTATGAAATCTTTGTCGAAACTAATGTATAAATAATTTTCATTTTAATTCACCAATAGCCAGAGGTATACACTGTGGCTGTTATAACATACCCGAGTCTTAATGATTGTTATCACTATTGTAAGGTATACATCCTTAACCGGTAATCTCATTCCGTACAAATGGTCTTCCTTTTGATTCTTTTATGAATTGACAAATCTAGCACATATATATTATCCTATTACACGATTATGAACTGAAAAAGCCATAACAATAGCTGCAAGAACCGCAGCTCTGGGTCCGATCAATTTGATTTGATTTTGAAATTTTACATTATTTATATTTTGAAGTTTTACATTATTAGTCTAAGGTCTGATAATGTAAAATTTCAACTTCTTCTACATTCGTGATGTAATAATACTTTTCATTGGTTAATAACCATGGATTATTAGACGATAGACCATGCGCGAGCATGTATTATCTTCCAACAGACCAACGCTCTTCCAAAAGCCTCTCCCGCAAATTTACTGGTAAAGAAGCGAGTTGTGGTACTGGTTTCATTTGTCGAACAAATTTAACTGCATTTAATTTTATATGTATTTGAAGATTTGCTACAGGACAAACGAAAGATCTAATTAAAACCCTGTCAAGCTCACCATGAGAATGTTTCGCTTAACTTACCACAAAAATGATTTTAAATAGTATTTGTAAATTTGTCGAATGCTGATTTCATGTGTTGGCGAGGGATGTGGACAGATCGGTGGATTTAATTGATTGAAATAAACATAACATAAACATAAAGCATGACGTCGGTGTTAATTGTTTATCGCCCGTCAACCAAATGGCGCCTGAAAATGAAAAATTCTTCCCAAATATATCCTGGTTAAATACGAAAATAGGACAACTGTTCACAGGGCAAGAATTGATAAAAATGTGCAGGTTGTCGTGAAATGAAGACATATAGGCATCACATGACAAATATTAGTGTGTGCAAGTGGACCTGCTAATTTAGATAATTAGATTATGTCATTTTGCTTATCACAGACAAAAGGACACTGAAGTGGGCCATGACACCAAGACGACTTTCATTACATTTAACTTGGTAGAATAGATATAATCAACATATGTTTGTATATTTTGGTGGAATATTTAACGCGGGATTCAGAAATGTTGAAAAAATAGTAAATTCAGGGTCAGCAAGCGGCCTTCGTTAATTAATTTTTCCAACATGATGATTACATCTTATCACTCTTGTTTCAATAATTCCTCCATAATACACGCACATACCGGTATGTTGATTATTTATCAATAAAATTGAATCGGTCGGCCCTAGGGCAATATGCTTCCAGCAGCTACCACAACATGTGCATATAATGTTAAACTCATTCACCCCAAAAGTCACATTTGAACCTTACCAAATCAATGACTGGGCAGGTTCACTTTAGATACGTAGGGGTGAAATAAAGGAATTACCTAATTTGATATAAAGGATCACCAGGCCAAGGAAACTCAACATTGTATGGAGACTTCATGTATACCCCATAAACACCTCATGATTTCAACCCTTTCACCACTGCGAACCACAATAGACTCATTCAGATAAATGAATGGTAGAGTCCACTGAAGTTATATGTAATACTCCACAGAGACCAAAATGGCTTTAATACGGAGAATTATAATTTTGAAAGCTTTTAAAAACAGTGTGGAAGGAACTATAATTTTGAAGTGTTTGACCACAGAGATGGGATAGTCTGTATAGAAAGAGAAAAATAGTCAAATGAAAAATGACAGCATATTGAGCAACAAGTTAATTAATGTACTTTGTTAAACAAATTATCAATATTTATTTTAGATGTGCAATAAAACCTTTTTCAAACATCATTATATATAGTCTTTTTATTAGCTCACCAGGTCCGAAGGACCAAGGTGAGCTTAATTATGCCATAATGTAGCGTCTGTTCGTCAACAATTTTTTTAAATGACTTCTTCTTTTTAAACACTGATTGGAATTAACTAAATTTGAGTGGAAGCATCCTTAGGTGATGGGGATTCAAAATTGTACAAATGGTGGGGCTGACCCCCCAGGGAGCTGAGGGGCAGGGCCAAAAGTGGGCAATTTGGCTTTATTGCTACAAAAGACTTCTTCTGTAGAACTATGCACTGGATATCAATCATATTTAGTCGGAAGCATTCATGGGAGGCGGGGATTCAAAATTGTACAAATGGTGGGGCCGACACCCCGGGCTAAGGTGCGGGGCCAAAAAAAGTTTATTACTACGAAATGGTTGAATTCCCCACCGTATAACCATATATACAATTGCTGAGTATAAAGAGAAGAATGCACATATGCTTCCAGGATGGTCATGGGGTCTGGCCCCAGCCTTGGAGACAAAGTCTGGGTCATGACTTTGAAACAGTTGAGATCCCCACCCCAAAACTATATATACAATTGTTGGGCATAAAGAGACGAATGCAGTCATGATATTAGAATCGACCCCAGGGTCTGCCCCACCCTTGCAGACTTAACCCCTGGGTCATAAATTTGACACAATTGAGCTTCCCACCCCAAAACTATATATAAAAATGCTGGGCATAAAGAGACCAATGCAGTCATGATATTGGAACTGATCCTTGGGTCTGGCCACAACCCTAGGGACCTAGTTTCTGAGTCACGGCTTGGAAACAGTTGAGATCCCCACCCCATAACCATACATAAAATTGCTGAAATGGAAAATCCAATACAGATATGCTACAAGGATTGGCCTTGGAGTCTGGCCTATTCCCTTGGATCTCATTTGGAGAAAATTTTGCCATGATTGCTGAGATATCTAGGTGAGCGATACAGGCCCTCTGGGCCTTTTGTTTGTATGAAACATAACAAATTAACATGTGCAATATTTCATAACGACATAATACTGTATTAAATTTATTATCACATCACCTTTTTTTTTACACCCATCATATATTACTCTGCGGATCATATATTTTCGCGATCACATTATTGGCCAGCGATTATTTATTTATTCTTTTAAACAACATTTGAAATTTAATTAATGAAAATTGAAAAAGTTTTAAATATGAATTTGTGATTCTGGCACCAGACTGAATATTGTTAGAAATATATAATTATATTTGTCTTAGTAGATTTTTTAATGAAAGAATGGGGAGGGGGGGACCTCACACCACACCACCAACGACCGTGTCTTATAATTTGTACTTGAGTATAATTTATTTATTTCTAATTGGAAGTTTATAAATTACAAAAAAAAAATGCAAGAATTGTTTTATTTTTATTTTCAAAAAAATTCCAAGAGATTTACAAAGACAAAATTAATTTAAGAAGGCCCGCATATTCCATGGAACAAAGTTACAATTATTAACAGAGATGTATATATAGTCTATTTCAATTATTGTAATAAAAGTAATATATATACATCTCTGTTATTATGATATTTTTTAACAAAAATGTAAAATATACTGATATAAGCACGGAATTAGATTATTTGTTATCTAAGTCCGTGATATAAAGCATTTAATGTTATACTGGTTTTAAACAAATAGAAATTCTTTTTTAATATCACTGAAATATTATTTAAAACTTGTAATTTATTTTGTTTATTATTATTATTTTCCGGTAAATGAGTTTGTAATGAGCCTTACCGATTCTCTCGCTATATGACGCCCACAAGATTTGGCTTAAATTTCCCCAATTGAGGGCCTCAAAAAATAGGGCAGTCTCTGATCGATCATATTGTCATCGTTTGTCATAAATCAATGGGGCTGGTACCCTCCTCGGCGAGTATACGGTCCACTCGGCAAGGGATTAACATCAAATCACATAATTTCCCTTCGTTTTTTTCATAATACCTGAATAAAAAATCAAATTCGCCACCTCCCAGTGTTTTATTAAAGCTCAGCAGCACGTTTCCAGACCCTATTCGCCCCCACACCGTCGGCAGAAAGAAACGTCTATCTCCCGTCTTGTCAGGTGATCGGTGAACTGTCAGAGTTCAGGGGCAGGACACAACGATGGGTCTCCCGCCAGAAATTATCGACACTTTTCGTCCGAATGTGAAGCATTTAGTAATGATTAACAACAATTAAGCAATCTGTTATCATCATATGATTTGCATAAACAATTTGCATGCAAAAAATGGAACACTTGCGGCTTAAAAAGTGCATAAAATATCGTATAACGAGCTCGCACCTTGCAATCTGTAGGCTAGATGACGTCAGCACTCACGTGACTGGGTGGGCAGTATTCCTAATTGATGCCCGCCATTTTGACGAAGAGTGACACTGTCTGCAAGCAAGGTAAGCTGTCAATAACGTGTCTACACGGTTTGACGGGGAAACAAATATGCCACAATGTGTGTATTCGAAACTTAGATTTACTCCCCAATACGATAATGACAGGATGTGTGAAATACTGTGTTGGTTTAATATGACATTTTCGAAACTAATTTATGACTCGATTCGTGGTGAAATTTTTCATGTTGAATTAGACTTCCGTTTGTAAATTGATGGGCTTAGAATCCGACGGGGCGATCCTGCTAGATATTGGCACATCCCCAAATGCGACTTGTTGTTATGGTACGAGATTGATGCCTTCAATGCGTGGTGTAATGGTTTCATGACGCCCCAAAACAATGAATTTACCACACATTGTAGGTTTATATCGCAGCAGTGTATATTTATGCTCTTTGAATACGTAGATCGGTGTTCTGCATAGTTTAGGTCGCGGGGTGCTGGGGTTGACCTAGTAAACTACTTTCCATGGAGGAACATGTTTGTTTTGATGCTAAAATTACTGTAAAACTGCGACCAATAATATCAATATATTTATAACACGATCTAGACTCACACATATTTAATTTGCGATCTTGTCGATTTTATAGAGTTTGAAGCATCCTTTATATCTATAATTAGTTGGTTAAAATTAAAAATAATAATTTCATTTTTTGTTTTTGTCACTCATATAAGAAAATGATATTGCTTGAGTGACAGACTGTTATAGCATGTAACCGTTATGCTTATAAAATGCATTATTTGTATTTATAATGCTTTTATTATGTGTCTCAAATTCTCAATAAGGTTGAATATTGAGTGACCAATCTACAATTTATTTTTATTTGTCCTTTTCTACTGTATTGTTAAAAACAATGGGTCCCTTCCGATCATGTTAAATTTAAGTATTACCGGAAATTCTATGATTACTGATATTAGCTCATATCTATATCTATATTTGCTATTTCAAATATCTTATTTATATCTATTATACTCCTTAATAGATTGTGGCCATATTATTTTGGCAATGTTGGCATAGTTATACATCTTCTGTCTCTTTACGTACATAAAATATGCTGCATGAGCTTTATATGTTTTTAAGTGTTGGGAATCGGTTGAAATGTTATGATCGATCATTGGTTACCATTTAAACCAGCCGATGATCGATTGATAATCGTTTTATAGAAATAAAATGAAATCCTCGACGCTGTTGATGCGTCGATCATTCAATTAGGCAAATAAAAAAGCGATACCATGTAATTATAATTGAAGAAATACCTCTCTTCAAACACTGAATCTGTAATATATAGTCCTAACTAGCAGCCATGAGCTAAAAGTAAGTCATGCAGTGATGATGCCAACAATTTTACATAGTAGCTGGGGAAAATGTCTACTGAAAACTCCATAATATTTTGTACTCGATTAATCAGTTTGTTAGCCTAACTAACCGATGCTCGACTTGGTAGATTAATCGGAACACCACTAATGATTGCGAGACCTTGAATGCTTCTATTTAGTGCTATTAGATTATGTGATCTGTTATATATATATATATATATACAATATACCCATGTTATATTGATACACAGTATGTACATGTTCCCAATTTAAATACATGTAAATGATCATAAATCTCAATTAATTTTCAAATTGTCATCATTTAAGATTTCAGATTTCAGATTTCAGATTTTGTTTCTAACACTTATGTTTATTTTAATTTTTCATAAATGTAAAATTTCCGATTGTTTTACAGCATTTTTTTTTTAAAGAATACTTATATTTAATGTCTTTTGTTATCAACCTTATGTAATGATACAATCTTCTTTTAAAAGCGACTTTGTTCCGTTTCCTTAAAAAATGAAAATCACCTGAAAATAGCTCAAAAGACTGATGTCAGATAGGTCAATAGAGCTACTATAGGTCTTTACAGCTATATAGCTCAATCGGCAGAGTGAACTGGACCTGATTATTACTTTCATTTAAAGCACAACACAAAATATAATTTCTTGTACACTTGCAATTGTATCATATTACTGTGGTATAATGACAAATCTATACTACTAGCACTAGCAGTGATAAATCTACATACGAGTCCGGAGTCCTATGCTCGTAGAATTTTGATGGGACTCGTATAATTTCTAAAAATACTGAAATTGTCATTGTGGGACCCATTGTTTTTAGCAATTCAGTTGAAAAGAAACCATGAAAATAAATTGTAGATTGATCACGGTTCTAGAAATAATTTGACACTTTAAACAGTCTTAAATTGGACCAAGTTTGCAAACAAAATTACTTATAAATCAATTTACTAAAACTTCAATACATTATTAAGTTAGATTTCATTTAAATTTTCATTTCACAGCATATGATATCATATGAGTCTTTTAAAAAATTGCACATAAGTTTATACATGTATATATATTATTAAGTTTGTTTGGGGACTGACCCCCCGGGCTAAGGGGTGGGGCCAAAAAAAGTGTATTACTTGGAAATGGTAGAGATCCCCACCATATAACCATGGTATACAATTGCTGAGTATAAAGAGAAGAATGCACATTTGCTTCCAGGATGGCTATAGGGTCTGGCCCCACCCTTGGAGACATAGTCCCTGGGCCATAACTTTAAAACTGTTGAGGTCCCCACCCCAAAACTATATATATAAATGCTGGGCATAAAAAGAGGAATGCAGTCATGAGATCAGAATAGACCCTGGGGTCTGACCGAACCCCTAGGGACCTAGTTTGTTAGTCACAGCTTGGAAACAGTTGAGAGCCCCACCCTATAACGGTATATACAATTGCTGAGTATAAAGAGATAATTGCACATATGCTTCCAGGATGGCCTTGGGGACTGCCCCACCCTTGGAGACTTAACCCCTGGGTCATAACTTCGAAATGGTTAAGATCCCCACCCCAAAACTTTATATACAATTGTTGGGCATAAAAAGACGAATGCAGTCATGATATTAGAATTGACCCCAGGGGCTGCCCCACCCCAAAACTATATATACAAATGCTGGGCAAAAAGAGACAAATGCAGTCACGATATTAGAATTGATCCTGGGGTCTGGCCACAACCCTAGGGACCTAGTTTCTGAGTCAAAGATTGGAAACAGTTGAGATCCCCACCCCATAACCATACATAATATTGTTGGGCATGAAGAATCTAATACAGATATGCTACAAGGATTGGCCTTGGGGTCTGGCATATTCCCTTGATCTCATTCGGAGAATATTTTGCCATGATTGCTTTGTTATCCAGGGCCTCTTGTTATAATTGCGATTCCAGAGGACATGAATTTCAGGGATGCTGTACATGTTCCATTCAACTAGCCCAACATCTGGATTTAGTCTAGCTTGTTGCTTTTAGGCTAGGTTAGTAAAAATTTCCCATATTTACTATAAAAATATGTTGAGCTGGGTAGAACCAGGGTTTTTGCCAGGTGTTTATACTGTATATAGGGTCTGGTACAGGGACCCATTCCCAGTTGAAAAATGATCCTATATTTTTAGTCTATTTTCCCAATTGGATTAAAAAGCATGTTATTATACAAGTTTCCAGTCATTGTATGTGCAAGGTTCAAAGTATTACCGTTCATGAAGGAGCATTCATCAAAATACATTAAATAACGAAAATTTGAAACTGAATAAACAAAAAACACTCAAATTGATGTGTTTATTCATTGCTGTTTTTCCAAGCATATGCATGTATATTTAATATCGGAACATCAATGATATTTCCTAATATTTGCCAAATGCTGATGATATTTTTCCAATTCCTGCTCAGGGGCCCTTTCACAATATAGCTGGCAAAAACCGTGAGAACTTTTCAAAATCAAACTGCACGCTAGTAATCTTATTATTTTAATATGACATTATTCCCTAGTTTCAGCAGTTCGCTGTTTGCATATTTTGCACCTATAATGCAAGCATGATTAAAAAGACTTTTTAATTTATGCATTGTGATACATTTCTTAAACAGATTGATAGCACATACAGAGTTTGATGTTAATGGAAACACTACAAGCACATAGGGAGAAAAACAACATTCTTATGTCAGTTGGTTGTTTACAGAGAGTGGGATGCCTGTATGAAGAGCCATGTCTGTTGTACAGCCCGGACTGGTGCCGGCCTTCACCGACGTTCAGGTTCTTGGTACGATTGTATCTTCCGCTCCCTCAGATGTCAACACGTAAGTATATTGGTCCATGGTCAGGCCAAATATAAAAAACTTGTGTTTCTGCTTACCCTACATACCCTACATTTGTGTGTTTACCCTAAAAAATTTATTGGCATTTAGTGAGCATATATGCCCTGTTAAAGTCAGGACTCTGCTCTATAGAAGCATATATATATTACAAATGTAGTAAAAAAATAAATTAAAAAAATTGCGAATATCTAGGGCTGTCATTGATAGATTTGATATCGATATAACCTGTACATGTAATATTGATAAAAACTTGTTTGATATCAATACAATTTTAGCATATCAGCACATGATCATAATACATGTATTTCAATTTAAACAATAGTTGTATGAACAAATCCATGTACTTAAATTTAGATTGTTGAAATTGAAAATGGAAATGATTGCATTTCATTCAGATATATACACAATTAATTAGAATTAACATTAAACCATAGACACTAATTACGGCTCAAAGATGGCTGGTCAATATATATCAATATTGAATCTATCAATTTTTACATGTACTGAGGCTAGGCGTTTCTTTAAAAAAAAGTATATCTCGGGCTGAAATTAAAATTAAATCAACATATTATCTACAGTATGTTTTAATTGCCGTAAGTTGTAAAACTTGAGCAAATAAAGAAATGAACATACCTGGTATACCTTTGTCGTGAAATGCAGTTTTATTCTAATAATTATAAATTTAGATGTTCTTTTTTTCTCAACAGACCCACTGTTTTAACAAAAGAGGGGGATCTCAACTCTGAAGAGGAGAAGAGAGCAATTTATGGGTAGGTGACTTTGTACATGCTGAAACTATTCCATATACAGTCCATCATCAATAATGTGTATCGGGAAATGTTTGCCACATGTACGGGTGTACAGTTAACTTCAGCCTATTTGTGCTGATATCATGTTTATAATCAGTCACAATACAATTTTGTTATATTTACATCAAAATTTGAGAAGTATTGCAAAGCAAATTGCTTATTCTGTACATTGAGAGTACACATCCATATGGTGCCAAAAATATTATATATATATCTCTTTGCCTGCTGCTGCCATCAGTGCATTCTGCCCCACATGAACAATTCCTCAGCCTGCTGCAAGGGGCAATTTCTGCCACTTTCCCAGGGCCTGTAATTATACCCTTGAGAGTATGTTTTTGACCTCCAAAAATGCACTTTGACTCATTTAAGGATGAACCTATTTGACTTATGATTTGAGTCTCCAAAATTAAGGGAAAGTATTATTTGACTTGTAATATTGCTAAATATTAAAAGTCAACTGAAAGCCCAGCTTTTCTTCAGTCTCCTGCTGGTAGCAGCTCCTGTCTCACTAAAGGAATTTAACTACAAGTACTTCTGTTTTATGGAAAAAAAAGATACTCACTACACATAGTTCCTGTGGTTTAAATTGTTTGCAGTATATGTAGAACCAGATATTTTACCCAGGTAACAAAAAGGTACATGTACCTGCATTTTTATGGCAGTCATGCAGTTTTTGTGGCATCTTAAAGGACTAGTAACTAATTGAAAAAGATGTACACTGTACTTCCTTTTCTTTATCACCTTGGTAAAAACTCATTCACCCCTGAAGACACATTTGAACCCTTCCATTCCAAAGGTTTGAATGTTCATTATGAAACTTCAGGGGTAAATGAGTTAAATATGAAATTAAAAGGTTTGTCTTATGCCCTTTCTAAAAAAAATATGTATGTTGACAAAAGCAGCTATTTATTTCTTGGTCTCCTCTATTGATATCAAGACCATTGTAGTACCATTTAAATCCAGTTTATGTTACAGATTATATGTACAGATTTCCATATTATTCAGATTTTGTTTATTGATTCAACTTTTGAATTAAGTCAAGAAAATCTCTATATTTTTATACTCTTTCTTGTTGACATGTTCCTGTAGACATCCGTTGTTCCCTTTGATGGCCTTGCTGTTTGAGAAATGTGAGCAAGCGTCGCAGACATCTGACTGTCCTAGTTCAGACAGCTTCGATGTCGATATTCAAGCCTTTGTGCACCATCAGGAAAAGGATCGCAAACCCTTCTTCAGCGAAGATCCTGAATTGGACGCTCTGGTTAGTATCTGATGTCGGACCTTAAAAAAGATGTTCAATTATGATGTTTTATGTATTCTGTGTTTCAGAAATGGTTTTTGATGTGTACTATTTCTCATATAATATGACATGTATTTTGAACATATTTGATATGTTTCAGCCATATAAGATAGTGATGGGCTGATGATAGATTATAATCAAAAATTGATCAGTTTGCCCTTTCCAATTCCGATTATCGATTACAAATTCCATAATCGATATAATCAGTTCATCATTGAAATCGAAGTGTTCAATGTCTCCCATGTAAAGTATGCTTTGAAAGTGATATATCCTTATGATATATATGATTGATAAAAAATGCACAATAGTTGCTTGATATTCATTCATTAGAAAAGAGCAAAATCTAATATATAGTTAACAACTCTGTCTATTGATGTAACAGTAGTGTATAGTGAACACCTCTGTCTATTGATGTAACAGTAGTGGATAGTGAACAACTCTGTCTATTGATGAAACAGTAGTGTATAGTGAACAACTCTGGCTATTGATGTAACAGTAGTGTATAGTGAACACCTCTGTCTATTGATGTAACAGTAGTTTATAGTGAACATCTCTGTCTATTGATGTAACAGTAGTGGATAGTGAACAACTCTGTCTATTGATTTAACAGTAGTGTATAGTGAACAACTCAGTCTATTGATGTAACAGTAGTGTATATTGAACAACTCTGTCTATTGATGTAAAAGCAGTGTATAGTGAACAACTCTGTCTATTTATGTAACAGTAGCGTATAGTGAACAACTCTGTCTATTGGTGTAACAGTAGTGTATAGTGAACAACTCAGTCTATTGATGTAACAGTAGTGTATAGGGAACAACTCTGTCTATTGATGTAACTGTAGTGTATAGTGAACAACTCTGTCCATTGATGTAACAGTAGTGTATAGTGAACACCTCTGTCTATTGATGTAACAGTAGTGGATAGTGAACAACTCTGTCTATTGATTTAACAGTAGTGTATAGTGAACAACTCTGACTATTGATGTAACAGTAGTGTATAGTTAACAACTCTGTCTATTGATGTAACGGTAGTGTATAGTGAACAACTCTGTCCATTGATGTAACAGTAGTGTATAGTGAACACCTCTGTCTATTGATGTAACAGTAGTTTATAGTGAACAACTCTGTCTATTGATGTAACGGTAGTGTATAGTGAACAACTCTGTCCATTGATGTAACAGTAGTGTATAGTGAACATCTCTGTCTATTGATGTAACAGTAGTGTTCTCACTTTATTTGAGTATTCAGTCCCATAAAATTGTAAACCGATTATGCAATCGATCATCGATCGGTTTACTACTTCCGATTACAAACTGATTATCGATTATGATTTTAAAATGATTGCCTATCACTAATATTAGATTATGGTAAACCTCCAGTCAGATCGAACAAAATTAAATAAATATTGTCAATTCTGTTTGAATTACACAAAATTATAGCCACTAAAATAAAGAGTAGTTTGAACTCTCCTAGTCGATATCGTCAAAATCACAGCAAACAGTCAAGTCGTTGATACGGAACAATGGCGACCTATTGCTATATATATGTATTTGCAAATCTGGAGATGAATAATGGTATATATAATATATATATTTCTCATATTTCCTTTCATATTAATAATCTATTATTAAGGTCAATCGCAAAGCAGAGGCAAGTATGTATGCCACAAAGCAGTAGATGTTTTCTTGACGAAAGTTCAATAGAAATGCATCAGAACGCGGAGGGTGGACGAAACTGCAATTACGGTTCAATAGCTCAATTGACCACCAGCTGGTACATTTTATTCACCCACTAACCAGTGGACAATTCAATAATGAAACCAAAATTGATCTTGCCTCCATCGCTTGGGATGTCTGTTTTTATCTCTCCTACCTGTTGATTCTTTCTTCTTCACATTGTCTCCGTAGGCACCAGACTTTTTTAAATTAAATTTTCCAGTTAATTAGTATAAAATGTCTCCCAACCTTTCATCTGTCACATAACATAAAGCTGTAATTGTTTACTTTGTGGATTTTTATTTTTTTTAAATTATATTTTCCAAAATTTTATGACATAAACATTATATATATATACATGCAATGTACATTGGCGTCTAGAATCGCTTTTAAATAATGTACATTTATATGTCAAAATATTCTATCAAGTATCAGTATTCGTTATACATATATATTAACAAATTAGTATATATTCACAGTTTTGATATAATAATAAACTTCCAGATATTCTTGTCCGTACTCTATTCAGACCAGACATGTTATTTGACTTGTATATATATATGTATCAGACATGTTATTTGTCGTGTGTTTCAGATGGTGAAGGCGATACAGGTATTAAGGATACATCTGCTAGAACTGGAGAAAGTGACTGAATTGTGTAAAGACTTCTGTAATCGATACATTGCGTGCTTAAAAGGCAAACTTCAAAGTGAACAGTTGCTGCGCATAGACTCGGATTTTGACGATCCTCCACCCGAGGAGTTGTCTCCCCTTGGCCAAGGTCAGATGCCTATGCAACAGGTCCTGCCTTCCGGGGTCGTAAATTCTGCAAATAATTTGACAATGTTACAACCTGGCATGGCACAACCTGCCATGGCGACCTTGAATCAAGGTCAAATAGTGTCTGGTGGGACAGTTTATCAGATGGTACAAACACCGCAAGGACTTGTAGCCCAGCCTATACAGGTACGTAAGGCCAAGAAAACAAACACATGTTTCCTGTTAGATGTCTAAAAACATTCGGGTAGGTATTAAATTCTTATCTTTCAGTTATAAGGTTTTTATAGGAGAGTGATCTTGACTTTAACAATGATTCCTTGAAAATTACAAGAAAGGGCAGGAACAAAAAGATAGGGGTAGGTAGGGTAACGGGGAAAAAAACCAATACTTTTTCTTTCCCTAATAGGCATGAAAGCAATTTTATCAATGCACATGTCCTTTGAAGCTTATTTCTTGGTGATAACTTACTTACGATGTTACGATGATGAAAATAAGTATTATTTACCCATCCTGAAAAATACTTTTTTGCCTAATAGGGATGAAAGGAATTTTATCAGTTCATGCACATGTCCTTTGAAGCTTATTTCTCTGTGATAACTTACTTACAATAATGAACATCAGTATTATATACCCATCCTGAAGAATACGATTAAAGATATGACAATGTCGAGGATATATAGTGTGAGAGTTACAAATAAGATTGGTCACTATGACGCGAGAAGTCAGTTAAAATTTTTGAACTTCATAGCAACAGTAAGGCAACTAGTATTATCAACAAACACCAATCAATCTTGTTGACCTTGATAGTAGTCAGTAGGGGTCTTTATGTGGGAGGAACACAATACATCTCCATGGCCAGCACACATGCAGGCATACACTCATAGGGAGATATTAGCCAGGTGGCATAGGACTAGTAGTTGGCGCCTGATAAAGCAGCTGCTGCAAATTCCTCAAAAATTGTATATGCTAATTGTATCGATTGTATATCTATGTACTGTGAAGCGCTTTGAGTGGCTTATGTTAGCTAGATAGGGCGCTATATCAAATGTTGTATATTATTATTATGGGAAACAGAGTACCCAGAGAAACCCACATTGGGCAGGTGACCATATATATATTTTTGCACCTTATTAGGGAATAAAACCCCAGTCTTCTTTGTGAAAGGGGAGTGCATTAGCAACAATGCCAGTCAATTCAATCACACCAGCAGTGAATCCTTCAGTTAGAAAGTTATTTTATTATTAAATTGTGATCTGCCAAAACTAAAGCTAAAAACTTGGACTTTATGCCCCATTCATTTCATGGTGGGCATATATGATGTTACCCATGACTGTCCTGTCCTCATTGATGCAGTGCCATCACTCTAGCGACTTCATTATCAAATTTAATGAAGCTTTATTCAAGGCTGAAAACCTCAAATGAGGTATTTAGGGTATTTTAGGGCTCCAAGGTTAAGGAAAATAATCTTGAGACCAACCAATAGAATACCTATCTCGATTGGGTTAGTACACATCACGGTTACAAGGTCAAGGTCATCGTTACTACTACATAACATAAATTTGTCAAACAATGATGCTGATTATTGTGAGAGCATGATTGGCATTCATGTCTTATGAACAAACCTTTTGTCATGTAGATTTCAGAATTTGAATGTTTTCTTTAATCATGTGGAATAAAAATGTCAAAACTCCACGAGAATGGGCCCAATTAAGATAGGTAATTAGTACTATTAGGAGAGTCAAAGTTACTCCCGATGTTTACTTGTGCTTGATTAAATTTCTTCACATCGACATTCAGAGCACTGGGCAGAAATTTCATTGAGTTGTTTGGCATGAGAATCTACTATAACTTGTGTTAGTTTAGACAACATCATGTCAATGTATAATTTTATTTTTTAGATTCATACAGCACCGGTACAACCCCAAATCACGGCCACACCAGTCATCCATGGCAGCACACCACTGTCACAGATAGGACTGGTCAGTTCACCGGTCACTCACGCCCAGACAGGTATATATATTGTGAGTTAGGACTAGTCAGTTCACCTGTCACTCAGGCTCAGACAGATATCTATATTGTGAGTTATAATTAGGACTGGTCAGTTCACCGGTCAATCAGGCTTAGATAGGTACCTATATTGTTAGTTAGGACTAGTCAGTTCACCTGTCACTCAGGCTCTGACAGATATCTATATTGTGAGTTAGGACTGGTCTGGTCAGTTCACTGGTCACTCGGGCCCAGATAGGTATCTTCATTGTGCATTAGGACTGGTCAGTTCACAAATCATTCAGGCCAAGACAGGTATCTATATTGTGAGCAAGGACTGGTCAGTTTACAGGTCACTCAGGCTCAGACAAATATCTATATTGTGAGTTAAGACTGGTAAGTTTGGTGGTCACTCGGGCCCATATAGGTATCTTCATTGTGAGTTAGGACTGGTCAGTTCACCAATCATTCAGGCCCAGACAGGTATCAATATTGTGAGCAAGGACTGGTCAGTTTACAGGTCACTCAGGCTCAGACAAATATCTATATTGTGAGTTAAGACTGGTAAGTTTGGTGGTCACTCAGGCCCAGATAGGTATCTTCATTGTGAGATGGGACTGGTCAGTTCACCAATCATTCAGGCCCAGACAGGTACCTATATTTTTAGTTAGGACTGGTCAGTTAACCGGTCGTGAAGGCCAAGACAGGTATATATTGTGAGTTAGGAATGGTCAGTTAACCGGTCACTCAGTCCTAGACTAATATCTACATTGAGAGTTAGGACTGGTCAGTTCACCGGTCACTCAGGTCCAGACCAGTACCTACATTGTGAGTTAGGACTGGTCAGTTCACCAGTCACTCAGGTCCAGACCAGTACCTACATTGTGAGTTAGGACTGGTTAGTTCACCGGTCACTTAGGCCCTTACAAGTATCTTCATTGGGAGTTATGACTGGTCAGTTCACCGGTCACTCAGGCCCAGACAAGTATCTACATTGTGAGTTAGGACATGTCAGTTGAATGGTCGCTCAGGCCAAGACTGGTATCTAATTAGGACTGGTCAGTTCACTGGTCACCGGTCCCAGACAAGTATCTACATAGTGAGTTAGGACTGGTCAGTTCACCGGTCACTGATCAGGCCCATACCAGTATCTACCTTGTGAGTTTGGACTGGTCAGTGCAATTGTCGCTTGGGCCAAGACTGGTATCTATATTATGAGTTATGACTGGTCAGTTCACCGGGGGCTTGGGCCGAGATAGGTATCTATATTGTGAGTAAGGATAGGTCAGTTTGGTGGTCACTTAGGCCTGTACTTGCATGTTTATGAGTTATGGACTGGTCAGTTAGGTATTCACTGCAGAAAACCCACCTGATTGGGTAAGTGACCCATTTTATTTTCACATCTGATCAGGGCATCAAACCCTGGTTGTCTTGATGATGAATATGTGATTGCAGTATCCAGTGCTATTCTCTACTCCACCAATTGTGTGCATGTATTAGACATTTTTCACATAACTGACCTATTTTACCATGTGCTCCTAATGCCCTTCTGATTTTCGAAAAAGTGATGATAGAAAAATAATGGAGAGAAAGAGATCAAGAAATATTTTGGAAATATGCATACATATGTATAGTTTGATATATATATGCTTTTAGTCAGCAGTTAAGTTTTACCCTTTAATTATTGCTAAAAAAGTGTTGTAATTCATCACTGATAATTACATTTATATAGATGAATAATCTTGAAATCGTAGATTATATACTGTATATGTATAGGATGTGTTGAAGTTTACCGCCATGTACATATATACATAAAATCACGGAACACCTTATGATAAAGTTATTCTTTATTACAGTTTCTTCACAGGCTTCGTCAATGCAGGCAACATTACTAAGTGATTCTGATGGGGATGATATTCTGGGAAAAAAGAAAAATAAACGTGGAGTTTTACCAAAATCCGCTACACAGATCATGAAATCCTGGCTTTTTCAACACATAGTGGTAAGCTAAGGGCTGTTCCAGATAATTATGAGAGAGTGCAGGAAAATATGGAAAATAAAAGAGATCCTGCGATCGAAAATAAATAAATGTTTATCAATTGTACAGTGGGACGGACCCAGGACATAAACAATTTGGGCGGTAATCAGGGATTAATTTAGGTTTCAGAGGAAACTACCCTTTTTCAGATTTGGGGGAAATTAAAATTTTGATACAAGGCTCTAGCGTCATGAAGATACAAGATAAACGTTTTGTCGGACATATCTGTGTGCATTATATTTCAATTGGTAAACAATTTTAAGCTTAAAATTGTAGAATTTTTGTTTAAATTATGTGAAGAAAATGTATATGCAGTATTATCCATTATAATTGTTGAACTTTAAAGAAAACATATAGGGGAAATATTTTGAAGAAAAACTGCTATTTTCTTGCTGAAATAGGGGAATTTTGAAGCACATAGGGGGAATTTCAAAGCACAAGGGATTTTTTTCTGTTGGGGGAAACTACCCATAAATGGTAGTGAATCAAGTCTAGATCATCTTCGCTAGCCAAGTGTTAAAGCGAACACTTGGCTAGCGAAGATGAGTCTAAATTGATCCCAGGTAATTATGTGGTACAAAAATGTTTTTAATATCGAAATCAGCAACACAAATCATGAAATTCTGACTTTTATAACACAGTGGTAATTAAAAGGGCTATTCCAGATATTTAGGGAAACATTTATTATTAATAAATATATGAATATTAAGGTCTAGAATAGACGATTTGTAAGGGTCCCCTTACCGCTGCCAAAAAATGAAACTATGCATTTGATACTTACTTTTTGGCATGACTATAACTTGGATACATTATTTTGTTAAAGAAAAGTGTACCTTGCAGGAAATTTATAATAATTATAATGAAGATGAAATAAACAAAATATAGTCAACAAACGTGTTCTGAGTGTAAAATATACTGCCGGGCCAGACCAGTAATCTGGCCCTGAACAAATTGTTATACCAATGCTTAAACCGATCGAGCTACCTGGACAACGGAAGTGTACGGTCCCAAATGTGCTATAGTTACATCGAAGCAGAAGTTAAGGGGAGATAACTGTAGATAGGACAACCACAGTGCGATAGGACGAGATCACTAACATCTGTATATATCGGTGATAAATCTACATTTATGCGAGTCCCGAGTCCTGTACTCAAAGAATTTTGATGGGACTCACAGAATTTCTGGAAATAGTTAAATCTAACATTGTGGGACGATACATTTATATAGTTGGATCCAAGAAAGAATAATTGTGGATGGAAATTATGTGGCAGATAATTGTGCCGAAGAACATAACAACAATCTTCAAACAAATTTTAATGGCTATTGGCATATTGATTGTGAAAATCATTCTTGTACATTGTTTTACAGCATCCGTACCCAACAGAAGATGAGAAAAGACAGATAGCTGCCCAGACAAACCTGACCCTGCTACAAGTTAATAACTGGTAAAGTTACAGCATACTTGTTCTCCTTCCAGATATTGTTTCCATGTTTTACAGCCAAATACAGGCTGCTTACTTTAGCAAAAAATATGGAATATCATCCCAATTTCAATAAAAAATAGTGCTATATATCTTAATGATTCATAAAATAACAGGCTGTTGTAAAATTTAGATAGAAAAAACTCTGCCTTCATGGAGTAATATTTATCATCCCCTCGCAATGAAAGTTCAGGGGATATAGGATTCCGCCCGTATGTATGTTACACTCTTTGTCATCACTCTAGTGACTTAATTCCTCGATGAAACTTCATGCAAGTGTTTAGTATGACAAAACCTTGAAAAAGTTTGCCTGTCAGGTTTCTACGCTGAAGGTCAAGGTCACTGTTACTATTTTTAGAAAAACTTTGTCATCGCTCTAGCGACTTCATTTCCTCTTACATATGTCACAATGTGTGAATGCGAGGGGATTTGTATCACTTGTGATGCCTTGTTTTAGTAGCAATGCCTGAATGGTCATTTAGGCACTTCTGGCTAGCCTGCTGTCAGTTGTAATTCCGTCTTTGCGTATTGCAGTTATCTTCTCTTGTGAGCAGGTATTGATTGTTACGTCATTGGTTTGTGTGAGAAAATTATGTCGATTTCTCAAAAATTGATGACTTTCCTCTCACAAACCAATGATGTAACAATCAATACCTTCTCACAAGAGAAGATAACTCTGCAATACGCAAAGACGGAATTGGATGTTGTCAAACTTGTAACTTTTCAACATGCACATGGTGACTCTTCAATGTGACCCAGGAGTGGTTCATTATCAGTGGATAAATCATGGCATGGTCTTTGTCTTTGCAAAATCTTTTAACAGGATTAGACACTATCATAAAGTATTTTGCTTGGCAGTCCACATGACTCTAGTTGAATTTTATTGTTTGCTAGTCCTTTGTCAATGTAACTAGTCCAAGATTTCCTGAAAGAAATATCTTCAGTACAAAAAAAAAACATTGTAGGGGAACCTTGGGAAAATACTGCCACAAAGATATAAAGTTTTAGGGAAACTGTTTATGTATTATATATTGTATATATCCATTATGTATGTTAACTAGTTTTCCAATATAATGTAATTTTTTTATATTTTATCTAACAAATGATATTGAGTGATAACATTAAATGTTTTTTTTCACAAGTCCAAAATACCAGTTAGATGTAAGGTATTCATTAGTCCTTGCAGAAATCTACTTGTCTCAGACTAGAGGATAAGTGGTACTGCCAAACCTGTTAAACTTTGATGATCACAAATCTCCTCGTATACAGTTGTTTGTATAATATAAACTTATCAAATGATATTGAGTGATAATATATATTTTCATATAAGTCCAATTTAATGGACCAGTTAGATACGGTATTCAATAGTCTTCGCTGAAATCTACTCGTCTGAGTCAAGAGGATTAGTGTTAGTGTCGAACGGGTTAAACATTGATTAAAAATATCCCTGTATACATTTAGCTGTTCCTGTTATATTTACAATATTTAGAGGTGCTAGTAGTGATGGGCTGATGATCGATTATAATGGAAAACCTATAGGTTTGTCCTTTCCAATTCCGATTATCGATTACAAATTCCATCATCCATATAATTGGTTCTTAATTAAAATCAAAGTGTTAAATGTTTTCAATGTAAAAAATGTATTGAAAGTCATATATTCTTATGATTTTTACTATATGAATGATGAAACTGAATAAAAATTGCTTGAAATCCATTCATTATAAAGAACAAAACGTAATGTATAATGAACAACTTTGTCTTTTGATGTAACAATAGTGTTCTCGCTTTAGTTGGGTATTCAGGCTCATGAAATTATGAAATTATGCAATTGCTTGTCGATCAATTTTCTACTTCCAATTACGGGGCTGCGTTGGCCAAGTGGTTAAGTCCCATAAAATTGTAAACCGATTATGCAATCAATCATCGATTTGTTTACTACTTCTGATTCCAAACCGATGATCGATTATGATCTAAAACCGATTGCCCACCACTAGGTGTTATGCTAGTAGAGGATATCCAATTGAAGTGTAAAAACGTTCAATGTTGGGTCACGGATACCATAACTATACACGGTCTGTAACTAATATTGATTTTAATTTCTAGGTTCATAAATGCAAGAAGAAGAATTTTACAACCTATGTTAGATGCCAGTAATCCTGAACAGGGGAAAGCCAAAAAACCAAAGACCCAACATCGACCAGTCCAGCAACGATTCTGGCCCGACAGTATTGCAAACATCCAGCCGCAGTTCCCTGGTGGGTCATCCGAGGCCAAAGAAAGTTCAGAAAACCAAATTATCTTTAATGAATCATGTAAGTTTTGTATTGGCCGGATGTTTTGTTAACGTGAAGTCCAAGGGTGCTACATTTTAAGCATTTTTTCTGGTCTATTGCAATATGTATCAAAAATGTAACGGACCCTTTCATTGTAACTGCAGGACTGAAATTCAGTGATGTTTTTTGCTGAGTTTAACTGCTGAAGACAGGCCGTTGTTTCCCCTAGCTAAAAAGTACCTTATTTTACCAAAATGACCAAAAAGTGAGGAATAAAGTCCCGATTTCAATACAAATAATGGTGTATTTTCCCAATTACTGTGGTCAAAATGATATTGTAATAATAGTTGAGTCTTAATAATTCTGAGCATTTGTAAAGTGGGTCCGGAGAAAGACTTGAAACAAGGAAAATCCTGGATTTTGAGGGCAGTGGGCCATTTCATAAATTTTTAGTCAATATCAAAATTAAGAGGGGGTATTCTATGTACAATTAAAAGAACATTGGAACATGGAGGGGTCAATGTGACAATAACAACATATTTTCCAGAATTGTCCATGAAAAAATATGTTGTTATTGTCACAAAAATTGACTTCTACTTCAATTCAATCATTGTACGGCCAAAAAAAAGTATATAGTTACCGGTTTCCCTACAGACCCTAGATTTGTGTACCTACCTTAAAGTTTTTAGTTGTATTTAGTGGTTAGCAGTATTGAAGTCAGAACTCCTGCTGTAAAAACGCATAGTAAAAATATTTTCAAAAAGAAAATTGCCTACCTACCCATCCTAATTTTTTCAAGCAGAAACAGGAAGTACACATATATTTTATGGCCTAATCTACTTGTACCATACTACTTATATTTCGCTTTAATTTTTCCTTGCTTTAGTGATACCGAACTATTCAATTAAATTTGAGTTTCAATCTATATAATGACAATGCGTTGCAACTTTAAAATATTCTGCACAAGAGTCAATTTACACAGTGAACAGACAATAACATAAGGTTTAAAGAAATTACATCTCCTGAATATACCTTTTCCACAGCAATCGCTATATTAAAACAACATTATGTTACTTCTTGTCTAGATTGACAATGATGTTATTCAGCTTATGTGGAAGTTTTTAATGAGTGGTAAAACATTAAAACAGTTTTTTGATATAAATTGAAGGTATAGACGTAAAAAAGAAATCTGTTTTTTTACCCAACAGTTTACTTTTCTGGCTTAGTTTGAGGCAAACAGTCCATTTCCTTCGTCTCGTTAATACTTTTAACTCATTCACCCCTGAAATTTCATAATGAACTATTCTAACCTTTGAATTGGAAGAGTTCAAATGTGTCTTCAGGGGTGAATGTGGTCAATTTATAATTATAATGTTCATGAATAAAGTAAATTTATTTTTGTCCGCGCCATGGTGTGAGCCACCCATAAGATGTAATTTTGTAGAATGACTTGAATGAAAAATGCCTTAAAAAGCAAGTTTTCCTGATGTATTTTGTCTTTGTTTTCAGTATCAAGCGAAGGTGGGATATTAAGTTCTGAAAATATCGCCAACCTCCATGACAACGGTGAATCAGGTCAGAATGAACAGGACTCGCGATCCTCGCTTAAAATAGACAGTGACGCTGATGATGAAAATTCTGACGATAATCGAGAAGAAGATGACAAATTATTAGAAAGTGATTCGTCATCTCTTGGATAGTGCATCAAGGATCGTCATTGTGATAAGCTGTGATTCTATACGGAAGTTGAAAACTGGATTACGGACGGACAACATTGGGATTGTTGTCATTTTAGAAAGATTTTAGTTTTATGCATCTTTGACTCATTTCTCCCTACAAATTTTTTACTTCAGGTTATATTCATATTTAGGATGTTTTGTAGTTAATTTGGAATGGGACCTTTGGTCTGCTTTCATGGAAGAACTATAAAAATTTGGAAGGAAATTTTCAGGAGTAAATTAGAAATTTTAAGAATTATGCATAAATAAGAAATATTGTCAGTTGGGAATGGGGCTCATTATAAGCCCCAAAAAGTCCCCAGAAAAATTCCTGTCATAAAGACCAAGGTACATTACTTTATTACTTAAAACAACACTTCGCAACACTGTTTATCACTTTATTTTTGTGTGAAAGTTATATCACTAACCTTGCCTGTAAGTTTTCTTAGCAATTATTAAAAAAATTGAGAAATGGAGAGGAGGTTCTTTCAATATCGTCAGTAATTATCAAGTGAATTAGTATATATATATATATATATTGAAGATTAACAGTTTGGTCACCTCGCAAATTAACACCAAACTTAACCTCTGATGAAAATAATGATTTACAGTATTATCGTAGAAATTTAAATAGAATTCATCACATGTCAGGACTACTGTATTCGATTCAACAGAATTCAAATGTCATTGTGTTTGCCCGAGTAAATTTGGCCATTGATAATGCATGGCACCTAAATTTTTTCATTGCCAATTCTTTAGATTTTGATATTAGAGGAAAAACGTATTTTTCATCAATTTAAAAGCAAATAAAATTATACCAGGATGTTCTAGCAAATGAAAAAAATAATTCTCTTGTTTTGCTTGTGAGAAAATAATTGACATTGCTTCGCTCTTCTGTACTTGACTACAGCATCCATTGAACCATTTTATATAAGTTTTGCAATTGTTAAGTGATTTGAGCTTCTTAAAATATATTTTTGTTCTTTTGAAATCCACACTTATATTAAATCTTTATTTACTACTGCTGAATTCATGTGCTACAAAGTATATTTCTTTTGAAATTCACGTTTGGTACCTGACATTGGTTCTAGGGTAAATTTCAGGTTTGGTACCTGACATTGATTCTAGGGTTAATTTCAGGTTTGGTACCTGACATTGATTCTAGGGTAAATTTCACGTTTGGTACCTGACATTGGTTCTAGGGTAAATTTCAGGTTTGGTACCTGGGTAAATTTCAGGTTTCACAGAGTATATTTCTTACATGTACCATATTTGTCCTGCAATAAGCCCATGGACCTCACACATAAACTCTGACACAAAGATGGAATTGTTACAGGACAATGAAATAGCTCAAGTTAGTACATTTTGTATTTCTAATGAATGACATGGGCGGTATTCGTTTATCGCGATCCAAACGGTTGAACTGGTCGGACCAGAGTTGTTCATTTGTGAATAAGGCTGGACCTAGTAATCTGATGAGCCTTGACAAACAAAGCCTTGCAAGGCCTGCATAAACATTTGCAGGTCCGCCAGGATTTATACTTTAAATGATGTTACATTTAAAAACAGTCAAACCAGTTGAACTGGATACGCGAAAGGGGGCATTATGGGCTATTTCAGGATAAATACGGTACTGTTTATCAGGTTGTGGTGACTTGCATTATTGAATATACTCTATATTTCTATTGTATTATCAGATCTATGGTATAGTTCATGTGCCGCTTGTCAGATTTCGTTAAGGATGAATAAAGGCGTCTGAATTAAATCATTAAAAAGACAAAAATTGGGACCATGTCATGGCTTCAAACTATTACCTGTAATATATATATTCCTTTTACCCTTTAACAGAGTCTCTCGTGCAAATGAAATGTTTTTGAACTGAAAAAAATAGAGTTGAACTTCATAATACTGCAACCATATATACAGCCAACAGACCATTGACATTATAAAGGGTCCTTGCAATACGGTAGTTCCAGAGAGTAGAGTTGTAATGTTAGAGTGATTACTCTTTGTATCGGGAAATCGCTCCAAGGCATTTACAGTGTGCTATTTTTTCCCATTGAAAATGCTGCATTTTTATATGTTTTTCATCCTTCGTCAATGTATTTGTTTGAGCATCTTTTTGTGCTATTCATGATTAAAACACAAAAAAATGATCCACCTCATCGTGAAGATTTCTACATATAAATGATTGTTAAATGTTTTAAACTTCTTGTTAATGCTAACAGGGTTTAATAACAGTAACCAAAGATTTTTTTTTGTCTTATATAGTTAAAAGTTATTTACATTCAAATCATGAACTGCTTTTTAGTACTATAGACATTCAAAATGATCTGCAGACAATAACCACAGATCTATTTTTAAAATTCCAAATTTCCAAATACATGTACATGTATGTTTCAAAAATGAGATTTTCAAAAGAAAAAATTGAAGTGACTTGTAACACAACTGAGATATTCATTGATCCCCTGGTGGGGTTTAACCCTTTAACCCCTATGTAACTTTAGTGAACTTGTCCATGCTTTGATCTAGATGAGTCCATTATGGTCTACAGTGGTGAAAGGGTTAACTGCTAATGAAGCAATGGATGTGATAACGAGAGTTAAGTGTATGTGATGTATTTGCCTTTAAATAAAGGTATTGTTAGTTAAATTAATTATTGATCAATATTAACCCTTTCATTCCTATGTAACTTAATTATAAGTAGACTCTTCCATGCGCATTGATATGGATGAGTCCATTATGGTCTACAGCGGTGAAAGGGTTAAACGAGACATGTTTTTCTACTGATGATTAATAGCTAGGTACCTGTACATGAGGTGAAAGTAAGTATGGTTGTTTAATGCACATTATTAATTGTCTTCCTTGACAAGATGTCAAAATAATTTTAATTTTGGGGGTTGGGGAAGTTAAAACTGTCTTTTTGAGTTTTATTTCCATGCATTTTTTTTCTGAACTGAAAAAAAAATACTACATGTATGCATTTACTGTTTTAATGGAATGTAAGCTGCACCAGGGCAACTGGATTTATTTACATGAGCACAGAATGAGTTTATTACAAATTATAGGAAGTAGCATTTACTTTTTCTTTAGCTTGTACCAAACTACTAATTTCACTGGCTATGCTACGTGTTCAGGTCTACATTATGCAAGTTCTGTTTGATTGAATCGACACCATAAATATCTAGACAGGTGAACTATATAAGATTAAAATGTTAACTAAATTCTACAGGCTGAAGTGGAATGTTTTAGTTATTTTTCAGACATTTATCATATGATTTTGATTTTACTGGTGTTCTTACGGCCCGGTAATGGAAATTTCAGGACATTTTTGAGACTTGGAAAAAATACAACATGCTCTTTATCTTTTCTGATTGTGTGAAAATTTGCCAAAATTCAATATGTACCCAGTTAAAATCAAAATGTCTATAACATGGAGTCATTAACTCATTCACCCCAAAGGTTGGAATAGTTCATTATGTAATTTCAGGGGTGAATGAGTTGAGAGTTATCAGTTTTATTTTCAAAGACTTTGTGGTCCAGAAATCAGATTCCCATTTTGTTGCCGTTATATTTAAACAAAACACAGTTGAATCATAATTATTATTTGATAGTGGTAATTTTGATTCTGAAATCAAGATATTTTTCTGATTTTGTAAAATCTGAAATTTCTGGAAATCTTTTTTTTTTTTTTTAAATGTTTGATAGGCTAATGTGTCTAGATAGAGCTGTTTTGTGTGTGTGGAAGTAGAGAGAAGTGTATGTAATATGGTGCTGTTGTTACTGTTGATTCTCTAGGAGAACTACATCTGTTGTTATTTTTGTATATTTTGTACTTGAATTGAGAATTGTCACTGTGGGGTATGCAATAAACTGCTGACACAAACACTTCATAGATTTTCAGTGATGTTTTATGCATAAAAGTGATTATTGTGAGCTAAACACTCTTACTCTGTACTGTCGAGAGGAAATAGTTCCAAGCTTGATCATGTATACAATCTTTAAATGCTGGAATTAGTGTCAGCAGCACATACCCAAAATATATTTTCGATTTCAATGGATATCAATAGAGATCTTAAAAGATCGTAATTAAACATGGAATCCTTTATTGATAACCCTGCTTCTATAGGTGTTTGTTAACAAAAATAATGGAACAACAATCAAGGTCTGACTATTGCTATGATTTTCTGATCCGGTGATACAGACATGTCTTCTAAAATAGAAAAAAATAAAATTCCATTGGAATATTCTAGGATTGCAGAGAACGTAAGTGAGCATAAACCCCGGAATTTCGAGGTCATCTAGTTTGTTCAATTGAAAGACCTTGTTTCACTTTCAATGTCATGTAAAATTAGATATGTTTTATCATTTAAACATTTTCCTTTGAATAACCAAGACGCCTAGCGTCCTGTAACATTATCCACTTTCGAGGTCGCAGGGGCATGCGCAACATGTGTAAAAAACAATGTGTTAAATTTGTGAACCTTTACAAAACTGCTTCTGGATTATCAAATGGTCTAGATGCACGCTATTTGGCATGTAAATTTCAGATCTGAAGGGCTATCAAGATTTGCCAGATGGGTAATGAGAAACAATAAAAAGAATCTTCCAACAAAATCCAAAGAGGTTTAGAGTAATGATAACAAGCCCTTTTTGAAAATTTGACGTTGACCTTCAATGAAGGGCGCATATGTGTTATGTGTTTGTCAACATCATTGAATAACAGGTAAGCACTATTAGCCCATTGGTGCACTTTTTGAGTTAAAAGAACTGGCGACGTGTAAGAATTTAGCATTTGTTTATCATTTAGCAAGACTAAATTTCAGAGTTGATAGTTCTGAGCTGTACGAAGGAAAGTAAAAAAAATATACAGTATGAATTATTTAAAATATAGGCCCAAAATTCATACAAGTTACTGGCGGAATAATGGTATTGTACAAAAAAGGCGTGGGTTATAGAAAGATGAACTATGAACTTTGGGTTGGAAACTTTTTACCGGCATGACAAAAGATTTTAACAATCATTTACGACAAGAAACCAATATTGTTTGGCACATTATGAAATTTACATGAAAACAATAGGAAATAAATTAAATGCAATAAGGTAAAATAAACAAAAGTATTTTGAGTTAAAATCCAGACCATGATTCAAATTCGAAACCACGACGGCTAAGATCGGTCTATCTAAGCTACGTGATTATCGTTAATTCCATTGTGTTATATGCCTGAAGTGGCACGGATTCTGGTGGGTTAAATGGTAATTCATTGTAGCATTTATGTAAGAAATATGTTTACTCATTATATCTATCATATTAGATTTTAAGTCCAGAAACACCTAGACGGGTGGTTTTTATTTGTATCGCGAAGTAATTTGACTGTTACTCCATGTAAGAAACAAAAGCCAACTGATATGTTCTCCAAGTAACGTATTTTATTTTTGAATGTTAATTTTACTGTTTCTTTCAACGTAGGGATACTTGATTGTGATTCTATCATTCTCAGTAAGTCTTAATTACCAGTCTCTGATATTCAGAGGAAAAATATATATTTGATTTCAAGTGATTTGCTGCATTTTAAAATAGTGTTGTTTAATTCAATCATAAAAGCAAATGTCAAAATAACAAAACAAGCTGAAAACTTTATTTGAAATTCCTGGACGGGCACACGAACCCATCCTAAGTCATATGAATACACTAAAATCACGAATAGAATTACGTCATGACAGGGGAATGTACTGCTCAAAAACTGCTTCATAAGACACAGTTCGATAGTTATCCATTCTTTGTGACAATAAAAATATTAAAAAAAAGATATATCCACGTGTGTCAATAATATACGTAAATAAGTTTATGTACCTTCTTACAAATGTTAAAGTTGTTTTACATTAGAAAATATATAAACATTGTTTATTGTTGTAGATTTTATCTAAATAAAATCAGCGCTAACTTATTTTATTCAAAAGGCATCTTTTGTGAATATATTAAAAACTCTTCTCACTTTAGCAAATCTGCATATTTTTGTATTGACTATTTGTTTTCGAAATAATACAGTATATACAATAATTTAATTAAAATAGTATATGTTACACTTAGTTAAAATATAGCTGTTTGTCTGGTTATTAAACATATTTTGGTTACCAAAAGCATAATAAGTCCATCTTCGCTAGCCAAGTGTTCGCTTCGTATACACTTCGAACACTTGGCTAGCGAAGATGAATAAGTCAAACGAAATTACTAGATACATTCATACGCAAGCCTAATAATTCGTATCATTGTGCAACAATAGAAAAATAATATTTTGGTTTCTACGATGTGTTTTAAACCACATACAATTTATTTAACTAAAGTTCACGTGCGATGTTTGTGATTGACTGAAAAGTACCTATGTTTGAAAATATTATATCACTTTGCAGCTAAGATCATACAGGTGGTACACTTGCGTTACTTTTATATTTTATAATGTCATGAAATATTAAGATGACGCTTTTTCGACGTTTTGGGCGTTTGTGTAACAGCATGACTAAGATATGTATGATATACGCAAAAGTAAATTTTAAACTCAGACGGGTTTATTAGCAGTGATAGGAAAACTTGAACCAGGATCTTTGCCTTGATCCGAGCGTTTGAACAACATATTATTTTATCTTCTTTGTGAGACGGATGTGTTGAAGAGAATTGTCGCTGTTTTTCGCTATTGTTGCTTTCTATGTATACATCTAAATCAAGTGTAATAAGTATAATAAAAATTAAAGATAAAATAAGCATTTCTATCTCAATATGGTCACTATTTCAACACTTGAATGACATTCGAATAATTGAATTTGACATAAGTCATAAAGAAAACAGGATATTATGTAACCATGCTGCTTTGCCTAATCTATACGTTACATAGAAAACACATTAACTCATCTGCATTCTGCTTATAATATATTCCTCAAGGGACACCAACTACATTGAAAATCATTTTGTACCTAAGATCCTGGCTATGGTTTCATTTATGATGAGGCCAACCTAACAAATAAGCTGCTGTGTCAGTTATTTGGCAGTCTTTTTCCACTGTAATATGTATGTGACGAATGTCCGTCGTCACTTCCAGATGACTGATACAGCCTTCTCCTGTAGTCTTCTGTCTTTGCTGACCCCAAACTTCCTACGGAGGATGGTGGCAGTTGATTTTGTATTTCATACGTCGGAGTGAATGGCCTCCGAGCTAAGTTGTTATGCAGACGGGATATTTGGTGTTGATGGGGTTTTACATCAGCACCGAATGCTAAAGGAGTCAAATAGCAATATTCGCTGCTTTCTGTGTCGTCTTTTCTGGGATTAAAATCATCAGAGTTCACTGCCCAAGTTCTCGTCAATTGTTCTAAGGATTGAAAAATGGAAACAATTTTTTAATTAATCTTATATTGTCAGCAATCTTCACGATTTGCAATAGAAACATAAACATTTTCAGTACTCAAGTTATGACATTTTATTGAAAATTATTATCACATGAAAAATGTTGCTGGAAAGACGTAAACATTCTAACTGTCAAGCAATCACCTTTCGATTGTTACTTGATCACGTCAAATTGATGTAATTCGTCATTTAACCACTGATAAATACACTTTTTGATATACATTTGGTATAATAATAATAATAACAAATAATGATATACAGCATTTGATATAGCGCCCTATCTAGCTAGAATAAGTCACTCTAAAGCGCTTTACAATACGTAGATATACATTTTATACAGTCAATACAATTAGCTTAAACATTAATCATTATATTTTTTGAGGAATTTGCAGGAGCTGCCTTATCAGGCGCTAACTACTAGTCCTATGCCACCTGGCTAATATCTTCCTATGTGTGTATACCTGTGTGTGGTATGTGATTAGTATTTGAGTAATCTCTGTTCCACTATAGGCAAAGCAGTATACAAAAAACCCGTTATAGTTCAATAACCTCCCCTTAGTTTCGTTTTGGATACACGTAACTTTTGCAGAACTGAACTAGGGATCTATCACTGATCTCGTATTAAGATCGGATGTCAAGGGTGAGAATCACGGTATACACGGGAAATTTTCGCCCATGAAATCAATTTTTGCCCAGTGTTAATTTCGTCCTTCACTTTCAATTACTATGTATATTATGCTGTTTACTTATACTCGCTGTAATGATGAATTCGCCTCCACTACGGGGAGGGCGGAAAAGGCTAAACTTATACTGCAGCGAAAAAATCCCTGTATACAGTTTGTATTTCTGTATGATATTATCAATGTTATGTTTACTTTTTTTTTTTTTTTGTAATATTTTGTTCTGGATAGTATGAATTGCTTTCAGAAGTGATTTATGTAAGTTATTGTTATGCTGGTAAAATGTACCATTACATTGTTACAGTTTTTGGCGGAGGCACATGTATATTTAACTGACCTGCTATTTCTGGTGGCCGCATCTTCCTGCATTTGAAGGCAATGACAATAAACATTACTCCTAGAAGTATGGCTAATGGTGTAATGACAATGACAACCACAATGGGGACTGACAGAACGGTGGCACTGGAAAACGTCAATGTCGTACCCTCAATAGTTGCCGAGGAAATGTTCCCTATCGTCGACATAATGTGAGAGGCACCCGTTGTTGAAATGTGGTCTGTTGTTGTCTGTAATATATCAACATAGAAATACCGCTTGATTTTAATGTTTCTAGAACAAATGAGCAAATGAACCTATATTTATTGATAAGAAAATAGATTATATGCTTTGTTTATAAACAAAAATCGTTTTCTTAATAACAGTAACCATAATGGGACAATTACATGCCTCCGAATGTAGTTTGCATCTTAGTGTTAGATTATATGACTTTGTAGTGTAGCTGTTGGATTTCTTAGTCCCCGACGATTGCCGTAACCTTGATGACCATAGTTATATCTTTTGAGTAGTGGCATGGATACTGGCTAAGAACTATTTGGATTTCCAACTTTTTGGACCCAAAAGGACGGAACAGCTCTACTTAAATGTGCAATCATCCGTTCATCTTTGTAGTGACGGATTCCTCAATGGATACTGCTTGTGTAAAAACCATCATCAGTGTTAGGAGAAAAAACACGAGGAGAACAAAAGTTGCTAATCTTATGCCGTTATTGTCAGACTGCTTGGATTACAAAGGGCTCGTTTTCGACAAGCGATATTGTCTGATAGACTGAATGAAAATACCTACGTTGACAGTTAGCAGTTGATCATTCACTCGCAGGGTTGGATTTTTTATTTGCTTTCCATTGAAATTGAAGTCTTGTGAGTTTACAGTTCCAGCCAGAGAATCTAACGTGTCGTTCATATCAGCTGCTGTAGCTCGCAATGTTGCCTCTACTAATATACTGCCTATAGAATAAAAACATAAAATTTGATATAGATTTTCGACAACAATATAAAACCAATATTTGTTTGCGGATTGTTAAATGACCATTGATAATATTTATATTTAATTAGATACATTATTAACGCCATATATGCAGTCTGATTTTCCAAGGTTGGTTAAGACATGCATATACGTTCTTGTTGATTAACACCACGCATACTAATTAGATACCTTCTTTCACCGTCATGCTGTCAACCAGTGCGCCTTTGTGTTGCAATGTAAGGATGTTGACGACATAGATTTTAAACTCATCAGTTTTATTTCCAACGACGTCTTGAAAGTTTTCATCAAACTTCATTGATATGTTTGCTACCATAGTTGTATTATTGTTGAGAAGTTCAAGCTGGTTCTGATTTAGTACTTGAACTTGCACGTTCCTGTAAATGGTGTAATCTTCTGGTGATGACGTCACAGTAAATGTCAACATGTAAGTTCCAATCTGATCAAAGGACAGGTTATCAAACACGGCTTCTCCAGTGGAAGGATCAAATGTAACTCTTCGAGTTCCTGTCATATCCCCCGGTGGTTCCGAAATATTGCTCAGATTAACAATAGCTGTCCATGTAAGATTCTACAAGAAGAATTATATTACATAATTATATTATTTTAATATTTGTAACTTGTATGATATAATAAAAGTATACATATCATTATCTTACAGGTAAATGTTTATCTTTGGAATCCAGGATACGATAATTGCAATGTAATGCATTGTTTTGAAAAAAAAACACCGTGTTATTTGTCTCATTTACTAGTAAGTAATGTACTTCTATCATCGCTCCAATTCTAAATAAAAAGAAGGTATAAGGTGACGATGTTTCAAAAGTATAACGTAATAAGTTTTTACAGAGATCTACGTCAATGCCGTCACGTCACAGGCGTTTTTGAAAATTGATCTCCGAAACCTGATTGCAAGAGCGAAGATCAATACCTGCATACATCTTTTTAGATCAATCATATCGTACGTACCATTTACTTACCCTCCAATCTATATTGCTGATTCGCTCATTGAGATTATTCTCCAGTTCAATCTTCACTTCGGTGACGTTGTTTGTAATAATCGTGTCACTTGATACATTGATTCTGAGACTGATGTCTAATTTTTCTACAGTAAAAATATATGTTTTCGTACTTAAACTTTTCCCATTATCTGGATAGGTCTTGTCAAATTGAATAGAAAAGTTATCCCCGTAATGCGATATTCGGAGGTCAGTGAAGTTTGCCCAACCGCTAACTATGTCTACAGTTGTAGTTCCAAGTAGCCGCGCAGACTGGTTCTTTCCCGACATGAGATATGCTGTCATTTGCCAATGATCGTCAATGCTGCCTACTTTTGTCATAGAATCCCCCTTGAGTTCAAAAGAAACACTATGTATGTTTATGTGAATTATTTGGGTAAAATAATGCCCTGAAAGTTGCTATAATCAATATGTAGGCATTCATGCATGCGTAAAATAATTATGATTCTGTATAAGGTTATACCGATATTCCATAGGCTAAATTGTATTAAACGATTTCAGTATGCAGAGCCGCGCAGTATTACAACACGAATCAAGATATCATAATATGTTAAGCTGTAATTGGTTAATATTTCGTGTTTACATATTTATGTATACGCATAAACAGCGAATGTAGTACCTGCACATCAAACAGTTGAAGGCATGGTTGAGAAGGAAGCAGTATATTTTCATGAGACGATGCCGGCTGGAAGAATATCCTCATACTCTTTGGTACAGTGAGTTTTCCAGCACAATTTCCTGTTTCGTCCTTTCCGTCTTCGCGTATCTCAGAAAGTGGTTCACTTATACTAATACCTCTCACAGACATATTGAGCGTCTTACTTATGTCTCCTCCTCCCTGCACTTCGTTAATGAACTTTGATGACAAGTTCAGCAGGGAGTCTGTTGTCACTGTCTCATTTACCGTAACATTTTCAGCTTTAACTAAAACAACAAGAGTACCGCAAACAGTACAGTACATAATTCTGAGAGTCCAAATCAGAGTATGATGTATATATGTACATATATTCAAAATATTATGCCTTAGATATCAAAGTTAAGCTGCGTCTGTATTAGGGAACAAACATTGCGTTAAATAGTATAAAGAAATATGGAGTGAGTTATCTTTTTTTTAAATCTGGTTGAAAAATCACGTCCGGTATGCAAGGGCAAGTCAATTTCTCATCATCAAGTCGGTTTCTGTAGCTGTTATTTTGACCTCTAACGTATGACTTTGACATTCAACTTGTTTCGAGTGACAGTTATACGGAATTTTGTTTGGTAGCTTTAGTAAGGAATGTGTGTACAAGTCAAACCTGCCACTATCATTTAAACATTCGTTGGTTGTGACCTCTACCGTAAATTTATGATATCGAGTTCCAGCTAGTCTCGATTGGTTGATGACAGGTATACTTGCACATTATGTTTCAAGGAATTTGGTTGAAACCAACGAACAAACCAAATGTCCATATGCTCAACTATCATGTACAGATTATGTGGCTATTAACGATTGACTGAACCTTCTATTCGAGAAATTCCTGTCTAAAATACTAGTGCAAAGTATGAAATTTGTTTGAAAAAACAAGTAAAAACCCGCGAAAAACCAAATGTTGACAGACAGACGGATAGACGAATGTTTAAACAGACACGATGAAGCCGATATACACTATGCCAAAGACGGGCGTGTTAAAATGAAAGTTTAAATCAAATTAGCCTAAAAACTGGTTTCATTTTTAGCCCACCATCATCAGGTGGTAGGCTATTCAAATCACCCTGCTTCCGTGGTCCTTGCTATGTCCATCCGTCTTTCCGTCCGTTCTTATACAATTCGTGTTAGCGTTATTCTAAGAAAGTACAGAAGGTTGTTTTCTCCAATTTCACATGAAGGTTCATTATTGAACTTGTTAGCCCTATTGCACAACAAGTATTGGAGAGATCTTTTCTCAAATTTCACATAAGGGTTCCTCTTGGTTCTTAGTTATGAATATCAAATTTGACAGGCGGCCATCTTCTTACAGTAAAAGTTTGTTATCGCTATTTCTCAGAATGTACTGGAGGGATCATTCTCAATTTTGATATGCTGGTTCCCCTTGGTTCGTAGTTGTGGCCATTTGAGGTTGATGAAAAGATTGATTAAGTTTGCGGACAGGCAATCTTATCAAACAGATAAGAGAAAAGAAAAGAAACGATCAAACTGTCATAGGACTAATGAAGATGGTATGATGGTGGGCGCCAAGATTCATATATTTGTTTCAAATCACTAATTAAAAACATAAACGTTTGAATGTGTTGCCAACAACATATTTTGATAACAAAATACACTAGGGGAAACATCTTTAAAAAGGATAATCAGGTTTAACAGGTGGACCATTATTTATACTGTAATCTCTGTGTTGTATTTTTGTAGATTAAGTGTGAAAAAATTCAGTCTTTGTAAAAACATACACATTTTGATTGATAGAACAACTAGAAAAAAGAGTACTTAATAATTCATGTTTCTGATGAAATGAGGAAGACATCATTGATTAATAAGATCATACTTGCGGTTGGAGGATCACTGATTTCCACTTGGATCTCTATGTTCTCATCCACATCGCGTCTTCTTCTTCCAGACTCCCTCACAACATTAACCACTCTGATCTTCTCCGGTGGTACATCGAAAAACAAAGCTAAATTATGTATTAACGCTTCCCCGTAGAACTCCTCTGGGGTCAGTGCTGGTATTTGAAATGACACAATAAACGATGGATTTGTTACTATTTTAACTGGACTGCTCCCTCTGACTAATACATACAAGATATTGGAATCCCTGTCAAAGAAATTTGTCCCTATGACGTCGCTTGAATTTACGTCAGGAACAAATTCTCCATCGAATGATGGTGGATCGACTATATATTTCCCGTTTACCATTCTAGCGTTCTTTGCCAGGACTAGTTCGCCATTCACATACACATCTCGACGGTTGGACTGGGAGTACCATATTCCTAGGGTGATGGCTTGGTTATCATTGGCGTTCAACAGGAAGACACGCATTGTTTGTGGACTTGTCGTGGTGAAGTGTAGTAAATAAGGCGTACCTTCAAAAATATCACGTATCAGTTACAGTAATCCGCATCATTTTATATATTTTATTCAAACACATTTAGCCACACGTACCATTTTTACAGTAGAAATATCAAACCACAGTAATGAGCAAACTGAATTTTGATAAATATAGAAACGGATAACGATATACTATTTACAAATTTAACCGGTACTCTAATTTTAGGGCTTTTTGCGCTATAAATCTTGCGTTCAATTATGATTGAGCTAATTGAAGTTACTGTATATCGTTTTTTATTGCATATATTGTGAGCACGTTAATTCCTCGAATTATTCCGATTTGGAATTACAATATCAAATTTTTATATTTATTTTATTTTATACCTAAACATATTTTGTTCATCAATTACTTGATATATAGATTTATCATCTTTTACAATATTGTTCTGAATACAAACCTGAGGCTACTATAGACATAAATGTAGACAGACGTTTTCGACAGTTGCCGCCTTGACTACACCCACTATGGTCCTGTGGTCCATTAATGAGGTCCAAATACCCGTCTCCGAGAATGGCGACAGGTGAAAGACGTCTGGTCTCTGTGTCCGCGTCCAGACTCTCTATTATAAGCATCCCGTAATCAAGGTTGTGACACTCGTAGGCCTGCCATGCAGTCCTGTATATACACTGGTCATTTCGTATTATTCCTTTTGAAAAAATAAAGCGACCAATTGAATATAACTATTAAAACCAAATTCAACTTACATCATATACATTGTTAATTTTCTTTTACATTGTATTAATAACATTTATTCGCATCTTACCCTTATGTGGTGCAATGCTACTGACGTTGATTCGTTTGCCGGATAGAGTGGTCAGCATCTCTCTCGGTATCCTGTAGTCCCCTAGACCCCTTCTCGGATCGCCATCCCACTCCCATTCCGACTGTGATACGACAGCACCATTTGTCCCCAGAAAGGAACCGTCTTCGTCCTTTATAAGTGCCTTCTTCAGTCCATCACAATCCATGTCAACACAGTCACTCGGATTTATTTTTCTGTTTTATGCATAAGTGTACAGTTTAGGAATAGTACATTGCCGACTTTTGAAAAGATCTGTGTCCATTGGAGAACAGAGAAATATAAATGGCCTTGATTATGGTCCATGTACAGATGCAAACAACTCAGTGTATAGTTATATCATTTCGTTAGAGTTTCACTTTAGCTATACAGCTAGTCAGACGAATGTACTGATTTTCTTCCTAACGAGATGTTAAAACCCTTTCAGTGACACTGTTGATGCATACACCCGACTTTCCTATATGGATACTTTGATAATGATAAAATTCAAGGACATTGTGTGGTTTTTACCAGTATACATGAATTTCAGGTTCATATCATAGTTCAACTGATGTAAACAATCTTGACCAACATTACAAGGTTTCTTTGAGCTATCCACAAAGGTTTTTTTTAATAATTATTGAATTAATACTATTAAGATCAGGTCTAAAGTGAAAAGTGTAGAATATTACTTTCTTTAACCCTTCTTTAATTAACTATGTTGAATTTGGTCGTAGTCTGGTGCGTAGATGGAACACACATGTCCGCTCATAGACGTAAAAATGCAATAATCTGTGAATAGGCTACATGTCTTTCCATCTGGCTAGTATCTTCCTATGTGTGTATGCCTGCATGGATATGTATTGTGTTCTGTTTGTAGTGGGACCGTGTTTCCAACGGTATCATTTATAGTGCCACCTCACTTGAATGCTACAGCACAGATACCGCACCACCTGGGTTGTTGGAGTTGTAGTTTTGGATGTGTGCAAATTACTGATAATTCATATTGGCAAAAGGTACGAAAAGGACAATTACAACAATAGAGAAGGTAATTTTAAGCATCTTGTCCGTGTTTGAAATAGATTTTTACAATTTTTCTTCAATGAAGACTGATTTTAAAGCATGTTCTTCAATTTGGCTACTTTATATATTCATTTCATTCATCTGTCATTTTCCTCAGCCCCTATGCGACATGTTTTAATGAAAGATACATAAGTTAGTGTTTCAATTTGTGCAAGAGTATAGCAAAACTCGATAAATGAGGAAGCATCAAACTATAATTGAAATGTGGTCCAATTAAATATATTTCTACCAACAGGACAAACCTTATAACTCACTTTAACCGAAATATTAAACAATAATATTCATAAACTTACTCGATATTAGGACGATGGATAAAGAAATAGGTATCACTTTCCGAGTCATATTTGGTGATTTCACTAGTTACCACAGGGTGCTGTCCGTCATCGTTTGCTTTGTTTGTAGTCAGCATGACGTCTTTTGTACCACACACCGTCTTAAAATGTGCAAACGTTACACCTGTCGACAAAATATAAACACATATAAACATATCAAATACAATTAATAGGTGATTAATGGTCAATTTGTTTGTAAAATCTTTAAATCTTGATAAGTTCGAATTATACAAAGAGAATCGTGTGTAAATTATAAATAACCTTTTTAACGAATTCTCGATCATATATGACTATGATGTAGATTTAGTAAATCAAATAGTAATTTATTTATGTAACTGGAACATATTTTCATATAAAGGAATATACCAATTATTTAGCTTTACTACTGGAAGAATAAGGAATATAGTTCTTACCTTGAATGTTCGTTACTCCCATGATAGCAGGATATGTCCTTATTCCAATCAGGTCGTACATGGGAGCGCCGTTAGTTCCTCCCATAAAGGAAGTAAATGTTAAACCAACGTGACCTCCAGTTACCTGATTACCTATTGCAGTAGATACAGGTAGATCGGTAGTACAGTTATATGACGATGTTGTCCCGATGATGAGACTGTCCTTCACGGTACAATACTTCGGCGAGTATAAATGATCTATAGCACTTGGTCCAACTACTTGGGTATATAACCCAAGAGTGTTTTCTGCTATTATATTATTAATCAAAACTACAGAGTGTCTGTTGTTGTAATATATTCCTATATCATTACATCTCCAGATGAAATAGCTCGATATTTGATAGCACGAGCCTTGAAAGGTATCCCCTGGAAAAACAGCCAATCCTATTGATGAACTGTGGGCTTCATTACCCGATGGACCGAACGTTAGACCACATTCTACCCCAGGAACATGGAAAGCTACTCCGTTAGTACCGCTGACTGTGTTATCTGTAAGTGTCATTTCTTTGGACCCCATCCCACTTATTGCTCCAGAATAGGAACTGCTATCCTTGACTAAAGTGATAAAGTTATGCTGAATTGTTGTCTTCAAAGATTGTGTTTCGATTGCTGAAATTCGAATTAATAATTCATTAGGCAATAAATGAGTTACAAGATTGCATTCCCGTTTATTAAATGCATGTGAAAAATACTCTTAGCTACAGATACAGAAATGTAAAGTGAAGTTACGCTGTCATGAGTGTAAATATCATTAGATTAAGTACACGCATGGAAACACAAAAAAATGACACAAACACTATACGCCATGACATTTAATCTATTTTAAGCTCAACTGCCCAAAGGGCAAGTGTGCTTATGCCATGGCTCAGCGTCCGTTGTCCGTCGACCGTCCGTCCGTTAACATTTTCTTGAAGACGCTACTTGCCCTAAACGGATCAATGGATTGTAACAAAATTTGGTCTGGAGTCCAAAGGGAATTCAATTTTGTATCAAAGGAGGATGTGGCCCCCATAGGGACAGAGGGGTGGGGCCCAATAGGGAAATTTTTGGTAAATCCTAAAAAAATCTTCTTCTTCTTTACAAATGGAGGCATTTTTACCAAATTTTGTCTAGAACATCATTGGGGGCAAGGGGAATTCAATTTTGTATAAACAGAGGGCGTGGCTTTCCATGGGGGAAGAGGGGCGGGGCCCATTATGGAGAAAATAGGTGAACATGCTTAAACTCCTCCTTATGTACGAATGGAGGGATTTGAACCAAATTTAGTATATATTATCCTTAGTCAAAAGGGACTCAATTTTGTTTTGATGGAGGGTGTGCCCCCCTGGGGGCTGAGGGGTGGTCTCTTATAGTGGAAAATGCACGTAAAAGATTTTAAATTCCGTAAATCCCGTAACCATATATGAATATCATTGCTGGGCATCAAGAGACAAAGACAATCATGATATAAGTATGCACTCTTGTGTCTGGCCCCACCCCTAGCCCTAGGGGCCCAATTTCTTGGCCATAACTTTGAAATGGTCGGGATCCTCAACACATACCATATATACCATTGCTAGGTGTAACGAAACGAGGTTTATGAATATCTAAATGTACAGTTTTTTATTGTTAGAGAGTGTAAGTTATTTATAAGTTATAAATAGGTTCAATTATTGTCGATTAGAGTAAACGCAACCGCTGTTTGTTTGCATTTACTCGCCGGACTTGCTTAGAGGAGTTTGCAAGATTGTAAGTTTTATCGGACGTGATATTGAGATTACGTGTAATGTTCGGGTGTTCTGCTCGCTATGTATTATGTAGATAACCTAAGAACTGTTCTGTTAATCGTATTATGGGCCATTTTAGGCACTGCGAATCTTGTAAACTCCATGCAGTGTGTTCTGCTTCGGTAGCGTGTTCTGCGCATGTCCGGTGCTCGAAGTAGTTTCCAGCTCTGCGTTATTTTAATCAGCCATTCAATGTATATTAGGAATTTCTGCACGTGAATGTGGGGCATCGGGGAATATCAATGCTCCAGCGTCAGTTACACTCTGGCTGTCGCAGAGGTAAGTCGTGCTCTTGATCTCAGAACCGCTTACCTAGTCCAGCCGTAACTCAGCCCCTATCTTTCCTAGATATTAGCTATGTAAGCGTCTAATGACGTCATTTGAAATTTTTTAAAGTAGGGTTTCCCCATATCGTACTTTTATTTACATTAGCTACGGGCAAGGTCATTTGTAGACTTACGGAACTTGGTAGTTATTGAGGTCGTCAGTTGTCTTAGACTTTAAGGTGAATGTATATTGACTTCTGTAGTGCCATATAAGTACATAATATTAATATAAATAGGATATAAATTGTACAACTCTTTATTCTACAAAGCACCAGCCGGTTGTCATTATGGTTGCGATGTAAATACCTATTAAACAGCCTTATTTAACTTTACATTTAGTGTTGTCAAATCTGTCACTGAGTGGTTACTAAATAAATGTGAGCCTTGTAACCAGAGGTTGAAGAGTGCACCTCGATGACCAGAGTTGTTTTTTTACCAATAATGGCCTTGCTACCAAAGGTAGAAGAGGGCACTTTGCGTACCGGAGAGCTTACCAAAAAAACACCTTACGACCACGTTACACTAGGCATAAAGATCCAGTTAAGCGATACTTCATATCCTAGAACTTATGGTTCAATACATTAGCTTTTTTTCCTAGTTGATGATTTGATTGTCCGTATCATAGCGTCGCGACAAATAAAGTGTTGGTTGATTTTAAGGAATTATTACGGAAAATACGTTTATAAGCATTAAAACAGTGTTTTTATCATTATTATTATTATTATTATTATTATGTATAATACCTACCCAAAGACACAGCGTGGTGGATGACGTTGTCCGTAAGTGCAAGACCATTGGTACCGTATACTCCAACCGCTGCCGAGAAGCCGTGATGGAAGACACACTTAGTCACAGATGACGGGCTTTCTGTTGTCACCGTACCGGCGTTGAGATATATCAATGAAGGCCTTTTATCCGATAAGGAACTCCAACTACTTTGGCCAGTATGGTAAAATTCAACATTACTAAAGCGGGCAAAACCTAAAAACAAACATAGCAAGCGTCTCACTATTCCATTGTCATTAAAAGGTCTACAGACACAAATGATTGTTTTTCATCCAATACAATTCAAATATTGCATAACAAAGAACAGATGATTTTTCCCGCTCTGAAGTGTTCAGCAGAAGAAGGGTTGCAGTGTGTAAACGTACGTGAAATTTGCTAACAAAAGACTGCTATTGTTATCACATACTGCAAAATCCTATTTTCAATACATGATAGTGACATGTTTTTGTTTGTCAATGAAAAACAAACCTCTGTGATGTTTCATTAAATCTTACAAGAAATACGACAGCGAGTGATGAACAGTGAAGGTACAATTCTATTAATAACGATTGCCTTGACCTTTTACCGATCAAGTCGATATAAAAACCTATCGAAGGTATGCATAAAGTAACATAACTGTAAAATTCGTCAAAATATGTAAAGTAATACAGCCGCTAAAGTTACGGAGAGAAGGCGGGACAAAAACAGTATACTTCTGACTCGCGTAGCAGGGTCATAATTATGTTGAAATATTTTTTTATCTTTTGTCGCCGTTCATGTCAATACCTTGACGATGTTTTATTTCAACGTTTCAACTAATCAATTAGATATAAAATGTGTTATGATAAACGTTACTGCTCATTATGTAACAAATATATTTCTAACCATTGTATTTTTCATTGCTTGACACAGCCACGCCAACAACAATGCGTCCTCCATAGAAATCTGTGTGCATTGCATCCTCATCTTCTCCAAGTATCCGGATGTTTCTGGTGAGGAGACCTACTTCTGCTGACATAATCACTCTTCGATCGGTTATGGTTTCCTCATGTGCTGCAACAACATTATTTGGTGATGATAAAGAAATAGAACTCATACTTTTCTTTGCATGGATCAAATATCAAATTGACCCAAAATGAAATTTTTAAGTTTGCAAAATCACTGAGTAGCCGCAAAGATATATCGTCTTTAAAACGTAAAATTATGCTTGTCACATTTTGTTTGTGCGTGTTTTATCTTTCTTTCTTATTGATGCCATATACTTTTATTATGTATATGTTAATTATGTTTTGAATTAATATTAAGAGACATTGTCTTAAAAATAAATACAAGTGACAGCATAAAAAACAAAACTAAATAAGGGAAAACTTATGTATAGGAGAAAATAAATTTTAAATATTTCCTGATTATGAATAGTTATGTTTTCAATATGGTATTACATTTTTATGAGATATATGCGTCTTTGTTTTTGCCATATTCAGCTATAAGGCAATACGTACCAATATGTCTGAATTGCAGGGAAACGTTCAGTTCTAGAGTAAAGCCATCATTCGACACGCCCGTGATCTTGAATGTTTCCGTCTCCCATATGTCGTAACTGGTAGGGGCGATGACGATTTCTTCCCCGACTCCCCAGGTTACGTTATCAGCTAAAGTAATCGATGTATCCCCGGGGTTTCCTGTTGTGACCAATCTTGTCCACGGAATTCCAACATCTTTACCATGTAGTTCAAGTCCTCCATATACAGCTTGATAGGAGGAATATTCCAAAAATATTTTCAGTTTACAAAAACGTTCGCATTTGTTTTAAAGTAGCAAAATAGTTTTTAATCGATTATCCAAATTTTGGATTTGATTGGTTTTTTCTTTTTAATACAATAGAGAAACTTTATTGAATCAAAAGATTGGACCTTCCTAGACAATCATTTGGTAAACATGGCGTCCCGATATAAATCAAAATGTAAGCCAGTTATATGAATATTCCTTTGGTTAGACTACTTGGATCGTGGAGCTTCCAATATATCAAGGATTAATTACTGTCTTACGTTTGATACTGTTGTCCATATTAAATCCTCCCCTGGTGAAAGGGTGTGGCGTAGAAAATGTATACACATATGGGAAATCATTCGACGTAAAAATAACAATTTCCTTATATACCTATTTAAACGTGGGAAAATTGAATATTTCATTAATACTTAAAATATATAACATGTCAATCTGCATAATACAGTGTTATCGGTATGTGCGATAATTTTTAACTTAACGTATATGGTTACCTATTGTTTTCAAATTGACAGGTATGCCCGTGTTGGGCAGGTATTCCTCAGTGTCGGAGTATCCTTGACGCTGACCCCGAAGAATGATATCTATTTTACCCAGGAATGGATCATTTGTAGAACCAACCAGAAGGTTCCCTCCAATAATAATGACGTCCTTTGCACTCAGAGTGAAGTTTCTGTAGGAACTATTTACCGGTCCATGATCAAACTCCAACACGCCGTAGATAACGAGTTTGTTCAGCATCGGTATCACCGTGTCAGCTATCATGCATTTCCCTTTTCAAAGATAAAATGACAAGACATATCTTAATGAATCTTGTTTTCAGTCATTCCACAGGTCAATGATGTAAAAAAAGGAATCAAGTTATCGCTAGCTCACTATCTGGCACGCCCTATCGGTGTTACTATGTTCAGGAAATGAATCTTGGTGGGATTTTACATTTTTTTAATTTTATTTTTATTTTTCAAAGACAGAGAGACTTGAAAATGTAAATAGAAATGGCTGTTACTTACGGAAAATATTTCGCTGGAAACATACACCTTAACGTTAACAGACATTAAAATATTGGTATTCTTTGATTCTCCAGTAAAACGCAATAGGTTGCTAAAATTGTACAAAGTAATGAACTTTAATACGAACATTGCATTTTAACAGCATTTCTCTAAACTGAAACTGAGAATTTGGTCGAAAATACATCTTACCTCTCCTGTAACAAACATATATGCTATTAATATTTCCCCCATTACACCTGTTAGATTGTAAAGAATGATGTTATGAAACTAAGACTAACATTGATAGTGTACACAACTTACCTTCCCGAATGATTATACTTACCGTCATGATGCATTCCAATATTATTTTTTCATTGATACATTTGATGAAATGTTCTGAAGGAGAGAAAGGACAATTGAAAGGATTTCGACCCTTAGGGATACGTGTACATTTAAATTTATATCATATGCAACAATAAATTCCTGAAAGAAACGTATTCTTATCATCCTAATAATGTTTTAGATCTTTTAATAACCTTTCGGGATAGTGACGTCATCCCCCTCAACCGGAAATGAATTGTTTGGCCATGATGTAGGCGAGGACCAGTAAACGCAGGTCGTTGTTGAAGGGGTAGTCTGGGGTGTAGGTGGTGGATGTGGAGAAGGGATAACACAACCCTTAAATAAGCACTGTTTGATTTGTAAATTAAAGTGTAAATCCTGTATGCTGTGGTCATTATGGTACCATCGTCGTCTATACGATACTGTGAACATATGAAACATGTGTAAAACAGCTGTAATTATTGAATCAATACATATCATTGATGCAATTAAACAATGCAATATCAGATATTAATAACAATGGAAAGAATTAGTTTATATATTTTAATTTAGTTACATTTTAATTGATAGAATTTTGCCAACAAAGAATGCTTTCTAAGAGAGAGAGAGAGAGAGAGAGAGAGAGAGAGATCAGAAAATAATACTGGCTTCCTGACTACAACAGCTTACGAAACATGATTCCTATATTCATATCATCAATTTTATTCATATGTTTGAATTACTGAATTTCTTTATAGCATGACGAGACTGTTTAAAACGAATGATATCTATCTGAAATACCATATCACATAATTTCATATCAAGCACTTACCTAAGTACGCGATCATGCCGGACGTCTCGTTGTACTGCCAGTCTCCAAGGTAGTGAGTTTCTGGGTCTAGGGTTTCATTTGTTGCAGGGATAAGATCTCCATCTATCCAAACCTCATCCGGTTCCCCAGTCAAAGCCTGACTTATGATGACGTAATCGCCGTACTATAATGTATATTTCATTTCAGTAATAATTACCATAACTTTAGTATGCATATACAATACCTACACCCATCTTTGTAGCCCAAAAACAAAAGATTCAAATATCCCTACCTCCCTACCGTGACGTAACCTCTATCTCGATGACAGAGCCACGGAGTGATCTCCCTTCCTCTTCCTTTTATGGCGCCTGCTGCATGCTGACGCACGGAGCTTGCTCCAATTCAAAACATTGTTTTGTCGGTTTGGTTTGAGTGTCAACTCATATTTTTGCGCAGTTTGTGTGCCTTATACCCATCTGCCTTTATTGATATAACTAATTGTTGTTGAAAATTATTTTTGTGCCTTTTACGGCCGGTTATTTTACTCCACGTGTGCCGGTGGTGTGCCACGGTCCGCCATTATCGTGGGTTAATTTCCGACCTCTGTTTATTTCGGTGACGGTTGTTTGTTTCGGCAAACGTTATTTATTTTAACCGTTTTCTGATTTATATTACGGGTGAAATTCTTTCTACGTTGCGTACTTTGTACTATCGTATTTTAACCTTATTTTCCCGTTTTATCTGCTTGTAAATTTTTTGTTTACGTTCGCTTTGGAGGGTATGTCTCGGTCGGGACAGCGACGAGGTAGTGCTCATGGGTGTTCCCATTTCTTTGTGGAACGGGACCCTCATGATGCCTGTCCCAGGTGTCGTCCTTGCAGTGAGGTTTCGCCTTGTGAACTTTGTTCACAGTCAAAATCTCAGGGCAAGGACTTCATTGTTCCAAAGCTACCCTCAACTTACCGTAAGACAGATTCGTCTGTTTCTTCCGGTAAGCGAGGGAAGCAGAGAGGTAGGGGTCGTGCCACCAGCTCTCTGGGGTCTGGTGGTACTGTCTCTGTTCCTGTCTCGGGGGGTCTTGCTTCGGCAAGTCCCTCTCGTGAGCAGGGGGTGGCCCTTCCTGTCCAGGAACTCCCTGGAGTAGGGGAGGGGCAGCCTGACCCTGGCTTGGCACAGCCAAGGGTCGAATTGGCCGGGAACGCCCGTAAGCTTTCGCGCTTGCCTTCGGGTAGGGACTACCGGCCGCCGGTCACTGACTCTGTCAGTGATCCCGGCATTCCAGGTGGTGCTGTCGTTGGGGACAGTCTTGGTGCCGGGCCTGTTCTTTCGGGTTCAGGTCCTGGTGTGACAACAGACTTTCTTTCGGGATTGTCTGTGTCTACCGGGATTAGTGACGCGCAGCTCACTAATCCCGGCATCAATGCTGGTCAGGCATACCCTCCCGGTCAGTTACCCGGACCCGGTCCTATTAGGTCCGGTCCCGAGTTTCATTCTTCTGGGAACCTGGGGGGTTTCCCCCCAGGGGTTGGGTTTGCTGGACAGGGGGCCGGTTTCCGGCCTCCGTTTTCCCCTGGCTTAGGGTATACGGGTGCCTGCGGGCAACCATCCTTGGGCCGCCCTTACCAGCCTGCGGATGGTTTTGGGTTGCGGCAGCATCCCGGCAGTTACGGGCTTAGCCCGTACATGTCCGGGTTTCCACCTGGAGGGAGTGGCGGTCCACCTTCGCCCTTTGGGCAAGTTGGCCAGCCCCAGTCTCAGGCAGGCCAGTTTGGCCAGTTCTGGGGTCACTCCCAGCCCGCGGGACCTTTCCCCTATCCTCCGGGATATGGGTTTAACCCCATGGCATTTCCGTCATGGAATCCTTGGGGTTTGGTCTCTCCCTCGCGGAGACGTGTTAGCATAGCCCGTACATGTCCGGGTTTCCACCTGGAGGGAGTGGCGGTCCACCTTCGCCCTTTGGGCAAGTTGGCCAGCCCCAGTCTCAGGCAGGCCAGTTTGGCCAGTTCTGGGGTCACTCCCAGCCCGCGGGACCTTTCCCCTATCCTCCGGGATATGGGTTTAACCCCATGGCATTTCCGTCATGGAATCCTTGGGGTTTGGTCTCTCCCTCGCGGAGACGTGTTAGCAGTTCTGTTGACCCCCCCCAACTTTCTGCTACTTCGGGGGCCTTATCGGCCGGTCCTAAGAAGGTGTGTCGGACCTTTAGGACTTCTGCCTCTCGGGCAGGCTCGTTGGTCTCTGGGTCCAAGGGTAGGGTTTTGGCTACTAAGCCTAAACCTACAGCCACGGCCGTTAGGCGCACTGCACCTAAACGCCGGTACGGGGAGCCTTCTCTCGGGTTGGCCCCTCTGGCTGGCCCATTTCCTCCGCCCCAGGCTTCTGGTCTGGATGGTGTGGAGGCTATGGACGTTGAGGGCGCGGGTATGGCAGAGGACAATGATGTTGTTCATCTTTCACCTGGTTGTTCGGATATAGACGCTGGTCTTTCCGAGTCGTCTGACGACAGTCCTCAGGAGGGCTTGCCCTCAGAGGAGGACTTCCAGGATGAGGGAGACCCTGAGGCTGCTGAGGTTGAGGCCCAGCATGTGTTATCCGGTATGCGGGGCCTTAGGGCTGACGTTTCCCGGATTCTTGGGGAGGAGGTTTGCCCACCACCTTCGGCATCATCTGTCCCCGAGTCCACCACCCTTTTGGGTTCTTTGGTGGCTCCTCGGGTGTCCGCTCGGTCGGACCGCTCTCTGCCAGAAGGCACCATTGTGTCTTCAGCTCTGGCCACCGCCCAGTCTCGGGTTTTAGGGAAGAATTCTTCTTCAACCCGTAGTCCTGGGTATGCTGGGTTGCAGCTCAGTGTTGGCGATTTGTCAGAGGTGCACGCCACTGACTATGCCACACATGATGGTCTGCTTGCCCCTCAACCAGCTAAGCTGGAATCGAGGGAACTTGCAGCTTGGCCCGGTAAATCGGTGGACCAGGTGGTGTTCGGTCCCAAAGAACACCACAAGATGGAGAGACTGCTGCGTCTCTCCATCCAGATTCTGTCGTATATAGACTACTTGACGGTTTGTCTATATAGGGTATCCGACTTGCCTGAGGGTCGGATAACCGAGACAGAGCAGGCCGACATCCAGGACAGAGTGACCTCTGCCCTGAACGGGGCATTGAGAGCGCTGGCAGCTTTACAGGTGTCATCCCTCGTCAATGTCTTGTTGGCTAGGCGGTTTTCAGTTTTGAAAAATCGCCCGGTCGATGAGCCTTACCGTTCCAGACTGTTGACTGCCCCCTTCTCAGGGTCCACTCTTTTTGGAGGGGCCCTTCCTTCTGTTCAGAAGGATTTGAAGGAGGACTCGGTCGCCTCTGCACTTCTGGTGAAGAGGATTCAGGCTGAGAAGGCCAGTACCTCGCAGGGGTCAGCGCCTCCTAAGAAGAAGGCTAAACCTTCGGCTTCGCAGTCCTCTGCGCAGCCCAAGTATAAGCCTCCCTTCAAGGGCAACAAATGGAAGGGTAAGAAGGGTAAGAACCCTCCTGGGGGTAAGAAGAAGGGTTCCTGACTCTTTTCTTCCCTCCTTGGTCGTGTCAGACGACGAGTTTGGCCGGGAGGAATGCAGTCCTCTCGGCTCAAGCTTAGGTCCTTCTCCCGCAGGATTAGGCTTCGGGTCAGCAGACGATTCTCTTGCCTGGCAAGGTCTCGATCTGCCTCGACCAGATCTTCCTGTGGGGGGTCGTCTTTCTGCTTTCCTTCCAGAGTGGAAGGAAATTACGGAAGACGCATGGACCTTGTCTGTGATCAAGGAGGGGTTAGGCATTCCGCTAGTGCGGGATCCGCCCTTAGCGTCAGAGCCAATCTTTTTTCCTCCACCGGGGGATCCGGAAAAGGCTCTGGCGCTCCAGGAGGAAGTAAGGACCATGCTTTCCAAGGGCGCGGTCGAGGAGGTTCCTATGTCGGGATGCACTCCCGGGTTCTACTCCAGAATGTTTCTGGTTCGGAAGAAGTCCGGGGCGTGGCGTCCCATCATAGATCTAAGTGCCTTCAACAAGCACGTAGATTCTCCTCACTTCAAGATGGAGACTCCTCGGGGTATTATCGCCTCCGTGAGAGAGGGAATGTGGGCGACTTCAGTAGATCTAAAGGACGCCTACTTCCACATCCCCATCAAGAAGTCGGCACGGAAGTACCTCCGTTTTACTTGCAACGGAAAGGTCTTCCAGTTCCGGGCCATGCCGTTCGGGCTCACGACTGCACCTTTGGTTTTCACCAAGCTGCTGCAGGTGGTCGTGGGATTCCTGCACTCTCGAGGAATAGATGTTCACATCTATTTCGACGACTCCCTCATGCTCCACCTAGTGAGAGAGTCTCTGGTACAGGTCACCCGGTTGGTTCTGAAACTCTTACTCAAGGTCGGCTTCATTCCTTCCAGAGAAAAGTCGGAGGTTTCCCCATCTCAGGATTTTGTTTTTCTGGGGAACCGTTTCAATACGGTTCAGGGCATCGCCCTTCCACCGATGGAGAAGTTCGAGAAGGCCAGGGCTTTTGCTCTGACCTTTATCGGCCGGTCTCAAGTCCAGGTACGTTGGTTTCTCAGTTTTCTGGGATATCTCAACGCCCTGGCCGATGTGGTCCCCTTAGGGAGACTTCACATCAGGCCTCTCCAGATGTTTCTCCTTGCCAACTGGGTCCCTTCTTCAAGGGATTGGGAAGCCTTGCTTCCTCTGAACCAGTCGGTCAAGGAGTACGCACGCTGGTGGACTCATCAGGACAATGTTCTCCGAGGGGTTCCTTTGTCCAAGCCAGTTCCCACTATGACCCTGTACACGGATGCATCCATGACAGGGTGGGGAGCTTATCTCGACGGGCGTTGCCAGTCGGGGGAGTGGTCTGGGGAACAGCTCTCGGAGCACAGCAATGTGCTCGAGATGAGGGCTGTTCTGTTGGCTCTGCAGTCTTTTCGGGAGATCCTGCATTCCAAGGTGGTTTGTGTGGCTACGGACAACACTACGGTTGTCGCGTATCTGGAGAGACAGGGGGGAACCAGGTCTCACACCCTGTGTGCCCTCGCTATCCGCATTCTGCTTCTATGTCAGGAAATGCAGTTGACAATTTGTGTCAAGCATCTACCAGGCAGGTTGAATGTTCTGGCGGATACTCTTTCCAGGCGCCGCCAGCCGGTTTTGACAGAGTGGCAACTGAATCCCTCGATTTTCGTGGGAATTTGTCAGGTGTGGGACAGGCCTCACATAGACCTGTTCGCCACTTCACTGAACAATCAGTTGCCAACGTTTGTCTCTCCGGTACCAGATCCAAGGGCTTGGGCCGTGGACGCTCTGTCTCTGGATTGGGAGGGAATGCATGCATATGCATTCCCACCCTTCAACATGGTGGGCAGGGTGCTGCAGAAGTTTCGGGAGCATCAGTGTTCCCTCCTCCTGATAGCGCCCCTGTGGCCGAGGCAGCCTTGGTTTCCGGAGCTTTTGTCGCTTCTGGTGGAAGAGCCCCTGGCTCTTCCTCTCAGAGCGAACCTCCTTCGCCAGCCTCGTTCCAGGACGATGCACTCTCGTCCGGAGATCCTCCACCTTCACGCGTGGAAGCTATCTCAGGAGGCCTCGCTCAGGCGGGCTTTTCTAGGGACGTGTCAGATCGCATCGCTCGATCAATTAGGGCTTCCTCATCTGCCGTCTACCAGTCACGATGGAAGATTTACTGTGATTGGTGTGTCGGCAGGAAGGTTGATCCGATCAAGGCTACTGTCCAGGTGATTGCGGACTTCCTTCTTTGGCTGTTTAGGGACCGCAATCTTGCCCCTGGCACTATCGCTGGTTATCGCACGGCCATTGCTAGTGTTCTCTCTGTTCATGGTAGGTCGGAGGTAGGCTCGTCCTCCTCTCTTTCTGCCTTGATTAGGGGGTTTGGGTTGGACAGGCCTAGGGTCCGGCAGTTGGCTCCGCAGTGGAATTTGCCACTGGTGCTCGAATCGCTGATGCGGGCACCTTATGAGCCTTTAGCGTCTGCCTCCTTGAAGTTTGTTACTTACAAGGTGGTATTCCTTGTTGCCCTGGCCTCAGGTCGAAGGAGGAGTGAGATTCATGCCTTGTCTTCTCACCCCTCTTGCCTCCGATGGTCCAGGAATTACTCTGCCGTTACCCTTCTCACTGATCCTGCCTTTATGGCTAAGAATCAGGTTCCTGGCTTCTCGCCCGATCCGATTAAGATTCCGTCTTTGACTGCCTTCGTTGGAGCTGAGGAACGGGATAGGTTGCTCTGTCCCTGTCGGGCGCTTAGGTTTTACCTCGATAAAACCAGGGGGGGGCGAGGTCCTCGATCTCGTCTGTTTTTGCCCATTAAGCAGGGTCAACAGGATATCTCTTCTCAGTCAGTGTCTAGATGGATCTGTCAGGTCATCAAGTACGGTTACGACCACTCGGATGATCAGGTTCGGGCGTTGTATAAGGTGAGGGCGCATGAGATCAGGGCCCTTGCTGCGTCATGGGCCCTCCTCAATGGGTCCCCCTTTCAGGAGGTCATGTCCGCAGCTTTCTGGCGCGGACAGACTACCTTCACGGATTTTTATCTCCGGTCCTTGGCCTCTCATTCTGATGGATTGTATTCCCTTGGACCGGTGGTGGTTGCACAGTCTGTGGCTGTTCCTCCACAGTAATTCAGTGATTTTAAATAGTATGCTATCAGGCACCACGGTGGTACACCTGCTCGTTTCACGGGGAGGTTTTCCATTTTTTAATTACTTTCGGGGCTTTATTAGGGGGGTTCCTTGAACCTTTTCCCTACCTTGAGCATGTCTCGAGTTTGTTCCGTCAGCCTGGTCTGCCTGGATTCGAAGCCTCCACTACGGTAAGACGAATTCGCATACTAAAGTTATGGTAATTATTACTGAAATGAAATTGAGGTTTTTGAAGTAAAACCAATTTTCATGATGTAATACTTACCATAACTTTATGGAGTCCCACCCTGTATTCCTCCCCTTGCCTCCTCATCCTGGCTGCCTTTAGGCTCCATAAAAGGGGGTTTGAGGAAGGGAGATCACTCCGTGGCTCTGTCATCGAGATAGAGGTTACGTCACGGTAGGGAGGTAGGGATATTTGAATCTTTTGTTTTTGGGCTACAAAGATGGGTGTAGGTATTGTATATGCATACTAAAGTTATGGTAAGTATTACATCATGAAAATTGGTTTTACTTCAAAAACCTCAAAATGATCAAAGTATAACATAATTTGCTTATAAACACACATTAATTAAAAAAAGACATCATTGAAATGATGACCTTAGTAAATATGTATTACAGCATAAATACAATATCTAGATAACATCAACAGCATATTTTCCAAATGTTAAATACTTGATATAATACCTGCATTCTATAAGCATTCCCGTAGTAGCTGAAATTAGTCAATATGGTGTCATAATCAAAGTTCCACAGATAAGATTCACCAGAGACCAAGTTCGTCATCCAGCCGTTTGCCGGATCGATAGCACGATAACGATACTGGTGTTTTGTTGATCCGTATGCGTTGGTAAAGACGATAGGCCAACTCCAAGAAGTGAACGATACAGCGAATCTGAAGAGTTTGACATCTGCTGGACAAGTGCATAATGGGATGTTTGATGAGTTTGAAAATAAAGTACAGTTTGACGGTAACGTTCCTGTACATGGTACCACCTTACAGGACGGATATCCACACAGCGACCCATCCATGTCTTCGTACACCGATTCCCAGATCCAGTCGTTGTTCACACGAATATCAACATTACTAAATGTTAGATTCTGTGTTCTGTACATGTATCCACCACAAAGTGAATCACATCGCTCTGGAATCCTGGTAATGGCTAGGGCTGAACAGTCGGGTTTGTCAAAGTTAACAAAACTGACATTACGGATTGTGAATCCAAAGTTATAAGGAGATAAAACGCCTGCTTTGGTACAACTATGTGTCGGTTTACTTGATCCATAGCCAGCAATTATCGAATCTTACAAAAGGGGACTATCATCAGTATATTGATTTCCCTCTACAATCGCTTTCCCCTCATACCCAGCTTCAACGTTATTTACAGCGGTCAAACTCCTGACCTAACGGTACCCATTTCTTCTACTACAATTCCCTTGCGACAGTTCCACACGTGCATATTATCTATCACTGCAGCCTTCCGGTAGGATGATGATGGGTTGAATGAATACATAACACGCGGAGTATATCTGGGATGAATCCATAATCCGTACATTCCTAAAGAATGAGCAGTATTATTGTTGAATTTGGCAAGAGGGGTAAAACGCGGTCTGTGACTACCCGTTACGGGGGAATGAATAGTATTTTCCAAATGAAACCAGTATCCAAAATGTGTTCCGCCGGCTGCAACGTTATGGCGAAATGTGTTGTTTGGATTTGTAATCAAAAACGTTGCTGCAGATATGTCAGCGCTCAATAGCTGTGAACTTCCTTTCACGTACACGCCAAGGTTGTATTGAAATGTATTTCCAGTCTCAGTTCCATCTTCGAGAACTATCGCTGCACCATTGACGTTGTAAATCACATTTCTCTCAACAAGGAGGTTGTGTGTATCCCTAATGTTAATAGCTCGATTAAACGTGTCATATATTCCACATCCACGAACGTATGACTTGGACATGTCACCAGTCATATGGAAGTTGATTGGATGCCGACCAAGACGGAAGGCCTGGCCGACGTGGTAGAACTCCACAAACTCAATTCGACTCCTGGTTAATTGCTTAGTTGGGTCTGTTGTGTGAATTACAACTTGAGCACCGAAGTTGCCACCTCCCATTTTCTCCCCATATCGGCCCGGGGCGCAAGTTTCAGTAGAGAAGTAATCTAAAATAAAATTAAGGAATATTGAAAAATAATGATAGGCTTGTTTGCATTTCCACTTGCCACTGATGATAGTTTTACGCTTTTTAATAAATTGCATGTATGATAACTGTATCAAACTAAAGAAAAACAATAACTTAATGAGAACATTTGAAAACGGAAGCATTTACTTTTCGTGATTAATATTTTAGGACATCTTTGATAACAAACCTGAATCAAAACCATCTGGACACGCTTTGATTTCCGCTATCCACTGCAGGTCACTGTACCCTCTTATAACCACATTACGTGTCAGCAAGGCCACTTCCGCGCTAAACTGATATTCATGTTCATAATTACCGAGATGAGGGTTTGTTAGAGCGTTGTTAAGTGTGATTATTTTATTGTCCGCAGCCACTGAAGCTATAGACAAAACCTCGGTCTCAGACTGGGAGTCGATACCCCCTGTGGTTGAAATTATAATCTGATCGCCTTCCTGCCAGGTGACCTCGTTTTTAAGTTGTATTTGTGTATCCCCAACAGCGGTGGATTGTGTCAACTTTGTCCAGGTGATAGGTATATGCGCTCCTGAAATAAAGAAAAAAACCTTATTGAAATAGAAGTGGTATTTGTCAATCATTTCATCCACTTAAAAAGTTAATATTTAATGACAATATACTATGAATTCAATTCGAGTATATCGATTTTAATTCAGACCGAATCTATTGTAACATTTAAAAAATATTAAGTAAATCACTGTTGGTGATCAATATTCCATGGACGATATGATCATATAGTGTAGTAAAAATGTTTATTTTGATTGATTTCTAAATCGACTTTCTTAAGTATTTTAGATAAATGCTTCCTTACATTGTATTCCTAACTTTTACATTGATCTTATTTAGCTCTTTATTTGTTTTTAAATATTTGTAATAAGCATAGGCCTATACAACGAAAAATAGACTGTTTATGTAAATAATTACGTCTAAGACTAGGGACCGAAGAAAACCCAATGGTCATTTGCTATGACATGCTATCTTGTTTATTGTGATTTCGACTGTCAATGTGATAGCATAAATAAGTTGACATGAAACACCACTACAACACAATACCGTGTAGGTCAAGTGTCCCCTCCCGGACGATGATCGCTTTTGTTCCATATATTGGCAGTTCCTTTGATCTGTGATGACCATGCAATGTAATTATTGCTTTGTGCTGGAACGGCTCTTCTTCTGTACCAACCTTCAACAGAAATGTCTCATTTGTTTCAGTTTTCCTTCATTTTGACAATTATTTCTTTCCTTCTATTTGGATAATTTGAAATTACTTTGATTTGACCTAGATTTACATAGTGAGAACACCTCTTCTTATTCTCCTTTTATCGGTTCTCAGGTTTGCAAGTAAATATTTACTTTGTTCGCAGTTTACAACACTTTTTATCAATTCTCTGCTCGAGTTGCGGTTTGGATCACTCTCCGATAGCCCCTTGTTTTGTTTTGTTTAGTTCGTTTGATTTCCGTTTTTTTAATATCACATTTTAATTAAAAAATGTCTTACGTATGAAAGATAATATGTCTTACATTTGGATGTTTTGGCCCGGTAAAAGTACTTGTGCATTGTATTCATAATCTGTCTCAGAAACAGATTCATACCTGTAGCAGACCGCCATCCGTAATCAATATGTTTTCTGCCTGAAGTTCCACATCTGTTTCATCAAATACGAGTTCTCCTCCTGCAAAAACCGGAATATGTGTCATGACTGAGTCTATCTGTATTCTGGTGGTAAGCGAACTTATATTTGGTTGTGAAGCATACTGAAAATATTAAAATCTTTGATAGAAATCACTTGAATGTTATTTTGAGGAATGTTAAATATATTTCATCAAGAAGATCATATACAGCAATAGCACCACGAGTAGACGCATGATACGCCCGTCAGACCCTCGGAAGGGTATTGATATATTGGAAGCAGTTAGTGACACATTATATAAATGTGTTAACTACCACCGTTTTGTTGGTGACTGTGACCTTACCATGCATTTACTGTGTTTATGGCGCAAACTATTTAGTGTTTCAGAATTACACTTTCATGGTCAATATTGCTATTACTAAATTGGAAAGGAAGTAAACAAATAATTACAAAGTTCTTGCATTTTCGACGGAATGCCCTTGTTTGACAATAATATCGCGTAAACAAGCAAAAGTAAACGGCAAAAACGATGAACAGCGTTGCTATGTCAAGCGTGATATGCCAAAACTCAGAAAGTCGAAACTCGACAGAAAAATCCGTAATATATGTTGAACATTATTGCTTCTAGCATTACCGTACAAACTTTGAAAGGAATTGATTAAAGAATAAAAAAAGTTCTTCCATCTACTACACAATGCCATTATTTGGCAATACAAGGGGCATAACTCCAACAAAAAAATGCAGGTAAACTTCTGAAATGCAAAGTCGTTTGAGCTATATTGGTATGTAATATGTGTACCAAGTTTAATCAATATATGTTTATGAATGAAGGCAAGATGGCGATGACCAAGAAAAGTTAACGGACGGACGGCCGGGCATCGGACAATGCAGCCCATACCTTAATACGACCCGTTGGAAGACGAGCGTATAAGAACAATACCCATTGGTTATACAAATTCTCTTTAATATATTTTTATATATTGCCTTGTATGACGAGCATTTTGAGGACCGGCGTGTTTGTATCAAACACAATTGTCTGTCCCTTTTGGATGACCACGATGTCTCCGGCCGTAGGTAGACCAAGTTCCGCCCCTCCCCACGTATACACAGAAGACCACACGTCCACAAAATGGAATCCCGCTTTTGCCTACAAAATAAGAAATCACACTTAAGAATTGTGATAACTTAAATGTATGACAATTTAGACACATTCCAAATTTGACTAAATTCAGTTAAAAAGATAAAACTGTTGCCTATCTTAAAAATGTACCTCGTCCGCCTTTCCATTACATCCCGTTTCAAGTTTGACAAAAGCTCGTTCCGACCCCGAATGAGCCTCTGTCACGCAGACTATCCGTGTGTTTGTCCACGATGTGATGTTACACAAAGTTCCAGCGATCGTCACTGAAGACTCGCAATCCTCAATTTTTTCTTGTGTTGATCTGGAAAATACACTGTTAGAATAAGTTCATTTCCTTATGCCGTAATATGATAAAGATACAGCAGGGCTGTGCGCTAAGCTATCTTATCCAAAACCTATGAAACATATATAATATACAAAACCTGGTTGTCTATCTACTCAAAATTGGACCCAAGTGCAGAGTTCCAGGTTAAGCTATAATATCAGCGCTTTGTTAGACGGTTTTAGTGGTTTATCAATTTGCCAGCTAATCCAAATAAAAAATATGAATCATTGATAATAAACTACAGATAAGTTGTGTTGTTTATTGAAAAGAATATTATTGTTACCCGAAATTGAACCCGGATATTGTAATTCGGGTTCCACCTTGGGTGCCTCCACGTTTAGGTATGACGTCATCAATGACTGGCGTCAGCGCTGGATCGTAGGTGTAAACATCCGTCAGTGTTTCAGTCACTTTGTTGACAGTTACATGAACATTACAGTTCATAAGTGAAGATCCTGTTCATCATAATCAGAATAAACAAAATAGTACCTATGATCTAATATGTTTAAATGTAATGCTTAAGAAAGGAATAGCAACCTTTTCCAATGATCACAATGTAAATATTGGATAAGTGATGACCTCATTAATGCCTTTAATAAGATATGTCCAAAACTTTGAAATGTATTTTCTTTTTACCACAGTTACAAAAAACCCTATAAACATATTAATCCCACTTGTTGGTAAGGACATAAGTTGATGCAATTTATTTACTTAGACCATATCGCAGTATTTATATTTGCACATACCATTCAACATAAAAGGCGTATTTCTGTTAAGAAATAGTAATGAGCTGAGTTATGTGTGCTGAGTTTTGAAAATATGAAACGATTAAACTTATTAGATATTGTACCTGATGAGGGTGGCGTATCGCATACATGTTGTGTTGACTCTGTTTTATGTGACAGTGACTTGTTGCAGATACGATCACAGATGGTAACCTCCATTTCGTCGTCAAATCCTGTACCGAGTATAGTGACTGTTTGGCTTCCGGCTAAACTACCTGGGAAATTGCATTATTTATGTATTACTAGATGTTACATCAAAAGTCATATGAAGGGCAACAAAGAAACTAGAAAATGTTTTGAAACATACAGAAATTCTAAAGAAATGCAGTAAAAAGGGAAATCTTTAGATCATAGTGACCTGCATACCACTGAACTGTGTAGTACTCCTCAAAACGATAGATTTTATTGCGGTCATTTTAACTTTGAATGCTATGGCCCACTTGTTGACGTCACCATTGCCATGCCGTCAAAGTTGTTAATTTGGATACCCTCCAGTAAATTAGGCTATTTTATTCATTAAACAACATTTACTTTTCAATGAAATCGATATTAAAAAACAAACAAATGAACGAATAAAACAAAAACAAAGAATGCAATGTAAGTATTGAACAGCTGACTCGAACAAATCTAACATGAAGTGGTAGCGCACTTCATTGAATTTGTCACTTTCAAGTTAGCATTTAAATTGACGAATTCTTACTGAATGCATTTAAAGTTTGGAGACTGTGAACCAACGACATCAGAGACATGGAGCTAAACGCAAAGTCTAAAGTTCCTCACGAAGACTTACAAAGCAGAGTACGAAGATCACACAGGATTTAACTGAAGAACAAAACAATCTGAAATGTATTCATACTACCATTATTTATGCTATGACAAACGTTCATATCGAGATAAGACAGATTGTTGGATACAGCTCATCACACTATCAAATGCGGATAAAACAGCAGAAGAGACAACGGTACAGACGTTCATTACACAGATAATGTGGGAAGGGCATAAACAGATCTCATCATGTCAATTCATCTTACCTGAGCTTGGAGTAATAGCCATTGCTGACATGTTGATTTTAAATGTCACATCAGTATTAGAATTTCCGAAATCTTGTACATTAACGTGCAAGGTGTATGTCCCCGCGCGCAGATTCCCGACAGTACAGTTGATTTCCGTGTCTTCGACAGCAGTTAAAGTACATATATTGCCTCCTATCAAAACACGCGTTTGGTTTAACTTTTTTCCAAGATGGAAGCCGGTGATGGTGATGTTCTGTCCACTCATTCCAGACGAAGGATGTATAGCAATTATTCTAGGAGATGCATCTTCAGTGAAGTTAAAAGTTTGGTAGGGGTATGCCACCCCGTTAGACAAGATAGCCAACACTTCACTTCCAATTGGATGAGCTACAGTTGTAAAAACTACGGACCTCAGTGTTCTATATGTCACTCTACATGGTGATCCATTGATTTGCATACTTACGTCAGACAGGAAGCCATTACCGGTGACCGTGACATCAGTTCCGCCGTATATGCTCCCTTCTGCTGGCGAAATGTTTGATATCGTTGCCACGCTTTCAACAATAACATTCTGATTTGGATGAAGTGCCCTTCCCTCCTCAAAAATATCTACCACAGCTAAATTTTCACCTACTGGTAAATTGGTTAACGTACAAACAATCTGTGAAAATGATACGTTTGTAACTAGACACGGATGCGTTTCTGATGACGTCATGATCACATTGACATTTTGTATTTCGTCTCCAAATTCCGTACCATCAATTGCGATTGTGGTTATGTTTTCACCCGTTATGGAGGTAGGGCTGATATTAGTTACAATCGGAGACATTGCGTCGTCATACTTAAAATAACACGATGTATCACATCTAGCAGGAATCCTCAAATTTGCGTCTGTTAGGATAGTAACGGACACCTCGCGCAGCCCAGCAGAGGACCTCGGCGTAAAACATACGATTTGCGTGTACGAACTCGATACTATATCACATGGATAACCACCGACGATAACTTCCGTCATGTTGCTAAGGGTTCCGTCTCCAAATCCGGTACCTGATATTGTTAGTCGTGTATGGCCACCCCGAGATCCATTCACAGGGGAAATTTGATTTACTAACGGAAACAATGCAAACGATTTAAGAATGTCTTTATCTTCGTTCACATGAGCATAACCCAGATTGTCCACCAGGAAGTCAAGAAATTGCGGTCGACCGATTCGTGGTTTGTTCTCAGGGTCAATGCTACATATAAGAGAGGATACTGAACTGGATGACACCTTACATTTATAGTCTCCGAATGAAACGTTATTCGCGCAACCGGAACTGGAGAACCCGTCACCTGATATTAATACCTTGTCATTCGTGGTACCGTTTTGACGACTGATTTTGTAGACGACCGGCGATACGCATATCCAGAATGCGAACTTAAAATTTGTGATATTCGTGGTATTGACTGGGAGAGGATGAGAACAATTGTCTCTGGAAGTTGTTGTATCAGAACACGTCCTGGCGTCTACAAGTACAAAACATATGGTGACTGTTTCTTTTATAGAAGTGTTAATATATGTATATATATTAAAACTATTCATAACTTGAAATGTATTAAAGTCTTTTTAGTGCCGTATATCTGCAAATGTTAACATATGTGTAGTATCTTCAAACAACCTATGTCACAAAACACATATTAAGCACTGGTTTCGTTTCAGATACAGCCAGCATTTCAAACTTCTATGATTTCTTAGGAACAATGAATTCGTAGGTTTTGCGGGTTAGATCAATCCTCATTCATCATTAATATAAATGGAATGCTTTAAATAAAAATAAACAAGTGGAAAGAAATTTGGCATCCGAAGCCATTTTGCCCAATTGTAGGATTTCGTTCTTTACACATTAAAAGCACTTTGTATAAACATTCTATTAACCACTTTTGATTTCAAAGTATGGTTTTGAATTTACAAACCTAAGTTTGTCGTAGTGTTAGCTAGGTTATAGATAGCCTCGAAACCGCCCAGTGTTACAGTGACGTCAGCGAGATAGGATGTTCTTTCTTCGACTACTACAGACCCATGGAACCACGTGGTACTGTACTCATCAACGAGGCCGCTCCAGTAATAAAACGTCCCTGCTTTACTGAATTCATGGGAATAAAATCCTGCAATTGCAATCAACAGATCTCATATAACTTTTAAATGTTTAAAAAAGAAGAATCGTTTAGATTTAAAGCCGATCGAGGAACAGCAGTTCAAATCAAAACAGATCTATCATTTCAATAATGGCATACGATCTTAACGAGCCTAGTTCATTCGACAACCTTTTACAAAAATAAGTTAATAACCAATATTATTAGCGAGGCGGATTTGTAACTGAATTGTTGGTTTTCACGTACAAGCAGGACACTTTCCATACAATTTTGGATTCCTATCCTGATTATTTTTAAATATGCTCCCACTCAAATTATTTCTATCAGAAGTAGTGGGCATTTTACAATATGGCCGCCATAAAAAGACAACATTAAACATTCAATGAAATGAATGTAGAAATTGGAAGTGGAAGAAGTGGTTTTTGCTTTTAAATCTAACAAATAGATAAATACTGAGTCAGCTAAAATATTTTGACAGGTACTCTTTAATTGGGTATATATTATTTTTTTCTATTTGAATTAGACATCCGATAATCCACATCCAAAATTACCCAGAAATAGTCTGCTTAGAGATTATTGAAGGTATGTTGAGGCAGCAAAGTAAAAACTTTAACAAAATACTCATCGACCTCGCGTTAAAATTTATGACAATCATTTTGACCTGGCACCATACAAATGTTTTCATTACAGCTGCAGGGTTGATTCATGATACAACTGGAAATATTGCCTAAACACACGTTATTAACCTTTAAAATGGTCACTTAAAATACAAATTTATTATTTTGAAAAATATTCTGATTTTTTTTACTTCGTATTTTGATAATCTGGATTTTATGGAACTATATCGCTGTTTTCCCTCTTATTCCATCTTTGGCGCCACTGGACCGTCATGTTTAGGAGGAAAGGGGAGGAGTACATGATGGGACTAAAGAAAAGTTATAGTAAATATCACATCATGAAATTGGTTTTACAATAAAAACACCCAATTTAATTTAAAAAATTGTCCTGAATCGACTGACAGGACAACTCCTGAAAAAACTCTCCCAAAAATGCCCCAAATATTTTAAGAAGTGGTGTAAATTTCCCCATGACACGAGAGGGTATACAATCAATATGCCTGATAGCATATGAATTTAAAAGTCTCACGGGGCCCAAATTACCTGGGAGGTAAAGCAACCGATTATGCCACAACCATCGAACCAACAGGATAAAGGCCATTTGAATGAGTTAGTTGCTGGTTAGTAATTGTCAAAGATAGCAGGCATGGCCTTAAAGAAAGAACCATAAAGACCAATGACACTTCGAGGGTGCTGAACTCTTCAACACTCACTGATCTCACTGATCATACTTGCTTGATCGGCAGCGCCCATGTAGATCTTGACGAGCTGGTGAGGTTGCTTTGTCCGTATCGGACAAAGCAATCTCACCAGCTCGTCAAGATCTACAATGTATGCCAGAGATGGAATCTTAATGGGTTCGGCGAAGACCCAGGAACCCGACTCTTATCTAAAAAGACTTGATAAAATATTGTATGGTACAGGTCAATTATTTGACCAGCGACAACATGAGTGATGAGAAGATAAACCATGGATATCATTCCAACCTCCAGAAGCCCGGGCAATACAGAAGTCAGACTTGAAGGTAGGAATTTTAGTTAGCGAGACCTTAAAGGCTCATAAGGTATCTTCATCAACGACTCAAGCACGAAGGTCAACTTCCACAGAGGAGCCAGCTGACTATCATTATGCCTGTCGAAGCCAATGCCCAGAATTAAAGGCATAACGGTAACACCACTGCCCAGCTCAAGTCTGCCTCGAAAAGACAGCGCTCAGGTTGTTGCGGTATAAATAACCAGCTATAGTACAAGGAACAATGTTGCGATCCCGGAACAGCAATTGAAAGTCGGTACTCACTTGTACAAACGGCTTGACCGGATTAAACAAATGCTAACAAAACAATCACAGAACATTTCCCATCAGAATTGGTAGACAGCAGGAGGGGAAGACCTGACTGATTTTGAGATGCCGGAAGACGCGATTTGAGAAAAAAACTGTCTGATCGAGGCCCTCTAAGTTGGTCTCCACGCGTGGATGATCTCAGGCGTGAGTACATCGTCATGGAACAAAGCTGCTAAAGGAAATTAATTTTCAGTGGAAAAGTCATTAGCCTTGACACCAGAAGAGACTGGAAATTTAGGCTGCCTCAGATATCTTCTGAAGCACTCTTCCTTACTTGTTGACCAAGAGAACTGCTCAAGCCTTCGGATGTTTGACTGGAGAGACGAAAACTTGCATTCGATTGTCCTATGCAGTGGCGAACAAATCTATACGGGGCCTCTTCCACACCTGACAAACCACTCGAAAATCGAAGGATTTAGCTGTCATCACTATCGAACATTTATTCATATTATGAAAACACTACAAACTCAATGTTAAGGAAACAAAATGTTGCATCAAAATATATATAGTGAGTCATCAGTGTATTTTTTCTTTTTGACATTTCATGTGATGCCCAACAAACTGACTTGTTTTTATATTAAAGATTGTTTTAGGGTCAATGTTGCAATGGGGACAGCAGATGCGTTTTGGTTTCTTCAATGTTCCATAGGAAAGCACAGAGGAAAATTTCAATTCTGAAGGGGGAGCGGGACAACATTAACCGCCTCTTAATATGTACAGTAGTATACAGCAGGCCTATTTTGCCCCGATTCTGATTCTGATTTTTTGTTTTTTGTTTTTTTAAATTCAATGTTACAGCATATATTTTATATATAATTATACTATGAACATTTCATATGAACATCGATCTCATCAATGATATATATATATAGAAATAAAATTATTCTGACCCAGCATTTTTGTCACCTAACAAAAACAAACAAGAAGATATATACAATAATATTGACTACATTAGCATTCTGGATGAAATATTCAAAGACAGCATTAAAACTGTATTTGTAGAATTGAGCTTTACGCATGCATTACACCTTTTTTGTAAGTTTCGAATATTTAATGTTAAAACGGTGGCAGGAGCTAAAATTAGTTAACTAGTTGCTCCACACTTGTGCATATATTTTTTTTTATTCCCATTTATATGCAGGTAATGATTCATGCTTGTACGTTAAAACCCACAATTCATTCATATATGTGCACGCATTTGCAGTGATAGTGGTCGTGACCTTTATATTTATCCCGATGTCTAGGTAAAAGACTATAAAAAAACATAGGTTCCAATGACCTACTTTTTATACTTGTCATTTCACCATCTCAAGATGTACTTCCATACCAAATCTGGTTGTACCAAGTGAAATGGTACAGAAAATATGTCCCAGACATATTTTTTCAAAGGTTGAGGTAAAAGCATAGGTCACAGTGACCTACTTTTCTTACTTGAAACCACAAACCCAAGATGTACTTGCCTATCAAGTCTAATTATGCAAGGTAAAATAGTAATGACGATATCCCCGGACAATTTTTTGCTAACCTTATTATAAAAATGAAAAGAGGCATCATTTTATGATATGTTGTTAAAAACGACACGCTAAAGGGCACAACATCCCATAACAGAAATAAATCTAAAAGTGGATATGAACAAAGGATCACATTTGCAAGGCTGTTCCGTTCTAGCGATGAGAACGAAACCGTTACACGTTTTATATATAATATGGATGTGTTTCTCATCTATGTTGATGTGGTAGTAGTCATTTAATCAAAAGCTAAGTAAAAGCAACATTAATACCCGTAGCTGTGCCAAAACCTCCGCTCGAAAACCCTCCCGGCTTTCCGTATTTGGCCGTCATATTGAACGTCTCTTCAATCTTTGGTTTCATTGTTGTAATGTAGAATGGGAAGTCCCAGTCCCAGCGTACGATATCGCCTACCAGGATCTTTACGTGCTGTGGATTCCAGTAGTAGTACTTTCCAAAATCTTATAAAGAATATTTCGTTATTAGCGAAAATTTGATTGAAAACATGTATATTGATTGAAAACATGGATGAATGAGAGCAGAAGGTATATGGCTATACAGTAGATATCTCACTATAATTTGCTCTTGCATGTTCCTTAGCATAATCTATGTATTAATATGTAGTATATTTTTGGAATGATAATAAATTAAAATTGTATGTATTCCTGCTTGTTTTTTACGTTACATGCAATATTTGCATTGATGTTTATGTGTTTGTCCTTTTTATGAGGTATATGTGTAAAACGAATTTGTGAATACGTTTGGTATGTTAATGTTGATGTGTTTGTAACGTTATTCATAAAACATTTAATCGTGTAGCTGTATCGTTTTAGAAACATAATAAAGAAAAATAAATTCAATAAATAAAGAGAAAAAATGATAATAAAACACACATTCAAATTTAAAGACATATAAACACATTACGTAATAAAAACCCGAATTTTTGTTAAAGTTCTTTAATGATGAACTTTTTTGAAAAAACTTACCAGGATGATTCCCATGATTATTAACCCTATGAACAGTTCGTATTCTCTCTATCTGACAGATTATTCGATTTTCAGTCGAAGTTATCACCTCACAGTTCTTTGTTCCAACCTTGACTCTGACACTTGGTGTAAATCCGTCACCTGTTAAAGTGAGACGTGTACCGCCGAACACAGAACCGAACATTGGATTGACGCTGGTCACTTCTAGATTACATACGATTGATGGTTGTTCGTTTTCGCTACAAGGAAGCACAATGCATTCACTACTTTTTGAATATTTGAAATGGATTTATTTACTAAAAAGAATAGACGAACATTTGCAATCCAATAGAATTGATGATTATGTCGACATTTTAAACATTTTGCCATACGGCATGCAAAGTATACAATAAACAATGTATTCTTATTTGTGTATCTTATCATTAAAAAAGAACTGTTGGAGAACAGCATAGCTCGCCCATTGGTAATATATGTTAGTATAAGATAGCAAATATCAAAAGAAACACATGTACAGTACAGCCCGTCATTTCAATTGCCACCTCGCTTACCACCAACATATTTTAAGGTCCCTTAGTTATGTTCTTCTTTATATTTTCCCCTCAATTTATTATCAAACCCCTTTATAATGCTTACATTTCTTTGAACAAATTGTGGCAGTATAACGAGGTTTTGCTGTACCTTATCATATTGTACATTTCAAAAGAAGAGATGACCAGACAATGTGAAAGAGTCAACAGCGTATTGATGGTGGTGATCCAACACTGCACAAAAAAAACATGCCCAAAAACTTTAACCTAAAGCCTGCCCAAAAACTTTAACCAAGTCCAATTAGCTGTTGTTGGCCCCTAAAATATGTAAACATGGGTCAGCACATTGCTTACACTCCAAATAAATGCATTAACTTTATAATAGACAATGTATGGTGTGTGTATGGGGAAAATTGCCCAAAAACTTTAAACTGGGTGAAGTCGGAGGCCGGGCTGATTACATAAGCCCTCCTATTCTTCGAATAGGCGAGCTAAGAAAATGCATAAAATCGTTCTTACGGTGTTAAAGCGGCTCCGTTATCGCCAACTATAAATTTAATGTGATGACACCCCGGAGAGCAGGGCGGTAAATTTCCCGTTGCGTAGCTGTTGTTGTAGAATGTGATGTCGATTTTGGTTTCATCGACCAGTAATGTTACATGATCACCTGCTCCAAATCCATGGCCAGCTATAAAGAGTCCATTTCCACCTGAAAATGGTAGTAAATCAATGAAACTATCTATAGTCGTTTACGAAAACTTTATAAGCTGCATATGATACCAACCCTAACTATTTTCATCATGAAACGGTTTTGCATAATTACGGGCAGCGATCGGCTTATCAAACGAGATGTGTTTTTTTATCACGAGATGGGAATAAGTTGTTTTATTGTGGTTCCGTTAGTGCAAAAAATCATATAACTATGATTTGTCATACATTTCTGGGAAAGAATGAATCAATGTTTCATTTTTGCATGCAAAAACAATACAGTAGCGTGTCATCGAGACAATAAAAATTATGTCATAATTATGACTTTCTGTCTCGTAATAACGACATAGTTGTTTCGTTGTAACGATATAGTTATGTTGTAATAACGACATTTTTTACACAGATTATTCCCCGGTGACCTGTACACACTTTAGTACTTTGTTGATCTAAGAAAATATACTAAAGCACTACCATCGTTAATTATTAATATGTGCGAACGTTCTCCAAATACCATATCTCCTTAGCTGCTAATATGACGTTTAACATAAAAAAACCCAAACCAAACGCCTATTAATCATCCGTTATTACTGTATGGCTGGAATTATTCCGAAATTTACTAGGTAAATACGGTCTTATTTTGAACTATTTTATATGACATTTTCCTGTTTGAAAGGTTACCTGACACACCAGTTGAAGTTGGAGATATGCTCGTCACTCGGGGTGTAATGGATTCTTCGTACGCAAACTGTCCGACTGGATCTCCAATCTGATCCACCTTGACTGGTACCGTTCCCGCAACATTCTTAAATAGAACATATAACATGGTTGTGCTTTTTACCGTATACGCATTGTTTTTTGCACAGCAATATGTTTTCAGAAGGTGGAAAACACCAAATCTATAAGCGTAAAAACTTTCTTTAATGTAACTTTACCCTATATATAAATCGAAATAAACTATTTGACTATGATAGATATTTTAGTAGTATAATGCATTTGATTTCAGGATTTCACGAAATAATTCCTAACGTTTTAGCCTGGAATGGATCACAGAGTATGACAAATAAACTGTATTATTTAGTCCTGAGTTTTTGCTAGCCAGCAAGCCGATAACTAGTGTTTATGATCACACTTTTTAAAATTGATTATATAATTACCGTTGGTGGTATGAGACAGATAACATTGGTTGTGTTCACAAACAGTTTATCGCAGGTCTGAGCTCCCACTGTCACAGACGAATTCTCACTGAATCCAAATCCAGTTATGGACAGCTCCACATAACCTTGAACATACATTGGAAGCAATATTATTTATTCTTTTACAGGTTGAATGCTAATTTCGTTGATTGCCTTGACTGATGAAGTGACTAGACCACTGGCAAATAAAATGAATTGGAACTAATTTCATATACAATTTGCCCCATACTTAATCCCGTTGTCATTCTGTGCAAGCAGCATAATCTTTGGAATAATCCGATGCCGTTCAAAACTACTAACCTTTATAATGTGAAATAATGGATGAGAATTATTACGTCGATACGTGTTATTGTAAGTTTGAAGTTGTCACCTGAACTCTCGGTAAAAAGACCCAATTAACTGGTCTAAACTGAACTATACCAATTTGAATAGTTTTATCCTTCTCATCTACATCATTTTCACTTCAAAAGAGAAATACTTCAAGTATATTGAATGAGGAAATGCTTAATGTATTTAACTACTGTCGGATGTGTGTTCCGATTCTTGAAGGTATAGACAGCAAAATTGCTTGAACGTTGAAGCTACAAAACTATAATACACAATGTGACTAGAAGCCTTTTACAAATTTCCCTAGCGTGTTAAATTAATAGACAACACAAAGCTAGTCGATGCAGACTGAATGAAGCGTACAAATGTCTTTTGAATTTAAAGTTACAAATTACCTCCTAATCCACTCCTAGTTGGGTTGATATTATCAATTTGCATGCTGAAGGAGATTGTGACGTTTCCGTTTCCATACTTGGCTAATCCGCTCCCCTGTACATCTACGGCGACAGTGTGTTCACCGCTAGGTACTTTGTCGATGTCACACGTGATCAAGGCATTGGTTGCCATAGTGACATTACACACGACCCCTGCTATCGTAACATTATTGTTACCCGGAGTTTCACTAAATCCTGTGCCAGAAATTTCTATCGTCGTAAATGGTGGTTCTGTCATGAAACGCAGGGAATATATAAAATGTTTGAATGCCAGAAATATAAGTTATATATGTTTATATCTGAGATGCACAACCATTACGTCTCAAACGGAAATGACGTTTACGAACGAATAGAGTTGAAACCTTGCAACACATAAAATGGACTAGGACTTTAAACCCATGCTTCACATTTCTGGTGTATATATTAAATGACTGCATACGAGGACTGTTGTTTGATCAGGACAAAACATACATAAATAAATGATTATTGCTTAAACAGTTATTAAAACAGTGACTGTTGTTTGATCAGGACAAAACATACATAAATAAATGATTATTGCTTAAACACTGATTAAACAGTGACTGTTGTTTGATCAGGACAAAACATACCTAAATACATTATTATTGCTTAAACACTGATTAAAACTACATATCTAACTGTTAATTTAATTTTCAAAACAGTTCGATTTGGCTTATCGGATATACACAGCCACATCAATAAACTGTTAACATTATAAATTACACGGAATTAAAATGATGTAATTATGCATTCGAATAGCACTCATGCAATGTATCTTTCATCGTAATGAAATACTAATTTGTTCGCTAATAATTCGTTTTTTCTGATTGAGTAACCTCAATAATTACCCTGAGCTCGAGACGCGTTGTTAATGACAGGTGTACTGCTTGGCAACCACTCAAATGTACAACTTCCGGTACATTTGGAGGGAACATCATTTATCATAACATTTACCTATACAAGAAAAAGAAAAAGAAACCTTATAATAGCAAGCCGAAGCGGAGGCGGTAATTTACTTTCGCTCATGGATATCTAAAAAACTGTTCCTACTAAAGGCATGACGTATATGGTTTGACATAATATATTTAGAGTAGTGAGCTGCAGTCATAATTGTACCTGTGGTATATCGTGGGCGGTTTGCAGCATCTCACCATACAGAGGGTCTATCCTGTATTCTCCGTCCCTTATGGTTCTAACGTTTGACCTGGGGTCGATTCCAAAGACAGAACTAGCATTCATCTGAAGCATGAAGCAAACGTTAGAAAGTTTCGAACCATGCGTTAGCAATACATTTCATTTGTGTAACAAATGTGTTTCCAATCATAGATAACTTTGTGTCAATAACAATCGTACCAAATATGAGATATACACAAATACAAATGGTTTTAGACCTGAATCTAAGTGTTGATTCCCATTTCTATAATGTATTTATGCAAGAACACCGTAATATTCGATCGGTCTAGAAGTATTTCCCTTCGGTAGACATTTCTAATTCTCATATTACAGCTGAGTGGAATATAGCACTATGCACGTGTAGAGCACATTAGGCGAAATGATGTTGATTAAGGCAAAGGGTACCAACAAGTTAAAACATATTTTGTAACCTCTGGCACTCTTGTGAAATATTTGTTTACGTTTTATAAAAAGTTCTCAATTAATATCACATGATGTAATGCATTTTAAAGAACCATAGTGGTTCAAAGTTTCAATGTTTGGACAAAAGGCACGTGTTGAACTCAGGACGTTATCATTGCAAAACTCACGAACATTGAAAGATACATTTGTACATAACCTGACATGGGCGATTTTACTCTAAGACAAAAAAATAAAAAAAATCTGTATGGAACTCTTTTTTCGGTTATAGATGATGCAGTAGTTACTTCTATCTTAATTGAGTTCTGATATTGGTCATTAAGTGTAAAATCGTCATCCACCAACTGATAACTCAATATTGGCTACCATGACTACGAGTGGAGAAAAAATAAGTCGAGTCTAAAATGTAAATAAAGATGAACTGCAATCGATCCTACTTACTTGAATTTGTTCCACATTTCCAGGATATGTGTCAAAGCTGAATCGCCAACGTTTGTCTTGCGCATAGTTATGATAATTTGTAGTCTTAATGACACCGATATCTTTAAACTCCTGAACGATTGCCTCCATATCATCAATGTCAAGCCCGACTGGTATGGCTGAAAAACAATATATAATTGAATGACAAAGTCTTCGTTTCTTTACAACAGTAGATTTTCATGTTTCTTAAATACCAAATTTAGAATATAATCATACAATATAATTGTAACATAATTTTCTTCAGAATTGTGTCATATTGAAGTAAAACTTAAACATTGTGCTAGCTGAAAAGCGTACAGCATACGAATAAGTTAGCGATATACCACAGGAGCAAATGTAAGTGAATAGGGAAAGAAAGGCCATAGTTTAATCTCTTTTGTATTGTATCGTATATGGAAATTCATATGCTATTGTAAATCTTGATATGATTAAATCCTACCGCCGGGTTGTCATTCAATTTTGATACCGTTGTCTGATTAATCTCATGGAAATCTTCATTGTTTGAGATATCATTATAGCTATATAACCACAAAAACAGTGAATTTGAAAATGAATCAGTTTACGTAAGCCTGATCTTGCTGGTACTCTCACCTTTACTTGAAGTTTTCGAGACAATGTTGCGAATGATACAATAGGCTGGGGGCTCTGTGTTTATTAATTAAGCATTGAACTGCTATCAATTGGCATTCATAGGCCATATGAATATCAACTGAAAGCAGTTCAATACTTATATTTACCATTTTTTGGAATTTATTCATCTCATAGAAAAGTCAATTACTCTTGTTATTATTCAGCATTTTGTTCAAATAATGCAAGCATCTTGTATGCTCGTCTTATGAATAGAACGACCATCGCCCAGGGAGGGTCAGTGGTATCCAACGTAACCATTATGACCTCATAATAATGATGACGTCAACAATAGGTCCATGTCATGCATAGCCTATATGAATACCAACTAAATTTGGTAGGGTTTTATAGTGGCAATGCCATACGATGGTACCTATTTGATAAAGATCAAGACTTTCTGTATATTTGCATAGCAATAAATATCTCTTCCCACAAATGTTTGTATTCGATGCATATTCCTTGAACTGATGGTCACTGAATTATTTGAACATGGCTGAGTGGTTATTCACTTTATACAAAGTATACAAGCCTCTTTTAAGATTCGGGGTTTACAAAGATATCGTCTTTTTGTGCATAGCTCAGCTGTTAAATATGATATACTTTGAGTGGTTGGGTTGGACAGAGGATAGCTCACTCGCGTATTACCAAAACGGTCGGGTTTTCGATTACCCGACATGACTTGAAAATGTATTATATTTTAATAATAATTCGAGGTTCTTATATACCGCTTTATCACAACCTTGTTCGTAGGTCGTCTCAAAGCGGTTCACAAATTATTATCCGTGGTTATAGGGCCTTTGCACCCAGCCAATATCTTTCTCAACTCCCTGGGGAACATACAGCCGGTGCTGCCATTTCGGCGCTCACAACTAGCATTCAACAGTTCTAGCACTGCCCAACAACATACTCATTTACAGCTGAGTAGACTGGAACAAGCGGAGTAAAGTATCTTGCTCAAGAATAAACTGCAGTGCCGTGACGTGACTCGAACCCACAACCCTTCGGTCACAAGCCCGGCGTCCTAACACTAGACTACGGTACCTCACGAGGTTATTAGGTTATCTTCCCTACCACTTAGAGTTTTTTTCGGGTTCAATCTCCGGTTTCCTTCCTTATTTACATCCCTGTGCGTTTCCAGCCGGGCCAATAAGAGTGTTTAGTATATGTTGAAAAAACCCAGTATTTGTTGCAAAGTATATACAGTTTATATATTGCCTGATTATCTTTTTGCAGATATGTGCCTGTTAACATTTTACGTTCTTCTTTGTCTAGTTTAAGTCTCAGATTGTCTACTTGCATGTTATTGTCTGCCCTCGCAGTGTCAAATCAAATGTCCCTGATAAAGGAGGTGATGCTTCCACTGTCCTTACTACAGAGATGCTTGTGTCTGGCGGCAACTGTTCCAATCAGGGGAAAATAATTCAATCATCAATGATGCAGCTGATACTAACATTAATGTAATATGCATTGCTAGATATACTTCATTTGATTTTATACAATTTTATAAAATAAAAATAGTGATAAAATTGTTCTTGATAAGAATAAAATTTCCTGCAGGCATGTTGCTTTTACCTGGGTGTTATCGACTGTAAATAACGGAAATCCATGTCCCCCATCGACGGGTGTTAGAGTTACATTGTATCTATTATCGTGCTTTGTCACATGAACATCGGTGATTTTGTAACCATTTGGAGAGCAGATGAGTCGTCTCATATATGCATCCTCTGGAAGGAACACAAATAAATGCAATAAATAAAAAAGATAAATGAAAACATACCGCAATGTCAATACTAAAAAGGCCATTTACTTTTATTTACTTTTTTTGCAACGGTTTATCATGGTATATCGCTTTACCTGAACTGGTGATTTAAGTTTAAAAGTGCAAAATACATTTTAGAATCGGTAACTCCAGTAACTACAGACTGACTTTCCATAGAGTAAATGGAAAATGGGAAGGGCATATGTAAATATGGCAATTTGAAATTGGAATGTTTAGGGTTTAGGAACTTTATGTTACTTTTACGGAAATTAAAATTACTGTGTTTAAGTTAGGAGTGGAGCTATTAAACTTGTCTATATCAGATATACAAATATGTATAAATCTATAACGTTGTCATCCACAAAAAATAAAAAATAAATAGCTTATTTGACCAAATAAGTAAGAATTGCTAGCAGAAGACGACAACATGTACTGAATTGTAGAGTCAATTGTATCTAGTGCTTGTCAGTAATACATTCATATGTCCTTATCATCAATTTTATTCTTTTATTAATTATATTATTGTCAGCAGTGTAAAAACATTTCTACTCTTCTAGGAGTATGCGCGGAAGTGGTGTGCATGTGTGTTGTCGTTTAAATATTGTTTATTTTATGTTGCACTGTATATATGCACAACTGATGAGCTGTAAAGCTTAAAGAAATAAATGAACTTGGAACTTAGAGTGAAGGTGGGGGTGAGATGGTTAGAGGACACGGATGTAGAGGAAGACTTCTGTAATAAAGATGGGGCTATGATGTCAGCTATGAGTTGTTGCTATGACAATAAAACAACCTGAAGTGTTCATGAATCAAATTTCAGCATAACATTCCTGCACATCAGATGAACTACTAATTGAAATACTGAAATTAAAAATAACCAATGTATTTATGACATTTAAGTCAATAGTTACCTCAGTTTTCAGATGCTCAAATTTTCAGTTTCGAGTTTCATGTTCCTAATTAAACACTTTTATTACTTTTCATGTTTTTATGACATGGTACAGAGTTAAACAATATAAAAATGATCAGAGATTCCTTAGAAATATTACTTAGTCTTCATTTGTAAATATTCAATTAGACAAGACTGACCTGTGTCCGATGTTGTAGCTTGCTGTCCGAAATAAACTTCATCTATAAGAACTTCTCCTAAATAGTATATGTTCAAATGTCGCAGAATTATGTTTGTTGCGTCGGGAAATGTCACTTTTATGCTGTTTTGTAAATTGTAGCAGCCATAGTTCCACCTGAGATATAAATATAATGTATCATATTTTGTACATTTGGTATTCAAGAACAGAAAACATTAAATAAATAATACTGTTTCATACAGTAATGTAAACAGTTCGTTATGGATCATTCACCGTTTGTTTATATAAAAGGTACATAATCATATTGTTGTATGTTTAATCTATGACCCGGAATGCTTACGGAATGAAGAACATTGAACATAGAAATATCGATCACAAAACCCATATGCTGTTATGCAATATAGCATTTTCCTTTTTGTCACTTGGTATCCAGGGGTCGTTGCAGGTTGCACAATATTTTATCTTTATTTTAATAATGCAATTTCGTTAATGTTAAACAACATGATCGTATCAATTGTATATATTTAAAAATGCCTTTCACTAGGCAAATAATTATGATTACATATCTGGATGGTAGTTTGTTTTCCGATATAATGAATAAGAGACTACTAGAATTACTGGCATGATATATTATTTCACTGCTATATAATAAAGAGAGTGAAACAATATGAAGCTTGATGCTAATACTTTCTATTTATCAAAATATGGAAAATTTCATAATTCTATTATTGATTAATTATATCATGTGTAAAAAACTTCATCAGACATATATTTAATAACCTCCACATACATTTCCGTATCCATCGGTTTCATCATATCGTCGATATTGACTCCACCGCTTATCCTTCTGCCATCGACTTCAGTATAGTCAAAGTACATATAAACATATTCAAAGAATCCTTTAACTGCTACACAGAACTGTTGAATACAAATATAATTAGCTATTACATAATAATATCTATATGGTGGATTATTCGTTCCGATTCTAATTTGGGAATATTACCACTCATACTACCTTTCGCTGTAGGAGTGGTATATAACCAATTCATGTGATATATAACAAAATAGATTTTTGCGCTAAACAGAAGGGAGGGCAGTTAAAATATCAGTCATTTAACAGGATAGATATTAACAGTGTGTTTATTTATTATTCTATTTTTAATTAATTTATTTCCAAAAAATGATTAATATTGCATTGACTGGGGAATTGTTTAATTTTCGCCTGTTTTGTCCTCTGCAATGGGGACAAATTTATTTTTTCAGCAAAGTGAACATAATAATCAAATATATATAGCGAAACTAATTCTTGGCAAATGCGAAACTAATCGCGGCGTATGTGAAGTTCATTGGCGTAGGAAGATAGTTTGACTATAGTATGCAGTGTTCAAGAGTAAACGCAATTTTGTTGCTAATGCTTTTGTTTTCAAGGTTCGGTTGTATTTAGTTGTTGTCCCGCACTATCCAAATCGTCAATATTTTGGACATAGCAAGGTATAAAGAGATTGTCTAAAAGGACATAATGTAGCATGTTTTGTGTTAATGAACTTGCTCCTGGATGGTACAGTTCCCCTTGAGCATCATAAACGTGAATATTGTTAACGTGTTGCATATAGTGTAGGCGGCCCGCGTAATCAATGTTCTACTTTGCTAAAAAATGATAATGTAGTAAAACTGAGTGTGCTGCAACAAGTCCAGTTGAAATGCCGAAAACGGTCAGTTCTCCTGTGAGAGAATAGACAAACCAAGGACCGTTGCGCCGAGATCTGTCAACATGTTTAGGGAATCGATAGTATGAGGCTGTTTCACTTACTTAAATACAGTTCTTCTTTGTATTTATTATTTACATTGTTGTAAAGAACGGATGGCTATTGAACAATGTGCCGGTAATGCAGTTAACAACGATGAGATATTTGTGTGACTGCAGCATGGGCTTTTGGTTTTTATGCACCACTGCACATATATTGTTATCTAACTTGACAGGTACATTAAGGTAATATATTTGGAAAATCACATGTTTTTCATATCCTAGTACCACAACACTGAATCCATGATATGTATTAGTCAGTTCAGTTTGGCCATTTCAAGCCAGAACATGTTATTGTCAGGAAATAACAACATGATTTTGTTGATAATGATAAATATCGATCAAGGAACAGGAGTGAATGGTTATGACAAGAAATTTGAATACTGATAATTAAAGACATATTTCTAAAACGGAAGGTAATAAATCTAACCAAAATAAACACCTTAACCAGCAATGGTCGCAGGAAATGATCTAGTTCCATGAGTGGATCACGATACTCGTAGCGATGGTTTGTTATTCATCAGGAAGTATTTATGGAGTTAGTTCTACCTCAAAGTATAGATAAATGTGTGGGAAGATATGTTAGATTGTTCCTGACTCAGCTATATTTTTTCCATTTCCTTAATCTTAAAATGTTAATTGCACAACAAATATGACCTACGACAGTCTTGTTTGATTAATTTGTTTTGGTAGAGTTTAAACGGATGATATTTTTCTATTATTTGTATGATATCTAAATTTGCATGTTTTGAAATCAACCAAACGTTGTAAGTTTATTGTTTATTTCTTTTGACATTTGCTAATACGTCCAATTAGTTTTATTACCTGCAACTGTCTATTTTAAAGCTAGTAACTGTCCATTATGTTACCGAATAATTGACTGTTACTGATTAATAATAGACAAGAACAGATACATTTCTTTCTGGGTTATATATTCTACCTTATACTATACTATATATTGTACAATTAGAGCAAAAGATAGGTACATTTACGGTACTTACCATTGGATTTATCGCAAGATCAATACCCTGGTTATTTGAATATGCACTATCGTAGAGCGAGTACGGATTACGTAATATCCAGTTTCCACAAAATGCCTGATACTGATTTGTTCGGTACCCTCTCATAAACAGCGGCAAAGATGCATTATCCTCCATATTGTGATGGATGGCTATTCGTTTTGGATTGGTCCAATAAGTTGGACATCGAGGAATAAAGAGCTTCTCAATGATATCTGAAATCTGAGCAAGTTATTTTGCTAATTGTTAATACGAGTGATATTAAGTAATTTTCAAATCAATCCTGTTCAACATTAGAGACGGCAAGATTACCGTAAATCATCCATATGATAAGCTTAATATAAAGACCTAAACTAAAAATCAGTGTTGAGATTTGTGAATTGCAAATCTTGAAATGAACCATTATCAAACTTTATTTAAGTTTTAGTATCATTATTCAGATCAATAATAACTTAATATTTAGAATATAAATATAAGGATTGAACGGCAATTTTTCAATGTTCATGCTGGTATGAAAGTGAAAATACATATGTTCTTGTACACATCAGGATAAAAATAATATATACCTGTATTTGTGATGCATCGCTGTCAATAAGTGGTGCAGGTATACCTGCCATCATCAGTCCAACTTTTCTGCCACTAGGTGTGCCATCTTTTGTTGTGTTTATCTTCAGTGAAAAGGTACCCGACAATTTCGTCCACTCGATTAAAGGAAAATTACCTGTAAAGGAAGTTATGTACGTATTTACTATTAAATCGATGGTTATGGTAAACAATATTCAGTACGTTTCAATAAACAAATACATATAATTCTATGGTCCGAAAGTTACAGTTACATTTCTGAATTCCCTATCACTGGTACGCAAACTGTAGCTATATATAAGGAACTTCTTTCCAGCACGACTATCGCTATGATATATCATTTTTGAAAAGAAAGAAAAAATACGCATTACGGAATTGTTAAGAACACAATAAGAAAGATTTCCGGAAAAAATAATAATATTGAGTGTGAAAATGAATTGAGGTTTGACCACTATCCGAACTCTTGACCTCCAATCATGAAACAGTCGTTCTTACCATCTGAGCTGCCCGCTTAACGAAAAATACCCTGGTCTAGTGGGGCTACAGCCATATTCGAAAAGAAGTTGAGGGGAAGTTAATGTTACAAACACTACATTGGATTTTTTCCTGTTTAGTCTGCAATCGGACCTGGATCCTTAAATACAATACCTCTCTCCGATACAAAGGTGATTGTGTACTTGAAGCCTTGACCATGCACAGTCCTGTTGACAGTCACGGTTTCGGATTTATCAAATACCGGAAGAGCCTGTAATGCATTCATCATACCGATGGCCGATACTCCGACTGAGATGCTCTCTATAAAGAAGCAATTCAGCTTTTCAAGTCCTTTCAGTAGTTTTTTTTCAGTAAAAAGTAAACTAAATCGAACTCTTTGATTATTACGATAAGTCGAGTTAATTATCATGGTAAGTCGACTTAGTGAGATAATTTTGGCATTTTTTTTTATCTCTACTAAAATCAAATATGCCAACATAGCTTGAAAGTTGTGTAACCGACACATACATTGACCAATTTTGTGAATAGAATGCGCCGCGTAACTAGATTGAAGTTATTAATAATGACTCAACTCGTTCATTGAATGCGTCACGATACATTGTTTTTATATCAAGTTATTTTATTTCTAGTTCTAGCAAATTAATATTCTATTTCAATTTTACAAAAATGTGAGTCAAAAAAAGGACGAAGCATTATACCTGTATACACAGAGTACATCCCGAGACGAAACCTTCCATATGTCGGACTTTTGTCCGAATCTTCCACGATAATTACTTGTTCTTCATAGATGGTCGTTTGGTTGCTGATATTAGGAATTGTTATGGTCTGTTGCTCCTTTTGAATAGTAGAACTGAGTCGTATTTCTTGTTCTTCCTGCTGCACGTTCCCAGCCATATAATGGTTAACTATGCTATCTAAATATCGAACTGCTACATTCACTGCCATTGAACTATTGCTCTGTCTGTAAAACACCTCCATGTAGTAGCTGTAATAACAAAGTGGTATGTAAAGGTTAAGTAATATAAATTAAAAAGTGTGTGTGCATGAATGCAATAATGAAAACATAAGGTATAATTTCCATGGTGACACATCCATAATTATTATAACATGCATATTCAAAAAATCATATCTGTTCCTCGTTACATTTTGTACAAACTGATTTAGCCGTTTAAAATCCAGTTCTACTATTGAGTGACTTTTTTATCATCTATATATATTCAATGTGACTGAAATGACCGCAGGAAAAATAGGAATTTTCCATTCACCAATACTGGGGAGAGTAATAAAACAACTATGAGTTTCAATATTAACTTGAAAACCGTTCTAAAACTATGACTGCCATTTAGCTAGCCTTTAGGCTGTCGGCCCTTAGAATTAGTAGAACTTTGGCCAGAAAACTGTTGGTAACATTACGCTAGACAATATTTTTTTCGAACGTCTACTGCTGACGTACAGTTTTGTGAAGTAAATATATAACAGTCACGTTGTGTAAACATGTTGAAAATGTATGTCAGTGTATATTGTTACAGAATATGTTTCGTTTGTTAGAAAAGAGAGCAAAATCTTATTTCATGATATGATAAATACCGAATCAACATTTCAATAATACTTACCTTTGATTTGAATACAGTAACATTTTACTGGTTGTGTAGGTTCCTTTCACATCTTTACTTGTAATTAATTGCTATAACAAAAATTGCATATATACCTCATATTTCCCTGTTTGATACTGAATCGGTTAAAAAAATAATTTACAAATGTACATATATTGTACTAATTCCAGTTGAAGACAAACACGTTTAAAATGCACTCATAATGAAAAATTATAATTCAGCGAAAAATAACATCCTCATTTGTTTTCCAGCTTCGAAGAAAACATACAAGATATACAAAGGATAACGTACCAAATTTTCTTCATCTGTACTTAAGTATAGCTGGGCTCCCTCAGTTGAGTTTAGGACTAACTGGTATTCACCATCAAAAGGGGGCATGAAAAATCCTTTCATTCTGTTGACATATTTGTTTGAAATCCCTATTCCAGGGATTTGTGTTGCATCAGCGAACATTACTTGATAATCAGGAAAACTCTCGTTCAGAGACTCTATTATTTCGAGATTATCCATATCAGCCAATGTTTCGTTCCAGGACTCAACGATGATGCCTCTGTTTCCTAAATTATTCAACAAATACAATTCAAATTAACATGGCGTTCTCTTTTCGTCGTTACAAAGTTAAAATGTAATCGACCAGATGTGCCCATAATATTAATTCGTGTTTTTGCAGCTTTGACGGGCAATTTAATCAAAGTCTTTTCAGGAAATGCCATACATGGTTCGTATATGTGCATTTGAGCTTTTACATTTTTTCTTTTATAAAAATAATTAGTGCATGAAACGCTCTATTACATTCTAACTTTTGTGTGTTAAACAATGTATTTTTATTTAATGTGAAATCAATCTAATCAATAAATTTAAAAATCAAACATTACTTACCAGGATACAGCTTCATTACTGCGTTTGGTATCCGGCTCGTCCGACAGATAACAGTGGTTTCATTGACATGTATCACGTGACATTCCGTACCTAAACAGATCATCAGTATTATTTATAATAACATCCATATAAATTGAAATCTACATGATAACAAATTTGAACATATTTGAACAAATCATATTTATATTTACACACCTTGAACTTTGACAACAGCGTTCGATAGAGTCCCGTCAGAAAACATCCCCTTTATAGTTAACAATGTTCCGCCTTCAGTACTACCGGATGACGGAGAAATGTTATCAATTTCTGAAATAAAATAAGTTTTTTTTTATATAAAATGCTTACATGAACAACCAGATACTTAAATGTGAACAGTACATGCATCGAATCAATAGTTTTTACAAATATCAAACAATTAATTTCGAAATTTACTCACTGCCCAATGTTTAAAGTTTCTGTTTTTACAATAAACAAATATATTGCATTCTCGATACATACATTCGTAGTGTTGCCACTCAAGTCACTTCTATTTTCTGAATTAAAACATACCCGCATAACTCTGGAACATGAAAATTTGCCCATTACGGGAAACTGTGTAGAGATCCAAATTGGCCCTCGACCTAGAAATGTAATCAGCAATAAATCATCTATCTTTATAAAAAAATGGATTCTTACATTTTCAACCTTGTGTACTTTAACTTATCACATATAATTGTTTACAGATGAATACTAGTGGCGTATGTACCCATCTTCCATGACTTGGAGCGATTTTAATGATTGATCACACAATGTTTTCCCATGATCGTAATTTACCACGCACTAAAACACTTGGTTTCGTAATAAATATGACGGAATTCTAAATTAATTCCGTTCTGTTTTTAAGTTGTTATTGTTGATAAATTCAATGTTACTAATGTTAAAAACTTTAAAAAGACAGGAGCAGTCTACACGGTAAAATTTGTGAGCATGAATTAGTGAACAGGTAGGCGATTACATACACATAGAGAAACAAAAACAACAGAAAACGAACACTAAAAACAATAAACCAAGCAAATTCGTGGAATTTATATCCCCCGCTTGCAGACATATTGTAGGTAAACATTATTGAGGTTAGGTTTAAACATGTGAGTATCTATCTGTTGAGACATAATGTATAGCTTGCAACTCGAAGAATAAAAGGCTTATACCTCAGTAACTAACCGTAAATATGCACAAATCACATCGGTTGGTAAACTAAGCATGAGTCGGATGTGCATCCGGAATTTGGTTGAAATGTCTGCACAATATATACAGCAATTATCACACGAAAACCAGAGAGTGCCTGAGTTGGGTGGAAAGACAGAGAAACAAAACATTTTTATCAACTTTGAAGGAACTTTGCTAATTTTTGCTAGAGTTATTAAGCGAAAACTGCAGAACATGACGTTTTTCGTTAAGCAAGGGGCCATAACTCCGCCAAATGAAATCCGATTAAAGTGGTTGTCAAACTTGGCCGAGCCCTTAGTGCGAGGAACTATGTTACTTAGTTTGAGGACTATCGGGTAATATTTGCGAGGGGCCATATCTCCGCCAAAGAAAGTTCGCTTTAAGTGGTCATCACACTTGTGCGAGACCTTTAAGGCATTTAACCCTGGTACCAAGTTTGAATAAAATTGGTTAACATTTGTTGCAGTTATTGCATGAAAACTGCCGATAATGACGTTTTCGTTATTCAAGTTGCCATAACTCCGCCAAATAAATTCCGCTGAAAGTGGAGTTGGAATTTGGCCGAGCCCTTAAGGCATTTAACCCTGTTACCAAGTTTGAAGAAAATCTGTTAAAATGTGTTGCAGTTATTGCACGGAAACGAAGCGTGACAGACAGACAGACAGACGGACAAACCCAAACTAATATTCCCCGGTTCGGTAAAAAAAACCTAAAAACTAAAAAAAAGAATAAACAAGCACCATCATCAGCAAGTTTACTATTACCTCTAAAAAAGTCTGCGTTCTCAAACTGTTACAGGTGTTTATTAAAAATGAGAATGCGGATTGACCCCTTACGAACATCACCAAAGTAACAATGTCAACTTTTTAAACATTCAAATGCCTCGATGTTGGTAAGAAAAGTTAACATTATGCATTCAGTATCAATATTTAAACATTAGATAATTTGTGTATAGCTGTCCTATATTTTAATAGTATTATTCGGCCATTACAACAGAAAAAGCTGTTGTAATGGCGGCGATACAATAACTTGTTTCGACAGATAAAGGGATAATATTTCACTTGTGGTGGCCTCCCAGACCCTACGGCCACCAGTCGAACCTCAAACAGAGATTAGAAAACATCAAACTTAAAGAATTTTGATGGTGTTGGGCAGGTCACAGAATCCATAACCTTCCTCAATTTGGCAAACGCTTAACACAGGTATATTATTGTAAACGAGGTATTTCGGAAAGAACAAGGTAGGTAGGAATTAGAGAGAAAAGCAATGATCTAAAGTATCCCATTCATCAGAGTTTTGCACTAGTATTCACCTCTTACAAATCATGCAAAGGTGTGAATAAAGATACGTTTTAGACAGCTATCAGAAAACGATGAACATTAACGACGATCCTTTTCAAATGCTAGAAATAATATGTATTTCCTTTGACTTTGCCGCAAAATTTGGTCGATTTGTACACGGCAATATCATCAAAGACGTCAAGTAAGTATCAAGCTGACGAACTGATTAGATTATATACTGTATACATCACGTTTATCTGGCATTTTTAAGGTAATGAATTGAACTTACCTCCCTTGAACGGATAAAGTGAAGCTGACATTGAAATTTCCTACAAAAGAGAACAATTACAAATAATGTATATATTTGTATAATATTTTCAATATGTACGAGTAATGGTAAACACTTGAGAGAACTTTGCCTGATTTAATACATACACATGATTAAAATAACACTTGTTCACGACGAAGGGTTAGATTAACTCATCCCGGATCATCACGTTCAACAAATATTGCCTTCTCCGACAATCCAAATAGTGTGATTCAAACATGGATGTGTACATATAATGTTATATTTTAAGTCAGACAAATATGTTGGTTCCCACTCTAACAGGAAAACGGGTGCGGATTTTTGGAGTACACTCGAATGTGTCTTTGTTTGGTTTCAGAAGTTTTTTTTTATTTATAATGATAGTAATAATTGGAGGTTCTTATATACCGCTTTATCACAACCTAGTTCGTAGGTCGTCTCAAAGCGATTCACAAATTATTATCCGTGGTTATAGTGCCTTTGCAACTAGCCAGTACATTTCCCAACTCCCTGGGGAGCATACAGCCGGAGCTGCCATTTCGGCGCTAACAGCTAGCACTCAACAATTCTAGCACTACCCAGCCACGTACTCATTTACAGCTGAGTAGACTGGAACAAGCGGAGTAAAGTATCTTGCTCAAGGATACAACACATTGCCGTGCCGTGAATGATTTGAGTATCTATATTTGGTGTGGGTTTTTTTTTTTTTTTTTTTTTTTAATACACGGTCAGTGAATATTTATTCATTTCTCATAAACACTAAATAACTTTGTACAAAACACAGCATTGCGCAAAAATTTCATCGCCAAGCAACTTCAACCAATCAGTTAGAACTACAAATACTATGCCAGACATTGCGGTATATGATGTCATTTTTTTTTTTTTTTAAGGTTATACGATAAAACGTAAAAAAAATGTCCACTGCGAAAATAGCCAAAATTGTATTATACACTTACTTAATTTGCAGGCAGAGCTTCACACACAATGATATCATGGGGGCAGTGGATGCAACATTCCAAAGACGCGATGGTTTTTTTTTATTTTTTTTTTATTTCTTTTTATTATATTTTCAAAATTTTATGACATACACATATATATAAATATACATACAATGTACATGAGCGTCTAGAATCGCCTTTAAATAATGTATATACTGTTCATTTGTTTATATTTGGTGCTTAATTATCGGAAAGAAATATTTTAAGATCGAAATGCAAAACGTTGTAAGATGATCGCTAAATTGGCATTTATAGTATTTTGATTTAAAGAATATATGCTGAAAAATGCATACAACTTACCTATTTTTGATCCCTGTTCACTCAACCTGCAGGCCATGAAACCATGGTCACTTTCTCCGTTGTTTTCCAATGCGATCCCATAGCTATGAAAAAGCGAACAGTCTTTAACACATATCAATAAATTGTTATTACTCATGCAAATATCATTACATTGTTTGTTGGGAATTTTTATATAATCTATAGATAAAACACAGCATATTTACTCACGTTTGTCCATCTGGAGACTTCAAATCACACATATCACCACCTGCCATTACTCTGAAAGTTACGAGAGCAATTCAAATGACATCTTTCAAACAATAAGAAATTTACTTAATTAGTCTATAAAGTCATATTCTAAGTGACGCTTTTCTACCAATTTAATTAAATTAGCAATCAAGAAATATGTGATTACAGGTAAATAATCAAAATGTTTTAACCTACCTTGCAATTTCCTCTTCTCGCCCATTTGTGCTGGCATTTAAACCATATTTAGAGGTGAATATCAGTCCTTTCAGGGTCAGTAATGTTCCTGAATTAAGTCGGAACAATCTATGTAGTTCTAATAGATTTTGCATGAAAATATGTATTGCATTTATTATACAAAGGGAGACCCCTACTTATTACCAAACAAGTACATTCTAAAATGTCGGTGCTTCCTTAGATACGACAGCCGGAAGAGATAGTCACAGGGGAAAATCTCAAAACCAGATATTTTTTAACTTTTTATTCTCACTTGAAAGCTTTTTAACTTGCACTGTCAGCTTTAAGCTTGAATTTGAAAAAAAGTTTTTTACGTATATGGTTTGATATCGGCAATCATTACATAATCAACACATAATGAGTCGAATTGATTATTTCAAAATGTGTTATAGTTAATAAAAACAAAACCGAAAAACATACCAGGCGGTCCTGTTGAGGGGATGATCTCTTCGATGGTTGGTGTAGAATACAAATTTGGCTTAAATACAAATTAAGACATTATACTTAGTCAGACTGTATCAATAAGCAAACAAAAACTGTTTAAGGCATGTTACGTACATTGAAGTGGTAAACGCTATGGGTTTACGAAAATGTCATGTCATTCGTTTGGTTGCTTATTTTTATCCATCATGTAATTAGATCCCCAAAACAAAGTTTGGGGACTAATTGTTCTTTGACAATCATGAACTTAATATAGTCGTTGTACATATTTCAACTTTGCCGGCTACTTAAGGTAATTAGATAGTTTGTGTTGTAAGAGTCAACCAATTAGAATTTAGGAGATCACTAATGCAGCTCATGTTCGACCTTGCCCCGAACATTAGTATGAAACAACGATGTAATTTATTGATAAAAATATGCGTGTCAACTGTCCAAACGAAAATACCTGGAAGTAACAATTGTTATGGTAGTAACCGCATAATGAAGGTATATCAACTCCATCCACAGTAACCTGGACAGTGAAGTAGTAGTAGTAGTAGTAGTTGTAGTTGTAGTTGTTGTAGTATTTGTAGTAGTCCTGTGGCATACCGGGTCTGGATGAAAACAAAATATAAAACAATATAAGAATGTTCATCACAAGATAAGTCTCCTTACTGAATTTAGCTAACCCAATGTCTTTTTTCTGGAAACTGAAAACAGGAATACTCAAAAATAGCTACATATCAAGGAAAGGTTATTATTGATTATCATATAATGATATGTATGCGCCATATCCGCCCGACACGCGCCATGTTTGTTCAACTTCCGGTTCAACACTTTTCAGTGAAATTATACCTCAAACTGGGAGTGAACACATTACATATCCATCTGTATTTACTATTCTGTTTGTTGCGTTTTATTTAAGGTCGGAAGTGAGTATAGTAAAGCTCATGAAATATCCAATGTCTGTGTGTTTCAATTGGTATTGCGTGTATGTGTTGTGTCATACGGCGGTATATGATTAACATGGTTACTATATGACAGTTTCGTATCCTACTGCCAAGCCCCCGACTCATATCAGCCCTAGGGGTCGGAGGCCCGAAGCTCGGACTGATACGGAGTAGGATATTGAAACGGTCATATGAGGACACTAAATAACGTCAAGTGTTGCAATAGAAGTAAGATCGATTCATTCCCTTCTCAGATTATTCAGTGTTTGAGTCCTCGCAGATGTGAAGCCGGTGAGCAGTGTAGGTATTGGATCACTCAGGTCCTGGAATTGGGGCACTCAGGTCCTGGTATTGGGTCACTCAGGTCCTGTTATTCGGTCACTCAGGTCCTGGTATTAGGTCACTCAGGTTCTCATTAAAGTGGATCTTACTGAGAGATATGAACTTAGACTTGATTGCATTTCACTCCCTCACACAACAGGTTAAGCAGAGGACACCGTTACAGTTGTAGTTCATGCTTATTTATTTTAACCCGTTAACCAATTAAATTTTTTTATGATAGCTCAGACCTTCTATCATCCATTATTGTTCCTAATCATGTGACTTTTTGGCGTATGAATTTGAGTTTCCAGATCATTCGAGTCGCAAGGTTAAATTAATCCATATTATAAGCAACACTGCGGCGACACTATATATTTCAATTGTTTGAAGACAAACAGTGATTTGGACTTGGTGAAACAACTGTTTCGACCTTCATGATCAAACATTTATAGGTAACAAAGATCAAAGGATTTACACAGAATGACAGGATTTTAATGGGAGGCGATATTGCTCTAGTCGGTCTGTCGTCATTTCTCTGCGAAAACCTCCTGCAATTCCTTGCATTTATTAAATCTTCATACATTTATTGAGTTTTAAATTGGAGGTAAGGATTACTGATACTTCAAATAGAAAATCGGTTCCCTGATAATAACTCCTGATTCAGTGGGTCAACCAAGCTCAAACGGTAATTTGCATCCGCTTATGTTTCTATGCAGGAACTGATTGATAAAACAATCCTTGTTTTATGCAGACCTCTTAACTTTCTCCTCATTTCTGCCAGTATAAAAACGTTTTTAAACTGATCGGCTGTGGCCCACAAAAAGCATTAAATTGGATACCCCACCTTACCGTTTGTAGTACCACTGTGATAATTTAATCTTAAACTGTATTTAACATAAACCTTATACCTGATAGGCCCCTTTTACGTGATGTTAGAATAAAACGTTTTTATGTTGTTGAAACTATTACTTACGTAAGGCAGATTATTTTGGATGTCGATGTTTTTTGAACGATTACGTCACACGAAAAGAGGAAATGATCATTCACTAGATACACCTTGTTACCAAGGTGTTCCGTTCCGGGAAAGTGGTTGAAGTTGTTACGGGAAAATCCTACTCCTTCAATGGTGAGTGTTGTTCCTCCTTGTAAACTGCCAGAATTCGGCGACACAAGGGAAACATAACCTTAAAATCAATGAGGATTATCAACAAACCAATATAAAAAATACAAAATCGTCAATTAAGATACTTGATCAATCTTATATGATATCATACAATTAATATGAAAAAATTGTTTGACATCACAGCCGTTGTCACGGTTAATTTTCTCCCATCATTATTTGACTTCGTGCAAATCAGTTATCACGTCGTCTTACGTGCAAATCTATTATCATCGTTTTTCTTCTACCGGTGACATTATTTTGCAGTATGCAAAATCTGTTATCATAGTTAAACTTCGTGTTTCATTTTTTAAATTGATGTATTATTTCCTGCATAGAAAGGTGATTAAGCGGGATTTGCAAAATATTCCACACGTAAAGAATATGATATTGATCAATGTAAAAACAATCGCATTTATAGTAAATAGATCTTTTAAAAAGAAAATTGCCTCATAACAGTGTTCTCATTTAGCCAATATGAAAAAAAACCATGAAATATTTATTTTTTCCTATATTGGAAAATGCAGGTTGTAAGGTTATCAATGTTTAATTACCTGTGCAGATAACAGATAGGTCATAGTGATGGTCACAGTTGTGGTTGCCCCAGCCATTGAATACACATTTGTCTAAGGAGATCTCGGTCCCTGTGCATCTAACATTGTTCATCCAAATCGGTCCCGTGCCGGCTCCGAAATATGCATATGGCTTGATGTGCCTCACATCGCTAACGCAACGGGGGAAAAGATAATAACGCGTAAGTCCAATGCAAAATGGCACACAGTACAAAAAAAACAGGTTTAAGGGGCCATTACGCTCACATGGGTTTAAGTGACAATTATTTTTCTATTCATTTTCTTCATGGATTTGCTGTTTCGCAACTACTGATGACATACAGAGACGGTTTTGAATGGCCACTTCGATGAGTCAATTTACTGAAATATCATTAGCGGAATATGGTAGCATACCATATTGCCAAGACAGTTGATATCAACAACGATATCACCAGAGTTGCCTTGAAAAAATGTCTAACAAAAGAGAAGTTAAGAGAAAAAATAAAAAAGTTATCTAGCATTCAACAAATAAATTTAAGAGACACAGTTGTCATATCACTATGTTCTAATGTACGATTTACCATCGTTTTACTACTGTTAACCATTTTGACAATTGGCTACAGGTAAATATTTATATAAATGTGTCCGCAACCATATACCACTCGGGTTAATATACAGTTGTGGGATCGCACAAAGTTACACGATGTGCGATGTGCCCGCCCACGGTGTGAACACGATGTGCGCACCGTGTACGAATGATAACAATCTGGACGATAATTGCTTGCGCACATTTATGCGCAATATGGACAAACGCTGTGCGATAACAATTGTGGTTGGTGTAAATTGTGGAATGACTTATAGTCCGGGAGCTAGAAGGGTCCACCGTGCATCCCCCCACAAACATNCCCCCCCATAAACCTCCGAACCAATATTTTACTGAAGCCCCATGACGCCCTGATCACGAATATAAATGTTAACATTGCGTAAGTTGGGACGAACTTCCGATTATGACGTCATCAAGATGGCCACCAAAGTGAAATTTACCCAAAATGTGATTTTTTTTTTCATAAAATCGTTATTTTTCGATCAAATTTAACAAATAAATGAGGTATCAAAATGACCGCAATAGAATAACAAACACATCCAGTAACAAAACAAACTACTATAAACATATTTATTTCTAAAAAAATGAATTTATATCGATTTTGAGGTCAAAATTGAACATTTTCACAAAATAATTGTCATTATTTTTTGGTCAAATTTCTTCCATGGGTCTATTCACACTGCTCATGGTATTACGATGCAGTACATTGAATGAAACCCAGAGCAAGAGGGGGCTACTCGTCCTGACATCCTGGCCGTCAGCAGAAGTGTAGCGCGTTCTCTGAAAACAGATCAAGTCGTGAATCTTCCTGAATGCTATGTGACACAACGAAAGAGTCCTTCCCTCACAATCTAATTTTTGACATGCCCTGGAGGTGAAGAAGCCCTAAAACGCGCCATGAGACGCAATTGTGTTTGGGTTCTCATTCGCATGATGCGTACAGCCTCACAGGACGTACCTGGTTGGACAGGCTTCACATCCTTAACTGGTATGCCACCAACAAATCTCACCACCATTGACTATTACCCAGTCATCACCCAACCCATCACCGATTATAAGAACGTGCAAGAATGTCTGAGATATGCTGAAGAGGCCACACATGAAGTAAACCAGCAGTATGTCATAACAACCTTCGACTTGAGAGTCTGCATGAAGGCATATCCATTGCTTTGGAACAACCCTAAACAGTATGAGAAGCATATTGTTTTGATTGGTACCTTCCGCCTCGTGTGTGCTTATCTGAAGATGGTGAGGAAGAGGATGGATTGCTCTGGTTTGTCTGACATCCTACTTGAAGCAGGACTGATTGCCTCTGGTTCATTGCAAGAAGTGATATCCGGAAAGCACTATGACAGGGCGATGCACTGCCATAAGACCATGCTGGGGTGATTCGAAGGTTGTTATTGGGGCAATACATGGCTCACCAAGATGAGCAGGAACTGCTCTCTTCCATCCAAGCAGACTCGATGAAGAAGTTGGATGATTTGTTACAATCGCTCACAAAAACCAAATTGGACGCAGCATTAGATGACGATGCATTCAGTAACTACATCCGGGGTTACCTGTAGTATAGAGTGGAGGTCAGTGAAGGCAGTCACGGAAAAACTGCCCAACTTTGGGCTTTCTACATGAGTCATATATGGCTAGTACTCTCTCTCGTAAAGGCAGTGAAGCACAATGACTTCCTTGCATATGCACACTGTTTGCATCTCATGACAGACATATTTTTTGCATTCGGTAGTCAGAACTACGCCCGATATCTCACATACTTCTCCATCTTCCTCGCTAACATTGAGGTATCTCATCCCAGAGCCACTGATTTGATCAAGAGGGGAGCCATGAGAGTGGCTCGTTCCTTCATACCCGGAAACCGCTGTGCCGTCGACAAAACTATGGAGGAAACCTTAATGAGACATGCCAAATCTCATGGTGGCGCTGGTGGGGATGGTTTTGGTGTTTCAGGGGTTCTCAGCAACCATGATGCATACCAAAGATGGGTGCGAACAACACACGCGAGTCCCAGTATGTCAACACGACACTGAACATGGCTGACATGCTGACAGCCAGCCAAAGTGGACCTGCAGAGATCCTGAAAAGTGAGAAATGCGTACGAAAGGCAAAGGAGGCAGTTGAAAGCTTCATCAATCCATTTATAGTTGACGACCAAGACAAACTTATCAGTCTTTCATCTGGAGCTGCAGTCACTGATATTATAGCAACTGATGTTCTGGGCGCAGAAAAGTCAGGAAAAGAGACACAGAAAGCTTTCATAAAAGACAGGCTGGAGAAGAATGAAAACTTCTTTAAACCAGTAAAGCGGATGAATCTGAGAATGCTTGGTGACATGAACAAAAAGATGAAAGTAACAACGGCAACAAGGCAATATTGCCTTCCAACTATTTGTGAAATCCCAAAGTCAGGGCTTGCAGTTGGACATGAAGAGGCTGATGACGTACCCGCTGACCCCTGTCCCATACAGCATTGGAACAGCAGATGGATTTCTGGCAAAGACAGATAAATCTAAATCTTTCCAGTATCTGACCAAAGAGTGTGAGGATGCACCGGTTCCATCGGCTGAGTCAACACTTGTGGTCTATGATGGTAATGCCTACTTTTACTACCTCAAGGAGATACCAGCCAATTTCAGCTTGATCTACAACAAGATTTTTGGCATGATGTCAACGACAACAGATGCGGTGTTCAGCACAGATATGTATACTCCCAATTCTGTCAAATCCATGGAACGTGAGAGAAGGGGCTGTAGTGAGAAGCTCATTGTAAAGGGGCAAGCATAAAGAAACCTCCTGATTGGAAGCAGTTCCTGTCAAATGATGACAACAAGACAACATTCATCAATCTCCTCTGAAAGACGTGGAGTAATCATTCATATGCCAATAAGCTCCTTGGAAGAAAAGTCATTATCATATGTGAAGGAGCTGCATACCAGCTGACGTCTGAAGATGGGCAAAGCACAGCGAAGATGGAGATCGAAACTCTACGCTCATCCCAAGAGGAAACAGATTCCAGAGTAGTTCTGTACTGCATGTATGGAAAGGACAAGGGATACGAGTACATCCGGATCAAAAGTCCGGACAGCGATGTATTCTTCATCCTACTGCACTACGCCCTCACATTGCCAAATGTAGTGATTCTATTTGACACTGGCACTGGAAATAAGCAGCGACTGATCAACATAATCGAACTGGCAGAGGGCTATACGCAGAACCACTGCACAGCACTCATGTGTCTCCATGCATACACTAGATGTGACACTACCAGCGCATTCAAAAGAATAGGAAAGATCAAGCCACTAAAAACTCTCCAGAAAACTCCAAAGTTTGCTGCTGTACTCTGCAAGTTGGGGGAAACTTGGGACATAAGACCTCCTTGATGAACTGGAGAAATTCACGTGTGCCATATATTGTCGTGCTAGAGTGAACAAGGTTAATGAGCTGCGATACATCCGCATACAGGAGCTGTGTGCCAAATAAGACCAACCCCACCCTTCAAAGAATGTGGACCTGGGATCACTTCCAACATGCAGAAGAAGTCTGGAGCAGCACGTAAGACGTGTCAACTATCAGGTTGGAATCTGGGAGAGGGCCCACATTGCTGACCCAGATATTCCAGATGTGAAGGTTGACCATGGATGGGAGGTCAAGGATGGAAAGCTGGAGCCACTGTGGTACACAGGAGATGTTCTGCCACAGGAGCTCATCGACATCGCTGGCGAACCACTGGAGTCTGACGACGATGTGGATTCAGATGACTCGGAAACTGTATACCAGCTGACAGATGGGCTAGATCAGTTTAGTGTACAAAGCAGTGGTGAAGGCACAGACAGTGATCTGGATTGACAATATGTACCCTCGAATGACATGAACTCTGTCTTTGTTAGATATTTAGACAAACAGAAACGGCAATTATTGTTGATATGACTGTTGATATTTGAACAGTTGTGATACACAGGATATAAACAAAATAGCGTGTGGTTATTCAGCTCAATAGTGTGAATAAAACATTTCTAAATCATGACTAAGGTAGTTTGCTTTCTGGAAAAGATCTGACCAAAAATAATGACAATTATTTTGTGAAAAATTGAAATTTTGACCTCAAAATCGACATTAATTCATTTTTGTTGGAAATGAATCTATTCATAGTAGTTTGTTTTGTTAACAGATCTGTTTGTTATTCTATTGCGGTCATTTTGATACCTCATTTGTTAAATTTGATTGAAAAATAACGATTTTATAATTTCACAATGGCGGCCATCTTGATGACGTCATAACCGGAAGTTCGTCCCAACTAACGCAATGTAAACATTTATATTTATGACCAGGGCGTCATGGGGCTTCAGAAAAATATTGGTTCGGAGGTTTGTGTAAGTGTGTGTGTAAGTGTGTGTGTGTGTGTGGGGGGGGGGGGGGGGGGGGGGCTGGATGTTGCTAAATTTAGAAATGGTGTCTCCGTTGTTTGTTTAATGACCAAAATCGACACATGTTCAATAACAACACACATACGGACACGGTCTCATATACAGGTAAACATAGCCACTTTGTACGTGTACTTGGACCGTAGTTTTCCTCGCCCGGGGCATTAACGTAACTTGTGGAGGTGGGAAAATCCAGGTGAAGGGGAGCTATAGACCAAAACGAATGCAATTAAAAAAATACCTAATGTCCAGTTGTTCTTTCATAACGGTCATACAGTTACACATATCAGATTTCTCTGGTTGACACAGGCCATGTAGTTAATCTCCGGTCACCCATCAAAATTTTATTTACCTGATCTGTTACCTGTTGAACACGTATTGTAAGATTAAACATAATCTTAAATATTGTGGTGGGAAATTAATATATACAGTGTACCTTATTTCATGCGAGCTTTCCGGATTTTTTTCATTCCGTAATATTGATCAACCAATTGTACCAAATCGCACGTTTGTGCGGAGAAAAGCGAACGACGGGGCGAACGATTGTGAAATCGCACAGCTATTTGGGGTGCGTTGTGCGGTCACATAACTGTAAAATCAATTTGGCGTCAATGTTTGATGCATTTAAACGTACAGTGTATACTAAAAGTTTTAGCCTTCTGGGAGAATCGATGAATGCGATATTTTGAGAACTGTAATTAAAACGACTTGTTTTCGTTTACAAAAGATCCATCAATACTTTATACTTAGATTAAACGTTTAATATCAACAAATATATGACATACCTGAATGTTGCGATCACTACTGAGACTAAAGTTCTGCCATACTTCGGACACATGCCTTTAGCAGCAATTAATATATCCCTGATAGTAGTTAAAAAGGAGAAAGAACAAGACTGTTCAAAATTTAGACGCTCACAACTCGAAAATCTGACAGAACCATGAAAGAGACCATCTTCCTCAAATTAACTCACACGGACTAGTGTCTAAACTTATGAATACTACCTCATCGAGCTCCATTGCCTCCTAATAATCAGTGGTCTATGACTTGCTACTGAGGTCACGTATCCGATATCTTATAGGATTTAAGGTAAAACATGGCGAAACCATAGTTGTGGTGGAAATATTTCTATGATATAATATACATGTATTTAACCAAAGCTACAAAAATTTGAAACTAAGACACTGAACACTAAAGCCCATATTCACGAAACCGTTCTCATGCTCAAGGATGTATTCTGTGCTCAAACCTACTTCCTTGTAACTCCCTTATATCATGTGACACGATCAAAACGTCAGGTATAAATACTGAAAATGGTATATGGCTGTAAGTCTCGGTAAATCTCTTCCAAATCAATGACAAAAAGGTGATTTTTTTTATTAATTAATCATCAGATCTTTAAATTGCGCTTGAGCATATAATTTGAGTTTGGGCATCTGAACGGTTTCATGGATTCGGGCCCAGGACACCGATCTGTTCAAATTTAGAGTCATTAACTGTTGTTGAAACACATAGAAAAGATTTAATTGTTAACAGATGACGTACGATGGACGACGACGGAGACAAATAGCAAACGTAATACATTACTGAGCTAAACACCGGAAATTGCAAAAAAAATAAATAAAAAATACTGACAATACCTTGCAATGCATATTTCCAGTATAGAACCATATCCAGCCTTATAAATATCTTTAGTGTATTATTTACAACATACCTAGTGGAACCTAGCTGTTTACAGACGACATCAGCGATGTAATTGTTAGCATAGTTGTAATCACACACTGTCCCCCACACGCCGTCATGGTTCACCTCCAAGCGACCTGCATACTTTGAAGTACCCCCCACAAGTCGAACAGGAGTAGCCTGGTCTGTAAATAGAAAATAAGGACAAGAGAAAAACCGGTAATGCATCTAGTATATCGACATTGTTTATGAACTTGTCAACTTTACATTACGTCAATGTAATGAAAAGAAACTGATATGCCTTTCAGTTACATGTATCTTGCTTAAAACATACCTAACAATTTATCAGCTCATGTGAATTTCAATTGAAATGTTATTAGAAACAACAAGTTACAGTTATTCGTTTTTATCTAATTTAGAAAAAAAACTAGTTTTTTTTATTGTGAAAGTTCATGTGATTATTTGTATATACAATTTTACAGAACTTTTGAAGTCCTTTTCACAAGGAAAAGGGTTAATGACCAACCCCTCGAAAATAGACCGGTTTAGCATAAACCTTTTGCATCGGCCAGTTGGCCGAAATCGTAAATATGAGCTTTTATAGCATTGCATTTAAGTATCCTGTGTACATGGTGAAATGGTATTCCGTACTTACTTGAAGCGTCTACGTTACAGAACAGGGCATTTGACACGATCAACAGTATTGCAAATATTCTCCTTGTCCATGGTGGCTTCATACTTTGCGGTTCGGGTGCAGCACACAGCCTGTTATTCTTTTAAACAATTCTTATTATATAAGCTTACTGGTAAATTAATCAACCAATCAAGGATATTGCAGATGAGGTGGGCTTTTAAATTGACAGATTTCAACCCCCCCCCTAAAATTAGTTTCTGCAATCTCTTATCCTGAGAAGTCTTGATTTATAAAATCCTCGAGATGATATTTATAGCGTATAACATTTGTTTTAAATTCGGTGTAAATAATGAACACTTATAGGCTATCCAAATGTTTACTTAGAACATTGCGTAAATGATGGTGGTGTTCAAAAATGATATAAAGCCACTTAAATGACAAAACCTGAAATTGTATATCAACTAATGTTTGTTACGATTTTGAATAACATCTTTGCTCATATATAAGAACCGTGACAACGATGTTTAAGCTAGCCAGGATACTTTAAAGTACCATCACACTGGTAAAATAGTACCATGACACGAAAACGCAAGAAACCCTATCCAGTCACGTTATCTCGACATCGTGCCAACAAACCTTTTCCACAACACATTAAAACTTGAACGTCAAGCAGTGAGCAGAATGGACCGGGTTCAAAGTCTTTGGTTTGGCTGAATCAGGAAAAGGAACCCATAACGGTATCGCAAGGCTGAAGGCTCAACACCAATGTCGTTTCAGGTTAGGAAACAAGAACGAATTTAGAAAAAACAGAAAAATATACAAATCAGAAGTGTTGCAACGGGTATTTTTGAATACCTCAATAAACAACACAACAGTAAAATACTCTGCTTGGGTTTTCATATTAGTTGCCTCTTACAAGCATGTAGTGGGTAATAGCAAGTATAGTCTTTTAGTAATCCCAAGCCTGCAGCGGTGATCCTGTTTCCAACTAGGATTGACACCATTATAGTATTTAGGTATAGACATTTGCTATTTCAGTGAACTTAAAATCAGAAATTAAGATAGAAATAAGGATTGTCGATATCTTTTTGATTATTAACATCTTCGTCACTTTGGTCAGCAGGCATAATTATACAACAAGTAACTCATCAGAATAATGTCAAATTGACAAAAAAGTGAAAATATCAAGGATGGTTATATAAAACAATAGGCTTAAAAGACAAAAGAGCATAACAATACTATCATTTCATTTACCATTAATATGCTTCTGATTCACAAAATGCCCACACGCCTGGTAAAATAACTTTTTGTCTGTGATTTTCATTCAAATGTTTGAACATTGGTTGTTTAAACACTTTTGTAGTAGAACAAAGTGCTAAAAATTAGAGTTATTAGATTCACAATTTATTCTCCATTCTCATCGATTAAATTATAACCACGCGGGAGTCGTTGATTTGTGATATTGACTTCTTCATGCTTTTATTTTCTATAAACAAGTCAATATTGGCTTTATGACGACCCTTCAATTGTATTGTCCTAAAGCTCACTGCCACATGCAGCACTTTTCTAATGATGATGTTCGTGACGTTCCCTTTTGTTTGAAGATCAAAAACATAATTTCCTGTCTTATATAACAATAACAGACAACTCTATTAAGATAAATATGAGGTTTAATGGAGTTGAAAAGTTATGTAGACCTCGACTATATATCGGTCAATAAATCCTAGCCCTGATTGGAGGAGCGACGTCATGGAACGAATCTGTAAATCTGCTACAGACCTCGTTCTTTGAAAAGGAAAGTGTTACAGAATTATCTCATCAAATTCTTAATTATGTGATGCTATTGATGATGTCGATTGTGCAAATCATACTTACTTGAAATTAAATATCACATGTATTGAATCCGAAATCGTGTATGCTATTTTGTCTTTGAAGTCCTTCACTCTGTCATGCCAACACGGTTCATATCATCCATGTGTTTATGACATGAACATTGATTTATCTCATTGTAAAATGTCATATGATAAAACATCTGTTAACTTCAGTTTCAGTTTTGGTCTATCCCTGATTTACGGACCTTTTATTGTAGGTTAATATAACCAGATATGGACCTATGGACCTAAACGAAAGTCCTTACTAGATAATCAATATATATTAGAGCCATGGTTTGGTTTGGTTTAGTATTCTTTAACGTCCTATCAACATCTATGGTCATTTAAGGACAGCCTTCCCTGTGTGCAAAATGCATGCGTGTAGTGTATGCGTGTGTATTTTGGGAGGCTGCGATATGTTCGTGTCTTCATAAAAGATACTGTTCTACAGACCGTCTATATTAAACTCTCAAATCAATATCAGGAGACTGTAAGCAATATTTATCACTTTTGTTTAGGTTTTCGAGTCTTCGCAACAGCTTAAGCCAACTACAGACAACATTTTCAGGTGAAGTTGGTAGCCCATTGTCAAACAAACTTGTTATGGTTGCTATATCAACAAGCAAAGTCATAGACAAAACGCCAGCCTCTTACCGTCTTTGCTTGCAGGAGATGTTATATTTGTTGCTCGTTAATGTTATCTGGTAACATCGAAAGCAGATATGCCAAAAAAAATTCCACCTGAAGTTAGATGTGCATATATACTAAATATGAATGATTTGTTGAGACTGGCAATTATTTTATAACGCAGATTACAAAATTTAATCATATCAAATCTCGCGAAAAAATATATAATATATATTCTATTCGCAACATTTAAAAGGAGTTAAATATCCTTTGTAATAGTCATATATTCATATAAATCTCAATACTGTGGTAATGTAACGACACTTAAGTACTACTCCTGAAGGTAAGGATGATTTATCTTGCTTGAACATGTGTCTGTTAGTGGATACCACTGCAACAAACAGCCGTTATATATAACTACAAGTGGTGTATTGTAGCAATCTGGAAGTGTTTACCTAGGGGAAAACAAACATCGAATAAGCTTAAATACGAAGTCTTGAGCTCAGTTAGATTTGATTTATATATATCTGTGCTGGTAATGGAAATGAAAAAGCGAGAAAGATTTACTACTTCGAACTAAACTACGGTCTTAAAACGACGTTGCGCGTTGATACCGTGCCCAAACAAATATCCCTTTAAATTTACACTGCATTTGTAGTGGTGTCGACACGGTGGCAGAGTTTGAATATCGGCTATATCGGTGATAATACTTCAGGTGTTATTGACAATAGGGTCATAACTCTACAGGTAAATGGAATCGTGCCCAAGTAATGGTATGTGACAAATATAGAAATGGATGTTATTGTATGATAACGTAATTTACTAAAACATGCACTACTTACATTTCAATACAGGAGCTCCGCTTAATACATTTTACATTGCAGGTATTGTCGATGAATCAGAAGATGCTTTCTCTTCAAGAGAACTGGTTTTATACATAAATCATGACGTCAAGATGGAAGATGACGCCACGAAGCATTGCTATTTATCGTCATGATTAAAATTCCTAATACGTTTATTAAATTGGTCGCGAATGAGGAAACCTATGCCAGGACCGGAAAAAGCCATTTCAAGGGTTGTGTTATCTGCGATAAGCAGCACAGCAGCATATCATTTATGTGTTAAATGTATCTTAAATTACATAATATGACGCTGAATCTTAATGAAATCTAAAAAATCGGTCGTGATGTAGAAACCGGTAAAAGAATAATAATTTCATTCAAATGGGGATTTCAAGAGGCTAAACAATTTATTTCAATACTTACCACCCGGATAATTCATTCATAGTCAGGAAAAAAATAGAACATGTATTTCACTGTGCGATGGTAAATCACAAACCCTTATGTTTATACTACCCCTCCCGGCCATCGACTAAAAAGATATATATGCCCTTGAGCAATTGTCATGCTATACGATAGACAAACATGACAAAAACATTGCCACATATACCAATCAATGGTAAATCATCTACAAACAAACTTTGGTATTAGAAATGAACAAAGGGCCATAACTCTGCCATCTCAATTGGTACGAACAAACAGATGTTGGCAATTGAAGATGACCGGTAGATGTAATTTTAGCCGTCAAGTGTTGCAAGGGGCCGCCTCACTTCATTGATTTCATCTAAGAGACCCGTTAAAAAGAGCCATGCAATCGGTCACCAACTTAGAACCATAATTATATCGCTGATATCCTTTCTCCTTTCACACACAGGCACTGCCAACATTACATATAATAGAATTAAATAGAATATTAGTGGACGCAAGCATAGCTGCCTCTATCTATATCCACATCAATATTATTTGAAATACAATGTGATAAACATAAAATAAATGTATTTATCAGACGCTGTATGACGGTACTTCAACCCAAGATTTTCTCAAAGTCAAATATTTACAAGATGAAATAATATCTTGTGTGAGACTTTTCCTGATATCATGAGTGAAGTAATGTTCAAATGACAATATTGTTTGAGTATTTTTGACTGTGTCCACAAGTTTTCCTTGAGCGGCAATCATTCATAAAGTTGAACACGTTAAGCATATTCCCGCGCAAGCGCCTGTATGTTACAGTTGGGAGCTTCAATCGGCGAAGTCTCTCGCTGTAGCTAATAATTCTAAATCGAGGGAGTAATCATTGTATTGTTTGTGGTTTACGCCCTACTAATAGATATGGTAATTTGAGGATGTGCAAGGTTTTGGTGATGGGGTAAAGACGGGTTTCCCGGAGAAAAACACCGAACTACGTACGGCCAGTACCTAGCGACTGCCCCACGTAGGTATCGAACCCGCGACCCAGTGGTGGAGGGCTAGTGGTAGCAGAATTCCATATATGTTTATAATAACAGACTGACTTGTAACAAGTAGATGATACATATAGATTTTCCCTGATACTTTTGATGGAGAGTGATTTGCAAACTTTAAAAAATTGATAACCGATCCACAGGAACGTTCAATGCAAAATATGTACCTTTTATTTTTTAACACGAGACGCAGTTAAATATTCTTTATAAAATACAGTCAAAACAAAAACTACAGACAACAAGAAACAAGCAGTTCAATGCCCCTGTACCACCAATTAAAAGCTAATTCATTGCAAATGACGCATTCAAACTCCTCTTTCAATAAATTGTATTGATAAATAAATTACACCAGAAAAGAAATATCACAGAGACATGAATTTGGTAAATCCGTATTAATTCTCAGTCCAGTGATACATTACTATTAGTTTAGATCAATCAGAACGGCACTTTTTTTAAAAGCACAACAAGGAACAGATTAAGCGACGGTAGAATAATGCTACATTCGCGTATCCCGGTTGAAACGGTCCAGGCACGTATGCACCCCTCAATCTACACGTGCCGAAAAATCCTGAGGTCAGCCTCGGTTCAGAGCTGCGCCTGTCGTTTTCTTTCTAGATTCAACCGTTTCAACTGGTTGAACCGGATACGCGAAAAGGGTCAGAATGTATGTACTACTTTTTGTAATTTAGCTAACCTGGCCCCTGAATCTCGAAACTTCTTAAAAGCGTTTATAGTGCTTTACTAAAATATGCATATTCGTATTACAGTGGCATTGAACTGCTCGTATGTGTTGAATTGAATAGAAAGATTGACCCTATATTGTGATGTTCGAAGGTCGGTGAAGTTGGCTCATCCATCAACTATATATCTACAGTTGTATTACCAAGAAGAAGGCGTTATTGCTTCATTGTGGAGGAATGCAGATGCAGGATATATTTTACACATTTCCTAACGAAGATCCAGACGGCGTTGGATCAGGTTATTCAATGTCCTTGAATCAGCTCGACCAGTATTTCTCTCCCCAAGTTAATTTTCCGTATGAGAGACATTTCTTTAGGAATATTTCACAGCAACCCTCTGAGACAATAAATAACACGGCTACGTCCAGAAGCTGAATTCTGTGATTTTGTTGACGTCAACGAGCAAATTCGAGACCAAGTGATAGAAAAATGCTTGTCTCACAATCTACGGAGGAAACTGCTCGAAAAAGGTAAAAAATTTACTTTGGACCAATCACAGAATGTAGTTAGGGCGATGGAAACCAGTGAAAAATAGGCTGTGAGTATGGGAGTTGTTAGTACTGGCACACCACGTCGAGAGACCAATCGAGTGCAAATGAAGCGTCGAACTGACCCTGATCGTCAAACCGGAAGCAGGAAGTAGTGTTATCGTTTTGGAAGTAATACACACTTGCAGAACTCTGATTCGTGTTCTGCGAAGGATAAAAAGTGTTTCAAATGACACAAGTTGGGACATTTATCAAAAATGTGCAAGACTAAACCCGAAGCTAACCAGGGAGACACCAAGGAAAAAGCAAAGACAAGTCAAAGGTTCGTCTTGTTGATATCGGTAATGATGTGTATGCTTTTTCAATTGGTGACGATTGTAAACAACCCACAAACAACCCGATTGACAAGACAGTTAAACCAGTAGTGCAGAGTATGAGAAGGATACCGTTCGCACTCAGCGACAAATTAGAGGCTAAACTCCAGGAGCTAGAGAAACTAGATGTGATCGAGAAAGCTGAAGGCCCCACTACATGGGTTTCTCCAGTTGTTGTTGTTCCGAAATGTCAGTCTGATATTCATCTGTGTGTCGATATGAGGCGAGCAAACGATGCGATAATAAGGGAACGACACCCTATACCCACAGAAGAAGAGGTGCTGTATGACTTGAACCAAAGCACAGTGTTCAGTAAGTTAGACATTAAGTGGTCATTCCATCAACTTGAACTTAGTGAAGCGTCCAGGTCCATCACTACATTTGTCACCCAACAAGGGCTACATCGCTATAAACGGCTACTGTTTGGTATTTCATGCGCACCAGAAATGTACCAACGCGTTATTCAGCAGGCTTTACATGGATGTACCGGGGTACGCAATATATTTGATGATATTATTGTACATGCTCCTACAGTCGAGGAACACGATGCGAGATTAGTGGCTCTGCTCAAGATAATCCAGGAAAAGGGCTTGACATTAAACAGACAGAAATGCGAGTTTAAAATGACAGAGTTAAGTTCATGGGGCATTTACTATCAAATGAGGACTCGAATGTGTCTCCTGATCACGCAACAACTTACGAAGACCGTGCAACACTTTCTGAGCGCCCAGTGAGGTCTACCCGACTCCCTTCAAGATTCAAGGACTTTGATGTTTCAATTAAATGAACTTTGCTAATAGTTGCTTTTTTATACACACACATTCTGTTCCTGAAAGCAGTGTTTAAAATTTCAGTTAGTCTGGACTGTTGAACAAAAAAAGTTTTTTCAAATTGATAAGTGTTCAACGGTTAAATGGTTCATTACCAGTTTGAGAATTATAATTTGTTATTCTGGAAAAGGAGGGATGTAGTGTTTTAGTATTACGTATCATAATGTTATAATTCATAACTGCTCCCTCCGGGTACTTGTATGTTGGTATGCTCCCTGAGCATGCGCAGTTGTCTGGTGACTAAACAAGCGAACACTGAAGCAAGAACATATAGATCATAATAGGAGCTAACTGTTTGAAATGAATATGTAACATTCGACAGATTATTAATTGATGGTGTGGAAGTTTACGTCTTTTCAATAACTCTTAGCATACAGCAACGAACAGGTATGCACGGTACAGCAGGGAGCTCTGATGAATATATTTCCAGAAAAGACGAAACAAGCAACGAATATTCTCACCTTTCTAGATTGTTGCTGATATGAAACCCCACCAACACCAAATATCCCGTCTGCATAGCAACGTAGCTCTGAGGCCATTCACTCCGACGTATGAAATACAAAATCAACTGCCACCATCCTCCGTAGGAAGTTTGGGGTCAGCAAAGAGAGTAGACTACAGGAGAAGGCTGTATCAGTCATCCGGAAGTGACGACGGACATTCGTCACATACATATTACAGCGGAAAATCACAGTAAACCGCGAAAAAATACGTGTGTCCTCACTTGGATACCTAAAAATATTGATATAGGATAAAGATGACTTTCTGTCAAAGAAAGCAATATTTAAGATCATGTACTTAGGAAGACATTATCCGCAGAATTTAGAAGCTATAAAGTTGTAGAATTGTTAAATATGTGTTTAGCTTAGTTTATCGGCTAGTTCTTTTCTGAAACCTTTATGAGTATAGTTAAGGTTATTTAATTGGGCGTCTAGGAAGTATTGTAATATTGATTCTATTTCAGATCAAAATCAGCTTATTTTTTTCAATTTATGTTTGAATTATGAAATCTTATTTTAAGTTGTACAAAACAAGCAGGAATAGTGGAAAACTCGAAAATTTAGTTAAAACTTTTACTTTTCTATATTGGATATCATAAGCCATGTTATCACGACCAGTTTACAATGTTCATATATTTACTGAAGTGATATAACTTAGCGTATTGCAGATTGTCATTTATCTAGTTCATATTTAAGCTTCACTTGTAAGTTTATGGATTTGTATTAAGCTTCCGATGTATTTTCCTATAAAATCTGATGTTTTAGAACGTATCTCCGTAAACGTCCTTCTTCCAATGTTCAAAAAATGTCGGCGCAGCAAAATAAGATCCATACTTTTTTTCTCATTGATTCCCGGTTAATCCTTAATTGTATAATATGTTCTGTTTGAATTATTTATCATTTTTCAAATTCATTTTTATAAATTATATACTGATATTGTATTTAATGATATTTTTTTACATTTGTAAAATAAATACATTCGGTGCTACAAATAACCTTAAATGATCAAATTTTGTTATATGTAGCAGTTTTTGTTAAGTAATGAATGTTTTAGCAAATGTTGTTATGGTCCTATAACACACATTGATATTGATAACAAACTTAATAAAGCTCGGCATGGCTGTATGTAAGTTTGTCAGCAATAACAATGTGTCATAAAGGACCATAATACTATTTGCTAAAATATTCATTATTTATACTTACATTTTCATAGCGTAGTTTTGCGTTATTAAGTTAATTATTATGGCAGTGTTTTGAACAGCAAATTAAATGTTGACTACAATGAAATTGATGACGTTACTATAGCAAATGTTGTTTCACAACAACATTTACCTTCTCAATGCATTGCAATGGAAGGATGCAGAGCAAATGTACATATATCCATGTAACAACATGATGTTATACGTGATTGCGGTGTATAGAAATGTAGTATTTTCATTGATGACAATAATTTGGCGTGCAAGCATATGTGATCTAAATAAAAAAACGTTTTTTGTGTTATTTTACATTTTGTTTTTCTATTGAATTAAATGCACTACTTCTGAAATGCAACACATCGCCTTGTTAAAATGGAATTCTTCATACCCTTTTATCTGTTGCTTGCAAAACCGTAATACAGATAACTATTGTGGTCAAGATAAGGACCGTGCAATCACACTCACATACACACACATAGTCGTTGATCCGTGCCATATATATTATCGAGATTTAAAAAATGTTATTTTCGAAGTCCTTGTTTCGACCTGAACGCGACAAACAGGAAAATCAAAAACAATGTTTTCTCTTTTTGCATATTAAGACGTCTCATTTGCATCTAGGATATATGTTCATGTATGTAATCAGAAAAAATCTTGGTTATGTGCCGTTCATTCAGTTTAACAGGCCATCAAAATTGATACTCTGAACAATCTGCAAAGCGGGAGGTTCCGACTTTAAATGCATTTTAACACACAGCGCTTTCAGGTATTGTTGATCTTAATCATTCATCATTTCATCTTGAACACAGATATGAAATGCTAATAGTCTGATCACCGTAATCTGTAGCTGAAGCGTTTAGTGTTTTTTTATTTATTTATTTAGTACCTATTTTCATTTATGTCTGAACGAGCTAGATGTCAATTATCAGAGGCGAATCCGAGGAAGGTGTCATCATCGCACGCCCCCACGTCCCCCTTGGCTTAAAAACATTAATAATATATATATACAAGTATCTGCATCTATTGTGTGACACCCCAAAACGCCCGTTTGTTGTGCGCACTGTACCCTAACGTACACATCATCATTTCATACTTTAGGCTTTTCCGATCGTAACCAACTTATCTGAATTGAAAATATCTATTTTTGACTGGTGATTCTAGTTTGTCACATGTGTATCACATTGTCCAAGCCAATCTTTTTCAGACCGTTGACCATTTCAATGCTGCGACCTGAAACAAGTGCTTAGCGTACCTTACGCATCATGCATCTTTATTTCTTTTACAAGTACTCAGAGAAAACCCGCGTGATCGGGCAGGCGATCCCATACATGTACCTATTCTCGAGCGATCGGGAAATCGAACCCCGGCCGTCTTAGTGAAATGCGAGTGTGTCATCCACTTCACCATCCGACCGATTTAAGTATTCAGTGTCCAATCCATATTTAACTACAAAGAGCCTCGTTTTCATGTTGATAGTTTTTGACATTTCAATCAATGTCATATCGCAAAAACATTACTACAAAACTGATAAAGACTTTTCTAAATTAGAACTTTATAAAAATCCTAATATCGTATAAAAAACATACATTTGTGTCTTATTATTATTTACACCATCAATAACCGGGCGCGTCACTAACCATAGGTAAAAATAGGTGAAGTACATAATTTTATTTTATTTGAAATGAACTGAAATCTTTGCGAGTTTATATTGTGTTTGTATCCTCAGGCACATTATTATGTTTAACGGGAGGTATGAAAGTACAAACATTCAGTTTGGTGACAAAATGAGGGGCAAGTAAACAAAACCACGGACTTAGATAGTGGTCTGATTCTGTGACAAACCATTCTTCCTCCCGTTAAATGAAGAAACATACATACCCATGTTTGTTGGAGGGTTGGTCATAAATGCCTTTTGCCAATAGCATTGGCTGGTTAGAGTTATAGGTTTGTTTGTTTGGGTTTTACGTCCTATTAGCAGCTATGGTCATTTAAGGATGTGTCAGGGTTTGGTAAGAGGTAATTAGCTAAGCTGCTTATTCACAGGCAAGATAAATAGGTGTAAACTGTCTGAAAATGGCGTGTAACTGCCTGTTAGCTTAAAGTTGGTTTAAACTTTGTTTTATTCAAAGTTTGTCTGACAACACATCGAAATACAAATGGTACATTTTATAGAACAGAAATTGAAACAAAAACAAGTGTCGTGACACTTATGTAGATAATCAATTTTTTCAACACTTGGTACAAGAATGAAGTAATATGTACAACAGAACCACTACGGGAATAGGGGAGGGGGTAATGGATTGGTATGCAGTGGACACGAGAATTGAATAATAAATCGATATACATGTGATCATCAGATGGTAATATCATATTGCTATGTTGCAATGAGTATTGGAACACGATTCTGTATACTATAACTATGTATTAGTAGATGATATTTAAAGCAATGCTTTTTTATACTAATTATGTTGATTGTAAACAAACGTGCACGATTTCAGTTACATCATTTCATGCAATATATACGTCAATATTCTCAAGGTCCTCAAGCTAGGGGTATTTATAACTTATCAAATGTTTAGTAGATATGTACAAATATTTGTTATGAATTAGGTAAACACATATCAAATGAAGATTAATGTGATTGAAACTAAAATAATTTAAACTATGCTTGGAATAAGGACATGTGACTGAGCAATTCATTTTTTTACTGAAAACTCCCCTGTGTTTATAACAATGCATCATCGCTGTTAAATCTTACAAAAAAACTATAGTATTGCCTGTTTAGGCAGACATTCTGTTCCAGTAAAAGAAATAATACAGAACAGTATCACATGGACACTAATAATTGGGAATTTTACATTGTTTATTGTGATAAACATTCGTATTTTCATTAAATTATTTTTAAAAACAAACAGCCATTGGGTGTTTATTGGAAAATCCATGACAATTGTACGTTGTAAATAAGGTGAAATCAGAAAAAAAATGATATTAATAATTAAGGATTCCCGTACAACTGTCAAAAATTGTAAATATGCATTTGACCCTTTTTCTGCCATAACTATAGTGTTGATAAGTTATTTCTGCAAAAATAACCTTTTATGAAAATATAATTGCGCTGAAATAAAAACAAAAATGAGTAGAAGTGTTCCCAGTGTAACTTGTCTAGACCTGGTTTCGATCATTATACTGTCATTGGTGCCAACTGTGC